TGGCATACTCTGTGGCATACTCTGTGGCATACTCTGTGGCATACTCTGTGGCATACTCTGTGGCATACTCTGTGGCATACTCTGTGGCATACTCTTGTGACATACTCTGTAGAATGACGGGACAAAGTTTTGAAAAAACAGCATGACACAGTACAGTACAGTTCCAGTGTTTTGCCATTGTTTTTCCTTTTTGGGAAGAGAGAGAAGAAGAAAAAAAAGAAAAAAAAGAAAAAAAAATGTGAAAGGTGGGTGAGAATATATACCTACCTAGGTAGGTTATACTCCGTAAATATCATGGTAAGAGTATCATCACAAGTACGGAGTTAGTACGGTGAGGAATGGGTCAGGTACTGTATGTTACGGAGGGGTGGGGTGGGTACCCAGTAGGTTGGTTGGTTGGTTATACCGAGCAGGTTGGTTATAGGTAGGTACTCCGTACCTTTGTTATTTGGCACCCTCGAGTACAGTATTATAAAAATGATGGTTTGTCAATTGTGAATGAATAAGTCAGGTTTGATGAACCCCGGCACACAAAGTTGACCGAAAACGATGACAAACCCCCCCCCCCTTTTTTTTTCTCCCCCAAGTTTGGCAAGCCTTTGTTTTCGTATCCCCGTCGTGACTGTTGAATAATACGGAGTAAATGTGGAAGAAACCACCACCACCACCACCACCAAACTCCACTCCACGATTTTGTCAATACCTTCCTTCCAAAAACTTGTACAAGATTTTAACTCCGTACTATTGTCGTATGTGATATCACAATCATCGTGGACTGTACGTGAGTAACCAAAAGATCAAAGGGGGGCGGCGGGCATTGCTAATTGCTGATATTGACCCTTGACCACTGTGCAGTCCCCTGGCGACCGACGTCCACGTCAATTCCAAAAGACAGACAAAACAGGCAAAACAAATACAAAACCAAAGAGACTGTATACCAATGCAATGGAGAATCTGTCACATCTAATAAAAAGAGTCTACCTCGTTCCTCCTCCCCTCCGTTTGCCAGTTGGTATCTAGGTAATCAATGACACTGAGGCAGAAAAAGGAAACGAGGAAAGAAAAGGAGGAATCCCTCGTGACTCTTTCGAGGTTCACACTGGCGCTCTCAACATATGACAAAAAAAGAAGGAATTCTCCGGTCTGGCTCTGTTTCACTTTTTTCAGTTTTCGGTTTTTTCCTTCTGTGTGTGACTTCTGTGTTCCAAATGCGCGCTCTCTCAAACCCACCACACGCGCATCGAAATTTCCCCAGCGCTAAAGTTGGAAGACAAAACTCCCATCAAAAAAAAGTCCCAGCTCAGCCTCATTCAATCCTCAACCCGAAAAGCACAACAAGCCCGCCACAGCTGAATGGATGGATGGATGAATGTCAACCAATCTCTCTCCCACAGGATGCAGATCCCCACCGGCAGGCCAGGCAGACCAAGTAGTAAGAGGCATAATCGTGAGGATGCCACTTGACAAAAGACGTGACACTGATACCTCTTCGAGAGATCAAACTGCGCGCTTCTTCGCATCAGGAGTGTCCATCTCTTTCGCCGTCCTCTTCTTGGGTTTCTCCTTTGGGACCCGGTAATAGTGGGCAGCCCTGGCCGGTGGTCTGGTCGATCTGGACGCGTGGATGGCGCCCCAGAGCAACTTGGTCGACAGGTCCGGGTGAGCGAGTGCCTTTGTGAGTTCCTTTGCACGGTCGACTCCGACGCCGACTTCACGGTCGGGCCGGGGTTCCGCGTTCGGTTCGGTCTTGATCACCGAGGCCGGAGTGGTATCCTGCTTGTCCCCGTAGTGTTTGCCCTCCTTCTTGATCTCGTAGGCCAGTTGGTCCGTGGCGAGCCGGTACAAGGGGCAGTCGGTCATGGCGTTGCGCGCGAGCCACAGGACACGGGCGGGTCTGATGCAGGTCTTGTACGTCCAGAAGTGGCCGAGGTTGTCGATCAGGGAATTCTGGAGGTCGGACATGCCGTACTTGTCCGCCAGAACGTACGCTCTGAGCATGGACCCTTCCATCGTGGCCGTGTCCCAGTCGGTCTTGTTGTACACCCAGTCCGCCACGATGTCGAAGCCCCGGCAAGAGTCCTCCGGCAAGACGATTTCATTCTTTTGCTGTTCGACCATCCCCGCTGACAGACAGGCCTCGAAGAACGGGCTCTTGCTCATGAGTTGGGCTCTGTGCAGTTTGTACTCTTTGCGGCGTTTGCCGACAATGATGGTGATGAGAGGTGAGATGGTAAAGCTGTGAAGGCTCTTCCCGTCAGCATTCATGTATCCAGGTAACGCAGCACACGAGTTCAGCAGTCGTGATGTGTCCATACCTCTGTGGTTCCTCGTCGCTGGACATATCTTGGTCCTCAAACTGATCGTCGGGCGCGAAATCGGAGACAATACTGTAAAATACGTCAGATTGAGAGCGGTCGCTCTATGGAAGAAGAGCTCAATAATATACCTGGCAGGTGATCCTACCGGCTCAGTCGGTTCTACCATGACGGTGTCTGCCATGATTTGTGATTGAGATGGATAAGCGAAGATCAAGACGGGTGACAAGAATCGAAAATGGCAGGAGGAAAAAAGGTCTCGCCAGGAACAGATTCGAAAGCCGCGATGCGCTCACTGCCTTCAGTTCGCCAAGCGAAGTCATGCGAAGGGAAGTGCCATGGAATGTGAAGTGAATGGAAGTCAAGTTACTTTGCTGAGGCAGAAGCTGAAAGGTGATGCGAGTGGCCTTTTGTCGCGACCGGTGGTCGACATTGAAGCAATCACTCACTCTATGGCCGGCTCTGAGTGGTATAATATTTCCCCTTCCTAAAATAGCCTCAACTTTGCAGAAATGACCTGAAAGATCCAGTACGGTCGCATTATACACTTTGTTAGGGGGGTTTGGTAGCTGCATCAGAATTGCACTGTGTCTGTATCATTAATATCTAGAGCACTGCCCGGACGCACTTTGGTCTGATCTGCGTCAAAAACGGCATTTCCCTCTCAACCAAATTTCTCAGACATCTATGTCTAGTCTCATCTTTGTACATCAGGTTGTATCATGCTCGTTGTGCGTCCACCTTCAAATGGCACCCGCGCTCCTCAGCATATCGTCAAGCTGTGCCTTCTTTGCCTGAATGTCTGAGTTTCCACCGATATGCTTCTGGGCGATGAAGATGTTGGGAACGCTGCGCTGGCCAGTGATTTCTTCGAGGGCGTCTTGAAGCGCTGCACCGTCGTCTGTCATGATCTTGTCAGTACACGCTCTAGACTACTGATGATTTCACAACAGAATTGACGTACCAACTTGATCCAATTCCATCAAGAAATACTTTGCATGTTTGTCGTTCAACAAAGACTTGGTGGCTCTGCAATACGGGCAATAGCTCTTGCTAAAGACCACGACGGAATTGTCTTCGATGATCTGCTGCGCCTTTTGCTTTGCGGCAGACATACTGGCTGGAGACGTTGATCGTGCCGAGGCAAAGAATGACCTAGTGATGTTGCGCAAAGGGCGTAGTGGAGAGAAAATTGAGGAAGCTATGGTTGCGGTGGTTTGATGAGTGTTACTGTGACTTGGAGTCTTCGAAAGGAGTGCAGGACTTCGGTAGTTATACGACAACGACCGACCGGTATTTGAGTTATCGAGGGCCAGATGTGAGAGTGACAAATCCTTGCGATGACGATGTCGGCTGCGGCTACGAAGGGGCACTGCCCGATGATGTGATCAATCTCGCCGCTACAAGAGCTGAGTGATTACTAACCCATCCTGACGGTTTTCCCTTGGGGTTGGGACCGCCAGGATTAGGGTTACAAGATTGAATTCCTACCGGATGCAGTAACATGACTTTCCTCTTTGAGCGACACTAGAACGTTTTACTCAGCCAGCCGGACCTTTTGATCCATGAGGATGCCTGGAAACCTGAGAGTCCGCTTAAAGTGGCGACATGACATCTATTTGTATTCAAAACGGTCATTTTGGCCAACTTTCTCGAGCCGGAGGCATGAGAAATTCCAACTACATATGGAATTTTTGAAACTCTCGACAACAACTATGCGTTCTCTACACTCGAGAAGATCCAAGAACATCTGTATATCACAAAGTCACAGAGAAAAGATTCCCCATTCCATAATTTGATGATATCATCCCTACACAAATCTTACCACTCTCCTCTCATGGGTTTTCATCAATCTGGTTCTTCTGCTTTCCTTGGTACTCGTGTCGCACACGCACCTATGTTCTCCAACAACTAATCCAGTAATGATATTGATAGACAAGAAGAAGAAAGAGGACTTATGACTAACTCCCAAGCCTTGCGCTTCCCAGTCGGGTCACTCCCAAGGTCACTCCCGCTAAAATTGCATCAAGAATCAATAGCAAAAAAAAAGGTATCTCCGTCCATGAACAAATGAAAATCAACCGCTTGGGCTGCGAAGATCACCGCCAGACCCTTCAAATCGTGAATCCTACATGACAACACAACACCCGCAGCTCTTATCCTTCACCATCGCGTCCTCGTCTTGGTGCTCTATCCGTTGCACTGTGGTCGGCTGGCCTGGCACAGTCGAAATATTGCCCATCCTTGGGCTGTGCATGATTGCGGGACTTGCCACTCTGGGCATCGTGCTGTAACCACCATTCGTACTTCCGCTCGTGCCAGGCCTAGGACTTGTCGCATGTCTCATATTTGGACTGGCGACAGGTTTAAGGGGCCAAGACGCGCCGTCCCGTTCAGCATCCCGCTCATCGACGGGCGATGGAGCCGACTGTAAAATTGGAGATGCTCCTTTGGAGATCGAAGGGCTGTGGATCGCCAACGGTGAGAAGTTTCGATCATATGTGCTAGGAATGGCCCCAGAATCTTGCCATTGAGCCTGCTGTTGCCTTCGAGCATGAGTAGGAATGATCTGCTGATCTGGTGGTAACATCGGGTCTGGTTTGTACATGGTGGCCAACCAAGGAGGGTCTCCTTCAGGTCTGTTTATCGCAGTCCGAGGTCTGTCTAACTCTCCTGATCTCGTCCCCGGTCTTTGGTTGGGTGAAGGTGTTGCGCCATTCTTTGCATTTGCAGACGTCTTTCGCGTCGCTGCTGAACCAGTCGCCTTCTTTCCGGCAGATGTTTCTGGCGGAGATGACTGGCCTGTCTTCGCCTTCGCCTTCGTTGGTGATGATTGTTTTGCACTAGACAGTTTGGTACCGTTGGCAAATACGGGCGTTGTTGCAAGTGATTCGCTTTCGTCTTGCATACCCGCGCTCCCCGCGCTCCCTCTTCGCATGCGTGTCTTCAACACAGGTATGCCATCTTCAGGGCTCATACTATTACTGATAGTGCGTTTCCTGTTCAAAGGTGTATCTCGCTCAATTCTCTCGTGTGGGATCGGCAGAGGGCTTGACGTGAGAACCGGGATTTTCGAGCCCGACTTTTTCAAGATGGGATTGGAATATATGGGAGAGGGTGTTTGGTCTGCGGCTATCTCCTCCGGGGTGCGGAAATCCCAATTGTTTCGTTCGTCCTCTTCGTCTTGTGGCTGAGGTCTTGTCTCATCCGGCTCACCTTTGCCCGAATGTCCACGCTCCTCGCTTCGCCGACCCCGACTTGTCTCTCTCCTCGTGTTCTTGTTTCCGGTGCGTCGTGCATTTGCCAGATTTATTCCGGCAGCCTGCAATTCTTCGCTCTCGATTTTAGCAAGTTTGTCCCGGTGAATCCAGCCCTCAGGGTCATCTTCCCGCGGTCGGTACATGTTTTCGGGGATGTCATTATCACCCTGGTTGTTCTGCCGACTGACGTTTTGTCGACTAACGTTTCCACTGCTCTGGTTGTAGAGATCGAGCAAGCTGTCCGACTCACTCCCACTCCGTACTAACGAGCCTCCAGACTGTCCCAGTTCCTCTACCCTGTTATGAGAAGTGCGACCTATGCTGCCGCTGTCCTTGCGATTCGGTGCGAGACTTGAGAGCGGCGTCCGTGCAGAGCCATTAGAATTCTGGCGCAGACCGGACGGACGGGTTTTGGTTGATGTTGAGTTCTAGAGAATCGCGTGTCAGTGTTCTATGTCTAACGGGCCACCTCCTAGAGCTCACCTCTTGAGTCGCAGGACCAACAACATCATAGCCATTCTTTGTTCCGTTGACGATGGCGGGCGGTGGTCCCGCAGAAGCAACCCCTGCCATTTGTGATATTACCTAGTTTCCAGCTCGCTCGATGGGCTTCCCCTCAACTCAGGGTGAAAGCGCCATGTAGGACCAATCGCACTGGCCATGCAAGTCTAACGCGATCGACGCTGCAGCCCACTCGGAGACTTGTCGTGTCAGTCTGGACGAGGAAGATGCGGGTTTGTGCAAGACAATTCGCAGGGGTTATTGTCAAATCGAGGGGGGCGTGCACATGCGCTGTTTGCGGCAGAAGGGGCGAAGCAGCAGGCAGGAGTGACAGATTCGCGCAACTCAAGTCGAGCAATGGGTATCGATCGAAGTCTGATGCTCGTAAGTGTAGTGTTGGAACAATGCAAGCTGGATAACTCAGCAATATTTGAGCAACAAAGGGTATTGCACTTGAAACACGAAGGTAAAGATTACATGCTGCTACAGCGTCGCCGACCCCGTTTCGCTTAATGCATAATCCATGTCAACAAACCACTTGGCAAATGTTCCAACATCTCGGTACTTCAGCCAATCGACTTCAACACCATGTTTGAACCACAACGAGAAGAAGTGCAACAGTAACACTGAGTAATAAAGATGGACATCTCCCTTTCTGGTTTTGACGTGCGCCGAGATGTCAATGAGCTCGGCTCAGCTACCAAGTTGTCCATGTCTTTGCGGAATACGTTGATTTCATTTCGTTACTCATCAATTCCCAGGGGGAATGCTATGTAGGAATGTACAACGCCGAGTCTGAGCAAATGAGACAGTTCATACTGATCGTGAGAGACCCCATACTCTTGTATTGGCTCTGAAAATCTGTCCTGTCGACCTGGGCTTTGGAATCCAACCAACCTCAGATGCAAATATATTAGTCCTTCGATACGAACTGCCGCAGCTTCCATGGCTCCCACGATTCATCCCCCCTTCCTGTACCTGATCTCGAGCCCACCGTCACTATACTTCCAAACTGGTAAAACAAAGTAGAAATGGACGGTGCAAGGCCGCCCAACGTATGTACTTGAAGTAAATCGGCTACCAGTTGGTAGGCCAATAAAGGAGTGAGAGGACCGTTATGGGATAGCGTGGCCAGAGTCGATTGCCACCTATTTCAATGATTTTTTAATAACCTCCGACACTGACAGAGGGTCGTCGGGTAGTAGTACGTGGCGACTCACGGAAGCGTGGGCTGTACTCATTGTCGCGATAGTCGGCTGGTTCCCGTGCATAGCTGTTATAGATTGGCTCACGTCTTGAGGGGGTGTTGATCTTGTCAGACGAATACGGTCTGCTGTAGCGAGGGACTTCGCGCTCATCCGGGGAGAGTTCAGCAAACAACTTTTCGCGCCCGCTATTGTGACGCGACACAGGAGGCGTGTCTCGTGGAGAGCGAGGAGAAGGTACGTCCTCGAAGCGACCGGAGCCACTTCTTCGTACGGGAGGCGGGTTTGTCATTGAAGACATCAACGAAGCTCCACGAGACGACTTGGAGCGACTTGTGGTATCAACCTTGGGACGTTCAGGTTTGTCCTTGCGACGCTCGGATTCTCGCGGAGCTGGCTCTCTGATTGTAGACTCCGGACTTCGGTGGTATCCTCGGCCAAAACGCGGTTCACGCGGTTCATCATATTCGTCGTAAATTTTGTTGACACGATGGCTTCGCATGCTTTCATCGCCCTCGACTTCTTGTTTGACCTGATACTTGGTGCGGGTCTTGGCCGCCCTAGGCGGGCTTTCATCTCTCATCTCGGGAGTGTGTGGGCTGGAACTACTCCCATAGCCTGAATCATGTAGCTGGGTCTCACTGTGCTTGAGGTTGGACCCTTTGCTAGTGCCCTGTTCTCTTCTAGTGCCAGCCTTGGGCATCGGTGCAGTCTGGGCGCGATGTAGGCTAGGTGGCACCATCTTGCGATGATCTCGATCTCTTTCTCGCTCCCTCTCCCGCTCCCATTCACGATCCCTATCCTTCTCTCGCTCGCGGTCTCGGTCCCGGTCTCGATCGCGGCCCCGGTCGCGGGTGACACCAACAGAAGACCGTGGTACCCGCTCTTCGACACGGGCTCGGAGATCGGAAGGGGACGAGGTCGATTTCGTGAATTGCGGAGCAAGATAGTCATCGAGATGCGTCCTGCGGCCCTTGGAAGAATCAGGCCGTCTCTCACTTTCGCTGCTTCGCCTGTTGTTGCTTGAATTCCAATAGTACATCGCATCTGAGCCAGACCTATCGAGGCTTGGGCGGTTTGTCGCCTTTGCCATATAAGCTTTACTCTCTTCATGATGTTTCTCCCACTTGTCATCGCTGTCTTCGTCGTAGTCACGGGTTCGAGCTGGCCGCGCTGATGCTTTTCGCGCAGTCTCCGCCACGGGTTCGAAATGAGATGTCGTTTTCGAACGAGGAGTAGTCTTTAACGAAGGCCTAATCTCCTGGACATCAAAATCGCTGTCGGTGTCTTCAACGTAGGCAGTCCTGCGGGTGTGCATTTTGTCGCTTCTCTCACGCTTCTTCTCTTTGTCCGTCCTCCGTTCATCTGCTCTACTATTCCTCGTCTTCTCTGCTCGACTCTTCAGTGTAGCAGCAAAGGCCGCAGCCATCATGCCCGAGGTCACACTAGAAGATTTCTTCGTCTTCTCAGCTGGCCGAGCAGGTGGTGGTGCTCGTTTCTCGTACTCGCTGTACTTTCGACCGGTCGGCCGAGGAGCAGGCTCATCGTATGGATCATGGTAATCGTAAGGTGCTGCGTTCCTGGGTTGACGAACTTCTTCGTAGAAGTTTCCGTCTTCCCGATATTCTCTCGTAGATGAGGGGGTAGCTTGCGACGCAGTTCTCATAGGATAAGCTCTCGTGGTAGATGGTGGTGGGTCTCTCGTCATGGCCTCCTTCCTCAACTCTGCCAGTCGTATTTTATCATCATACCGCTGCCTCTTGACAGGATCACTCAGAATCTCGTAAGCCTGTTGGATCTTTTGAAATTCATCTTTGCCCTTTTCCCGGAGCACTTCATCCTGTATTCGATCAGGGTGGAATTTGAGAGCAAGTTTACGGTGAGCGCTGCGGATTGCCGACAGTTCGGCATCTTTCGTCACACCCAGGGTGTTGTAGGGATCTGGAGGTATAGGAGAAGCCATTAGGGATATCTAATACAATCGAGGAGAAAGAAAGGGTACGAAGGTGGCGGGTCAAAGTTGTTGTTTTGTACAGGCGGTCAACAGGCCGTGTCGGTCGTGGCGTGCATACTGGTTGGCCTCTCGGTGGTCCGGTGTTTTGTTGGTCGGGGGTTGGTGAGTAAGAGTGAAACGCGAATTAATCGACAAGTGTCGAGGAGATGCTAAAGAAAGTGAGGCACAAAAAGGAAGTCTCCGATCAAGACCTGGTTGACGAGTGCAGCGTAAAAGCCGCTGACGTCTGATGTTGTATGGAACGAAAAGAACGAGCAACAGAAGGAATGGGTGGTGCTGGTTTCAGGGCCCGGAAAGACAGATTCCAGCAGCGAGCCGATCGTCGATAGGCCTTAAAACGGTCGAGATTATGTAAGTTGGGCTCAGTAGGGTGCAGGTTTGAGGCAATTATTTGACCTCGTATCGTTGCAGTTGGCACCAGGCCACGGCAGTGCTGTTTCGATATGATATGTCGAGACAAACGGAGGAATAGAGAATGTTTGAGAAACGAGGGTCTCGTTTGTGGTTATTGAATGGGTGATGTCGGAGCACAAATCCATAACTAAGTCTGTCTGTTACAGGGATTCCCGCTTCTAGGCCTGAAAGAGGAACCGTCCGAGGGTGCAGGAGGGAGGCTGTGATAGAAACTACGGGCGCCCGCTTCGCGCCCATAGGGTCGCCTACAGTTGTCATCACGTTGTCATTTGCCGCTTGTTCGGGGGGCTTGCCTGGTAGATTGAAGCCTAAAAAACAATGCGCTCCAGGCACCCGCCGCCCGAATACCCAGTCACTCCCGCCCATCCTCGTATTCCACACCCTCCTACGGAGTAGTACACCCTCCTTACTGTTTGCTACGTTGGCCCCCTGGCACATCAGGGCTTCTTCCTGCTTCTCTCCTCCTTCTCCCGCCCTTCCGCTTACAGCAACCGTGGCGTGGTCGATCATACCTGATCTCAAGGCATTGGGGTATCGCACCACCCCAGTTACTCTGGAGTACGATGAGTGTTTCGCAACATCCATGTGATGCTCTCAACAATGTCGAAGTTCCCGTGACAAGCCTCATCAGACAGACACGGTACCGAGTGTCTGAGCCTCATGCGTTCCTCGCACCTGCATAATGTCGTGTGAATCACAACGATGTACGACTACGGAGTCCTGGTAAGCACCACCGCTAAGGTCCACAGCTGAGGATAAACATAGCACATCCACTCGCAATCAGCATCTTTTTGTCGTCACAAGCTGCTTCTACATACTCGTACCGTTGCTATCGTCCCTCCATCGTTTGGCTGGGTTGTGCTTGTGGTCGATAACAAAAGTGATTCGACAAGAGCGATTCCTTTGCACCACCAGCCGCATGGCTCGCATCCATTCATCGAAGATGTACTCCCACCCACATCGACGCTGCCAGGCACGCAACGGTCGCCCAATATGCTATGATGGATGACCAGGTTTCGATTTGCCCACCTGCATCAACGTGTCACGCTTCAAAGGAGTCGAGGCCATTCACTGGTCAAGTTCTCCACATTGGTCTCGTCTATCACAGTGTCCTACAGTATGCACCAGACAGGTTGCTGTGACCATGCCCGTCATGGAGGCTAGCAACGCGATTCTTACTCGCCCACGTCGTGCCACGGGGTCAACTGTTTATTAGCCTCCCAGCCAAGTCATCTCAGTCGTAGGAAGTCCTGCATGAGTCTCCAGCCTCCAAGCGATAGGGGCTCGCGTATTGGACACGAACCTCAACTACATGACTCGATTGGATCTAGCGCTGGAGGCGCAGCTAGCATTAGCTCTCATTCTGACATGGCAAAGCCAATGCATGAGCAGACGTCGGAAGACTGCCAGGCAGATATGAATGTGTCCACTGGAGGAAATCGATTATCTACGGGGGTTGTTTTTCTGACCTTGCTGACCTTACCGAAGGCCCAGCGCGTAAATAGAGCATGGCCAATCCAACGAACGAGTCCTCATGATCCTCACACCACTCAGCTTGCGCCGTTGACCTCACTCCACCACAAGCCAACCGAGCCACGGCCCGCCCCCAGACTTCGAATGAAGATCTACCGAGAGCACAAGCCAACAAATCGGCAACTCCCCTCATTAACGATTGGTAGGGGAATTTTAGCCACCACGGTTACTTTCTCTCTGTTTGCCAGCGACAGAAACAACGACAGGCCGAACGTGGTCCAGAGGGTGACAGATGATCTGTACGGGTACGAACGACAGAAGAATGTGAACCTAACAATGCTCTTTTTCGAGAATACTGCGAAATAGTCCAGCAGGTCGATGAGATGGCAGTCCGGAACCGTTCCTCCCACCAACGCGAGGCGAAGAACAGGGAACCTTTGTTCTTATGCCCACCTTGACCCAACTTGGACAGTCTCTCGAAACTCCCTTGCAGCCACTTTGTTCGTAGCCTATCAAAGGCCACCAACACATGCCTCTTGCCGCCTGGCACTGCATCACCATCACATTTTGCATGTTTCCATATCTTGTGCCATGTCTTGGGCACACTTTGACACCTATCATGCAAGTTCGAACTGGGCAGAGGGGTCCTGACTGTCAAAGTTGTTGACATCAATCAGAGTGTACACATGACGACAATGAGGTGTGGAAAGCGCATGTCTGGCCAGTGTTTATTGGTTATTACCTACTCATTCCCTCGTAAGGGCCTTTCTCCTCATCGCCTTGTACTCCACACGTTGGGAGAAAACACTTTGGCACGAGACGTACTCGTATGCTTGCCCATTCTTGACGTTCATTGTGCTTTGGAGGAGCCGCCACATGATTCGCCCAGGTTGTGATAGCCTGACTCGCCCAGGCAACACTGCATTCTTATCAGCGGCTTTCTAGCTAGTTGGCTAGGCGTCTTTCGCAAGGAGACTGGACGCCCGAAAACGGCTGGGCAGCCTGGTCTTGAAAGGTTCAGATCGATGGGCCAGACTTGAGGCGAATACATGTCAACGCGTTCAACTAGATCTACGCAGTCTTTTGATTGATCTACGGGTCGAAATCCGTTGCCTATTTCAAGGCCTCGCCCTCGGTCCTACATTCAGGGTTCTAATGGGTCAAGACTGTCAGCCGTGCCGATCTGTGGCTGAGTTTTGGGAGGTACGCAAAACTTTTGTCGTACGCAGTGCGCAGTCTGCGTGCGTACGAATGAATCAGCTGCTGGCTGCTACTGCTGTGAAGTAATCTTTCTTCCTCGTCCCACATTGCACGCAATATCGTATGGGAATATGTGGTCGTGAAGGGTACGTTTTGTGTGCTTCTCAGCGCTTAGTGGGTGATGGGACAACATGATAGGCCCCCGTGTTACCATTGACTTTTTTATGTATGTAAAGTTACGAAAGTAGGTACTCATTCGAGTTAACGGAGAAAGAAGAGCATGGACTGTAAGTCCTGTAGAAATGTCATGCTGACTTTTTGCCACCTCTCTAGGTATGAAGTACTCCGTAGGCGCCAGAACGATTCGTACGAATTGGCAGCGAGCGGCTATTGTATCGCAGCGACAGAAGGAAAGTCCCGTCTCTTTTTGAGATTTTTATGCTTTCCTTTTTCTCCCTCCGCCAGAGTACATTCTATCACCAGTGGCGCTGACATTTGGTCCGATGGCGAAAAAAAGAGTCGAGTGGTTAGCCGTGGAGGGGGAAAGAGGGGGGGAGAGCGGCAAAAATCAGAATCAAACCCTTGTTCGGGGTTGTCCAACTTCAAGGCGCGCGATTCAATACCCGGCAAAATGCAACCCTTGATCCTTAAATCTCTTGTTCAGTTGTCGGGGGATGATTGATCGTCGCCTACTTGTACCAGCCCAGCACCTGGTAGTAAGAAATCTATTCTTAAAGTAACGAGAAAAACAGTAACAGTACGGAGTGGGACCTTTCGTGAGCACCACGGAAGATGAAATGTACTCTAGACTCTGTGTTCTGCACGGGATATTTTGTGTTTTCTTTTGAAGAGTAAGGGTATGGGTGATGCTCAAAAGCATACAGTTGGAATTATGAGTAGGATTTGCTTCTTTTGGGGGGGGCTCGCTCGCTTTGTTACCCCGTGACGCGGCGACGGGAGCGGCTTCGAATGTTATGGGTAAGATGTGGGCGAGATATATCAGCATTTCTCAAAGGCCTCGTCACTGAAAGAGTGTTTGTATGAATATATTCATACGAGAACTGGTGACCAGGTACTTGAATACTGCGAAACATGAGTGGAGTGTTACTTGTTGCCTTTGCCTGAATTACATTTGCATATAACCAAGTACCTGAGATATGGTACGTACCGGGTACGACGTAGACAGAATCCACACGCGTCATCAAAGACCTCGACCACCATGCCTTGCGTTGATTAAAGAGATCAATCTGGTCAACTTTCAAGACATTGGCCCACAAACAAAACAAAGGCATACCGTATATCAATCCTCTCACATCTGAACATTTGACCTTGAGACCGCCGAGTCCCCTCTTCACATTGGAGGCCATTTCTCATCTTGTCCAACCCCCCTTGTCCTCAAGAAGACAATACGCCAAAGGTGCCCTGAGTAGATCCTCTTCCTCGAACGCTTTGGCGAGAGTCTTGTGGTGAGGCATGTCCTTGCGGGAGGAAAGTTTTGAAATGTCGTCGATTCTTGATGTCGAATGAAATTCAAGTTAGTATGATGTAACCTCCCATGTTATGAGAACAATGAAATGTCCATGACTTCGCCTTGCGGACTGGAACCGAGCTAGGAAATCCCTGAAACTTCAAAACTCGGTCGAGTCGAGACATCAAACGACTCGAATTCGTCCGTACCGAAATTCAATGAAATAGTGCACCAGGTCCCCCTCGAGACTTTTGGCAGAGTAAACTCGATACATCGAAACCCACGGTTCGTGGGCCTTGACTTGGTCGAGGACGTAGTCTCCTAATTCGGCAATCCGGGCTTCTTTGCCCGGCTTGGGTGAGACGTGAACAAAAACGTTTGCGGTCGTCATTTTCGTGTTTGTTTCGAGTCGAGAAGGTGGAAAGGGGTTCTTGTGTGAGTGAGATGAAGATCAAGGGAGAAAGTTCAACGGTTGGCTTGCAACAGCAAGAAACCACTCCAACAGAAGAAGCATGACAAGACGGAAGATCGAGAGGCTGGCTGGGGCAGTAAAATGGATGGATATATATATGTAATACACGTTGAGAGAGATCCAAGAAACCAAGAGCGTGTGACACCTTCGTATTCCTTTTTTCAGCTCAAGTTCATTCTTGTACTTGTTGAGGGCACCCGAGGAGCGTTCGGCTGATGACAAGCTCAGTGGCTATTTGTTGAATGAATGTCTGACTCCTTGTGTGGCTTCACGAGCTGAAAAGAAAACAAATACGAACACGAGGGAAAGAAAACCGACCTTCGTATTCATGCCCGCCTTGGTTCGTATATAATGGCGGGGGGGGCAGGAGGTCCCTGCGTGTGTGTGTGTCAACAAGTTTGGATGAAAGGCAAGGGATATATTCGTATTTCGGGAATACGGATGTTGATGCGAATGGGGAGGATAGTGTGTAGACATGTCGAGGTTGAGGTTGATGTGAAGAAAGTAATGTTCAAGACAGGAAGCGTAGGGCCATCTAATATTTGGTATTCATGATGGAGCTTACTGTACCATTGCCCTTCACGGAAGATTTATTGAATCAGTACTTACTAACAGAGGATACGGGACACAAGATACAATACCGCTTTCATGCCCTTTTCCTTTTTAAAGAAAAAGAATGGGAAAATTGATGTGTTGAGAAGAGATTCATGTAGCCATTCTTCAGATACATACTTCCTCCACCCGTGCAAACAACCTTCACGTTTCCTACCTGAACAATGACAATTCCCGATTGATACCTACTAGGTATGCTATGCCTTGAGGATTCCTATTTCCAAAGAATGCAAAAAACCAAAACCCAACAACAAAAACCTTACAATCCAAAAACCAAATGATTCCCAAACGCCACCAAGAAAACTTCCAAACCTTTCCAAATTGTCCGAACCCCCTCTCCCCCTCTTATCCACACCTTTTATCTCCTCCCAAAGGTCCTTCCTTCACTTGCTCCCCCAATGCTTGTGCTTCGACCAGAATTCTGCCTGGTTTCTCGCGTGAACCTCTTCAATCTCCTTATTCCTCAATTCCGCGTAGATGTTCCGTGATGGTGGTATGTAGAGGACGTCGCGTCCTGGGTCGGGGATGCCGGCTCGTTCGAGCATTTCGGTGAAGGTCGTACTGTGGGTGCCTCGTTGGCTTCGTGTTTGTTTCTGTTGTCGTTGTTGGTGGTGGTGGTGGCTGCTGGATCCGGTGTTGTTTCGGCTGTGTTGTTGACTCGTTGCAGCACCACCAGCCCAGACGACAGGGCCAGCAATGCTGGAACTCTGCGTCCTGGAGTGGTGGTGGCTGCTTGCTGCCTGGCTGTGTCTGCTGTTGTTGCTGTTATTGTTAGATTGTCGGTTAGGATGGTGGGAGGTCGTCGAGGCCACCGAGGGCGCTGGGGTCACTTGTGGTCGGCGGTCGTCTTCGACGGGGATCGATTTGGAGGAACAGCAACCCATGTTATCGGTGGAGGTGGTGTCGTGGGTAAAATGTCGGTTGTTGAGTATGAGTGAGGGGAGGCTGTGGTTAGTAAGGTCGTTGTAGTCGGGTGTTGTTGAGGTGTATGTCGAGTATTTCGTGTTGTAAACGTGACTGTTGTGGTTGGGGAAGTCGTCGAGTGCAAGTGTAGTCGATGGTCCTGTGTCGTACGTTGTGAATCGATCGGTCTCGGAGGATTGGGGAGGAAGTCCCTCTTATAAGAATTCTGCCGACTCTCTGTATGCTTTTCAGTGGCTCCCCAGTTCTTCAGCGTGACTCACCTCGAACATATCAACTCGTGGTTCTGTCTGTTTGAGTTTGTATACAACAGGCACTGAGGGTGGATGTATAAACTCTTCAGTCGGACCCACCGTCAACTTGGGACAAAGGTCCCTGATGCCACCAAATGCCTCAAATGTCACGTAGAGTACCAGAGGATACACGAAAACTACATGCAAGTCTCAAACCTTTCTGCAAACACCGAAGCCTGAAGTCAGGAATGGAAAGTCTTGTCGAGGGAGGGATCACCTATGGAGTACCGGGCGCAATTTGAATTTTCAGGATTCCAATGAGAATTGTGTTGGGAAGTGCGTATTGTCGCCTACAGGAGTCAAATCACTGTTGAAAACCTGGTCATGAACTCTATCCAGCACATCTTGTGGTGTCGAATGGTGTAATTCCTGGACATTGAATTTCACTTGTCGTGGAGTAACTTGATCGATTCTGAGACCTTGATAGCTGCTAATGGAGTCATCATACCCAAACAATGGCTACTCTTCTATCATCTGAACTCCATAGAAGGAAACCATCGTTTCACGCCCACCTTTTCTTTGCAGGCAGAGTCACTGCACCCGCAAGTATAGGTTTTGCGTTCCCCCACCGAGTCAATTCCGGACTTGGCTGTTTTGTCTGATATTATGTTCGATAATGGCATGCCTTCAGGCACCATTCTCAGAGCCTGGTAGGGCTGAGATCCAGGATCATAGTACAGGCCATCCACCTCGCCTGTGAGTCTGTTGAGAGCGATGTAATAAAATCCTGAAATTGTCAGGCCCCAGGATGTACCCGCTCCCGGTTCAGATGGTCGCGCAGTATACTGCGAGGATGAGGATGACCCTGATGCCGTAAAGATTGTCCTTGTCTGGTTAGAGCTGGACGACTGGGCGCCTGAGTCGACAAAACAACGCTCCTTCCATCTCATCAAAATCCACTCTTGGCCCAATTTTCCATCGAGCCATTTGGCACTTCCTAGGCAGCGAGCCATGATTTCATCGTCCTCGATCTGGCGGCTTTCTTCTGTTCGGTGAGAAGACGAGTTCCGAGAATTGCTCAACTCTTCGTTTTCGTTCGTTTCAATCTCCATGCCCGCTATTCCAGGAATTGCAGGTTGCTCCTTATAATCGCCGTCATCCCTCGTAGATTTTCGGTATGCATTCCACAGACGACTATCTTGCTGATACTCCACCCTGGCTTTGCCACGTAGATTCCTGACTTTCTCTATCTCTTGCCGGAATGGACCTAATCGGGCCCAATAGCTTGCATCTATATCAAGACCGCCCACTCGGTAGTCTCTACCTTGAGGTTCGGTTTCGAGAGTTTGCTTTCTGAAGTCGAGAATCTCGCCAGTGAAGTAAGAAGACATACTCGTAGTAGAGGCCGGCTGCTCGATTGTTGAGAGGCGTGTAGGCGAGATCCTCTCCGGCATGTGACTCGCTGACATAGTGCCAGACAAAGTCATGGAGTCGTAGTCAACCGAATGGATTGTCACTTTGACAGGCCAATGATCTGATTCAACAGGATGGGGCGATTGCGAGGTACGTCGAGGTGGCGGTGCTTCTCGAGCAAAGCCCCATCTGCCGTTGCTATCCTGCAGGAGATCAGATAAGTAGCGTTCAGCATCTATTAAGGATCCAGACAATCCTTCCACTGCTTCCTGAAAAGTTCCGCGCATCAGTTCCCGTCTCCGTGTTATACTCCGCTGAAAAATATCTCGTTGTGTATCACGACGAGTTTGAGACGCCCAAGCGACTGTGCTTTGCGAAGGCTCACGCTCAGTTGACTGTAGACCATGCCAGACCATTCCTGGCACCAACCACGAGCTGTATTGTGGCACGGGCAGATTATCAACATGCATGGGGAGGTCGCTTGGCATGTTTGATTCTTCGAACTGATATAATGAGTCGAGATCTAGGCATCTGGCCAGTTCAAGTCCGCCCACGGCGTCAGTATGCCGAAGTTGGGATAGATATCGGATGGAGTTCTTCACTCGCTCAACAGCCGCTGAGCTCCCTGCTCCATCCCGTTTTCTTCGGGCGCCGCCAGGCGTGGAGTTAGCTTCGTTGTGCAATCGGCGTAGTTCAACACTTCGCCATTGTCGGGCCGACATTCGATCTTGGTTTTGCAGTATGTTAACTGCCGAGGACCGAGCAGTGGACTCCCTGGCCGGATTATCTTGCCAGTACGCTCTCAAGGCACTGGCAGTTGGTACCGCGCCCAGTTCCGTGATTCTACCTGTCCTGATCAGACCATTCCTAGCCGATCGGTAACTCTGCAAGGCTCTCTCCAAACGTTGAAGATCTCGTCGTGCGCCGCCGATATCATTATGCTGAGCGGCCGTGCTGAGTCGATCCAGATCGTCGTCACTATCATCGCTAGATGAGAAATCTCGAAAGGCCTGACCGTGGGTTGAATCAACAAGGTTGTCCGTCGTTGATGTGCGAGTGTTCCCTACGTAGATCCGTCTCGCCGGTGCGTGATTCTGCATGTTGGTCTGATCAGTGGTCTCAGAAGGCCTATTGAGGAATTCTTGCTCTGTCAAGTATCTTGGTCTTGCCCAGATATCTTCTCCGATCTGTCTCAAGTCCCGATGATCTTCGTTCTCCTCAGTGCGTGGTTCAGTCTGCCATGGGCGTGGGGTGTCTCGGATACGTCTGGAGAGGATAGGAGTGCTGCCAGCGGAATGGCTGCTCCGACTTCTTTGGGCTTCGCCTTCTGTGGTTGACTGTGCAATATTCAGTGTGGAAGCGAAATCAGGAACAGCTGTGGAGATGGATTCAGTAATCTGACGCAAATAAGGGTCGTGGATTGTCGCGGGTTCGAGAGGTAAACGAATGGGGCGTCCGGGAGGAGTTGACGGACGTGTATCCTGCAAGAAGAAGACGTCATGTAAGCCTTGAGGACTTAATACACAGCGATGCTATGGAGGGATCGCAATCAATTGGAAAACGAAGAAACCATGGTGTGAAGGGCACGTCGTCCGAAAGAAGTTCTGGGACAGACAACAAGAGAGAAATGTCAAGCTGATATATTCTTACAGTAGGAGAGTTTGCGGGCGGCATGAGTTGAGAGGTGGTTGCGGAAGTGTTCGGGCACACTCGTCGTCGAGGTTCACTGCGTCGCCAGGACCTGCAAGGCTGCAATGGTATAGTCTACGGAGACAAAAGTTTCGCACCCATGCTCGACATGGTATGAAGAAGACGGGTACAGGATAAAACAAGGTATGAGATGGAGGAGCAGTGGAATCACAACGAAGGTAGATGCGTAGCGACGATGAGGTGGTGTACGGGATATGTTCTACATAGTCACTACCGAGTTAGAGTACGGCTGATTGTCAGTGACATAACCACCGAAAGCGGCACTCCCCAGGCGCCGCTTTTGCTCCCCAAAAACCTGTGTGGCACGTGCCTCAAATACTCGTAAAAGTACGGAGTACTCCGTACCTACCTACCTACCTACCTACCTACATAACTCCGAGAACGACATAGGTGCTGCGTACATCATAACCTGACCCTTGCACCTTTACATGAGCGTTATTGTTGTTAAACCTGCCCCCAAGCTAACCTCGTCAAATGTTGTCTTCCTCACAAAAGTGATTACTCGGTATGTCTTTTCGCTCGAGGGTACGATGATCCTACTTATCGCCAACGCCGACTCTTCCGCACGCCTTGTTCTGTCTCCCCAAGTTGGTCGACATTACACAACGGTACTCGTCCATAGCCCTTGGCGGTGTTTGTCGGCCAGACGTTTGGCCTCAGAAACTTGGGCCAAAGCCTGTTGAGAAGGACGTGTGCCCTCCCCGACGGGAGCGATCTTGGGCGGTGGACCTGGGATCACTCGCAAAACATAACTCGACGAACCCGCGGGTTGACTCCACGCTGCGGCCAACGATAGTGACGTAGGTGAGGAAAAAGGAGCCAGCGAGATCCCGTTGGTATGGTATGAGAGAAGGGAAAATTGTAGAAACTTCCGTCCATGTCGAGTTTTGGGAGTAGCTGAGGTCGGGGTTCGGAGTTAGATTCTTGGTCTTTGTAGTGGTTCCCACTTGACAGAGATACTGCTTCTCCTGCGGGCTCAAGGACGTCTCAGTCTCGTAGCCCTTTCCAGGAGACATCGACAGAAACTTCGCCGTCTCGTCTCGGAACTTCACGGGAGGAGTGGTCTTGCGATGGCCCTGCAAACGCGTCCGAGATGGCGACATGTCCTATTTTGTGGCTTGGTTTCGTCACATTTGACGCGGCGTTGTCTGCAGGTGATACAGCCGTGTGAGGCGCCTCGGTTGACCATAGTGACTGATGTCGTCCACGGAAGACCATCAATGCTCGGCAATTGCTTCTGCCTTGTGAGTACAAATGGCTATCATCAGAACAAGTGTGCTGTCATGGCCACCTTCGACGATGGCACCGAGGATCAGTCGGGACTCGGAACTATGTCACAAATGTATAAGTCGCAACATCCTCTGGGAGTTGAGGCCATCTCTGTTCTCATTGAGAATACTACCAAACACGCTGGATCACGAGTATTCAGGAGTGAAAGCTGTCTCTAATCTGATCTACTTCAAGCCACCGGACCACCGTCGCCATGAAGATGTCTCCGGTCTTTGCTGGCGTCGCCCTGGCAAGACTCTGCCACGCCCAAAGCAACGAGTCCCCGGTCCTCGTCCTGAGCAGTGATGACTCGTTCAACTTCGATATCCTGCCAGGCATGGGCCAGATAGCTAACGATGGGGCCGACACGGTGCCCTCACTAGCAGTGGCCAAGAAGATCATCCCAGGCAATTGGACGACGTACATCGGCGCATGGTTTGAGTTGGCCAATGCAACCAAGGCCCAAGCGATGAATCAGGAACTGGCATATGACCCGATCAATGTCAGGGCAACATGGTTCTCCCTATCGGACTACTTTCGTCGCGCTGACGCCTACAACCGCGAGGATTGGGACGACCCGCGTATCAATGGTGGGCCGAGGAGATGACTGCTTTTGACCATGCCATCGCCGCCCTCCCCGTGCCCGGCAAGGGCGAAGAACTTCACTGTTGAGGCAATCTGGTACCCCCAACAGGCTGAAAATACCAATCAACCCAAGCAGCTACAAACCTTGATTCTGGGCCAGGGGTTCGATGCCGCTCAAGAGGACTTGTATTCCACACTCGTGGCGCCCGCATTGGCACGCGGGTGGAACGTCATCTCCTGCGAAGGACCTGGGCAGCCCACGGTACGCCGTTTTCAGGGACTCGGTTTCGTTCCGGACTGGGAGCGGGTCGTGACCCCAGTTGTTGATTACCTATTGAACGAGAAAGCGGCTTTTGTCGACCGGCAACGATTGGCCCTCTTTGGCAACTCCCTCGGTGGCTATCTTGACGCCCGCGCCGCAGCCTTTGAGCCTCGACTATCGGCCCTCCTGCTCGACGGTGGCGTTTGGGACATGTATGATGGCTACAAAGGGCACTTGACCCCGGCCTTGGACGAGCTCCTCGAGTCCGGGGATCAGGAGGCCTTTGATAATGAGATGAATGCAATACAAAGCAACCCAAACACGACAACCGAGTTGAAATGGGGCATCCTTCAGGGTCTTTGGGCATTCAAAACCCACTCTCCTTATTATTTCTTCCAACAGACAAAGAACTACACGTTGAAGGGCGGTATTGCGGACATGATCCAGATGCCAACCTGGATTGCAGATGGGGAGTGCGATGCCACGTTCCCCGGTCACTCGGAAATGGTCAAGGACGCATTGGGTGATCGTACCGCCCTGCATATCTTCAAGGGAACAGCTGGATTCCACTGCCAGACAGGGGCACCGCAGGAGTTGGGTCGGGTCCTTGTTTGCCTGGCTGAATCAAACACTTAGTTAGCTGTATCTCAGTGTTGTTCATGTAACACCGAATGGGATCGTGAATCTGGTGCATATGTGGGACGCTGCCTGAGGAGCGATTTGACAAGAGTAAAGACCGAATCGTACAATACATTCACATTCAAACCACAGAGCACAAGCATTCACCTCGCTTTGAAGGCTTTATAGCACGATGGTATCGCAACATCGGCAGGCATTAAATGACAGACATGCTTCTCTCTTCCACTCATAAAATACAATACCGTACGAAACCGATATAAGTAACTCGAGTAATGAGCGACATTCGGTAATGTGAGGATATAATTTGATACGGCCTTGGAGAAAAATGTCATCGTGCCATTTGAAGAATCTTGGGTGACTTGGGCGCGTATATTCAAGCTCCGGGCGCAGACACCTTCATCGCCTACACCCGCTGCTCCAATAGTCTCTGTTCAGTCGCATGTCTTCGTTATGAGTTGTGTCGCGAATCAGGAGGGTTCGAGGACTTTCATTCACACGATATTCACCAGCTCCTCAGCCTCGTTGTGCTGGTGTTTCCTCCGCCTTGACATTCTCCACAAGGCGCAGGCGACTTTGTTGGCCTCGTACTGTACAACTTTCCGCTTCGCAACGTCTCGCTCTCTTGAAGCCTCAAAGCCGCATCCAACTTTTCAGATCTTGCGTCGCCCATTGTCATTATGGACAAGTGAGTTTATGTTGATCGCGTACACCTCAGTCTGTGTTCTCCGCTAATCTGTGCTTTCTAGTATGGACGCGCCTGATCCTTCTGTAAACTTCTTTGCACCTGAACTCTTCCAGCAAGAAGACGACGCGACTCTTCCTCACAACTCCCTACATCCTCTTTCTCACGATGTCGACATGGCCATGGTAGATCAAGATGGACATGACTTGCACACTTCCGAACTCCCCGGTGACCTCGTCGATGACGGTCTTGTCAAGCAGGAGATGATCGAAAGTGATTATCCTCCACTTGACGATGAGTCTCTCCCTGTCGATACTACGACATCATTAGATGTGGTCGACGGGTCGCTCTTGGGAAACGACTCATCTCCACGCGGCTCGCCAGAACAGAGTGGAAAGAAGCCCAGGGCCTCTGGCAAGCCTCGAAAACCTGATCCAAACGCGCCGCCAAAGTCTCACGTGCACTCTTCCAAAAACGAAGGTCAGCACACCGATCGCAGATACCTTTGCTATCTCTGCAACAAGTTATTCACCAGGAGACGGTCTGTAAGAGACCACATCTCCAAGATCCATAATACAAAGACATGGGAACCACTGCGCAGCCTCGAAATCATTGTTGAGCCCATCACCGGCGAACCACTGGAACCTCTCGAAGAAATAGTCGCACGAGGCCCGCCGCCTCCACCTCCTAAGCTGACCAAGGCAGAAAAAGCAGAGAGGCAAGCCAAACATGAAGAAGAGGAAGCGGATGGCGATGACGAGCCCGAAACCGTTGCTCGAGTTCAACGCGAATCTGAAGAGCGAGACATGAGACCTGCACGTGAATCACATGCCGCTGAAGCATCAACGCCTCAACCGACAAGCTCCATCGCGACGCTGAAGAAGGAGCCCTCGGTTGCGGGATCCAGAGCATCTTCCACAGAACCTTTTGCAACCCCAGCGCCCGTTGCGGGCAGAAAGAGACCTGCTCCGGACGACTCTGCTAAATCTTCGGCGGCAGCTAAGAAGAAGGGGACTGCCAAAGTTAAGAGCTCGACTGCGCCCAACAAACGATCGAAGCTGAGCGAGTCCGAGAACAGCCCACCAGCCAGATCGGCCTACCGATCTCCCAGTGCTACGCCGGCTTCCACGCTGTTGAAACCGATTCCTTCCAAGCTTAAGAAGCAGACGTCTGCGGCCAGTGTCAAATCCTCTCCAACCCCTGCTTCTTCTCGTGGCGGTTCCATCGAGGCCAGATCTCGCTCAAGCTCCGTCGCCGATACCCCGGGCAGCTCCAATGATGATGGTGAAATATTTTGCATCTGTAGAAAAGGTGACAATCATACTTGGATGATCGCGTGTGACGGCGGCTGCGAAGAGTGGTTTCACGGCAATTGTGTGAATATACGAGAGAGGGACGGCGATCTCATCGACAAATACATCTGTCCGAGATGCGCGAAACCAGGTTTACAGACGACATGGAAGCGTATGTGCAGGCGGAGAGACTGTAGAAAGCCTGCAAGGGTCACACAAGACCCCCCGAGCAAATACTGCTCTGATGCTTGTGGAAGGATGTTCTTCGTTGAACTGGTTCAGCGTGGCGACCCCAACGTGCAGGTCAGCAGAGATGGCCAGTACATCGTCGAGGCCGAGAAACCGAAGAAATTGCGCAAAAAGCACAAAAAGACCGAGGGCCGGAACAAGATGGCCAGGTCACTCAACAACGTCAACGGCGACGTGGGGACTCCGATCAACAACGAAAGTCGACTCGCGACACCCGCGTACAGTGACGAGGAGAAGACCGAGTACGAGACCGACAGCAGCCTGGACGATGACATGTTGCCCAACCGCGGCTCGTCGTTGCGGGCAGGTGAAGTCAAGGCGCTTCTGGAAAAGTGCAAGGACGTTGAAGAGTGGCGTGCGCTGGGACGCAAACCGGAAACACCTCCACGAGATGTCGACATGGGTGACGTGGATGCCAATGCCACGACAAAAGCAGAATCCAAGGGATTAGAATCGGAATTGAAATTGGAGTTCGACGAGCTCGAGATTGCAAAGATGGCCAGTATCCAAGAGGAGAAGGTCAAACTCAACGGACGCAACGACATTCTCAGCGCGCGGGAATTGTTACTCGAACTCGTCAAGGTCAGGTCCGGCAGCATCACGGACGAGGTCAAGAAGTCACACCCCAAAATGAAGGACGTCTGTGGATTCGACCCACGGATGGCGTGGTCCGATGAGGAGTTTGGAAATTGGTACTTGCAGCGTGGAGGCAAGGAGATTCTGGACCAGGGGATCGAAAAGGCCAAGATAGGACCTCCCGAGGACGGCGTCGTCGTGAATGGGATCGGAGAGCACGAGCATGACGACGATGACGACGATGACGACGACGACAATGGAGGTGACATGCCGAAAAAGGGTGGGGTCTGCGTCAAGAACCGATGCCCTCGTCACCGCAACTGGGCTAAGAGCCAACTTGCGGAGTTGAGGTTCGAGCAAGACCTCGTCCGACGCCAGCTGGGGAGGTGCGACACCCAGGAGCAAAAGATGAAGGAGAGGGCCACGGTCAGAGCTTGGGAGAAGAGAGGTTTGTTGGTTTCGTCGACCACAAACTAGAAAAAGTCGACTTTGAACCTCGACCTCGACCTCGACCTCGAAAACTCCACCAACCTGAAGACTTGAGCTGACCCCGTGTATGTTCGTCGACGTCTACGTTTGCTCCAGATGGGTGGTTGTTTGTTTACCATTCAATGAATTATTTTTTTCTTTTTTCAGAGTCTTCGACCATCGTCACTCGACCGACAGATGATTACCTCTTGACCATGACAGACAGACAGAGAGACATGTGTCTCTTTGACGACTCCATGGATGATTGTTTTTTCAGGCCAGACCAAAAGCACAAGGCTATGTACTCGAACAAAGTACCTACTCAGTCGTGGACAATAGGAATTACCACGATACGAAATTAAAAGAAACCGAGAAAAACAGACCACACCCTTTCTTTTGTGTAACTGTACCCTACTACTACATACACTCTGTAGGTCTTTGTGTATACAACCTACATACCCACGCGGGCCCCCCCCCTGATGGAGGGGCGGTGGTGACACAACACCACATCAAGGAAAGAAAAGAAGAAGACTCCTCACACAATCCACTCAAGTACCCCTGATATTACTCCATGGTACACCTCGACCCCTTTTTATTTTCAATGCTCATCCAAAGAAACCCCATGCCGTCCATACCCCCTCTCCCCCAGGTCCAGAAGTATGCTCCGAGAGAAATAAAAGGCAATAAAGCGTAGCGATCATATTCATCAATAATGCGGCATCCGAAATTCGGAACCCTAGAGACCTGATGAAGAAAGAGGAAACAGAGACAATCAAGATTGTTCCTGCTTGATCCGTCTAGACAAATGTTCAACAGAAAAGTGATCCTCTCAAGCACTTTCCTCAACATGTCTGAGAACAGGATAAAGTTGTTCTTCTTCCGATCGATCTTGAAGTTTATGATCGTCCGTGCCTGTCATGTCGTGATCAAGACCATCTTGCTTGGGGGTGAGTGCCTTGTCACTCTCGTCGTCGAATTGACCCGTCTCCAATCGTTTCTTGATCAGGTCACGCATCCACTCGATGAGTCGCATGTTCTGAACCCAAACCTCGCCGGGCTCTGGGTCTTTCGAGTCACTCCTGGGCGAACCTATTTCGGCAGACAGGGCGGGATCAATGACGCTGTCACCGGGGGATCCGGCCTTCTTCTTGCCCTTGTTCATGGCCGACGCGGGAGGCGTCATAGAACCATCAGTCGCAATGTCCATGTCGTCCTTGTCCTTGTCGGGAGCGGCGCGCTGGAGCATGCCACCGCTGTAGCGGCGTCTCTCGTCATTGTCAAACATACCACTGAGGGTCGCGGCATTGGCAGCGGCATAAGCCATGTCACTGGCATTCGACGGGAGACTCGGATACATGGCGCTGCTGGTTGGAGCCGCATGGTTCTGTAACGGGCTTTGACCGGAAGTGTAACTCTGGGCCGAGGACGGCGGGGTCAAGCCTGGGGTACTGGCATCAGCTGTGCTGGCAATGCTGCCTTGATGGGTGTGTTGAAGAAGGGAGGCAGGGTTGCTTTGGGCTGCACTGGTTGGAACTTGAGCAGCACTAGGCGGGCTGTTGCTGGTGCGGTAGGCGACGTAGCCAGGACCTGCTTGTCCGACTCCAGTGTTGGCAAGATGAGTGTCGTTCTCGTAGATGGTGGCTTGCATTTGCTCCAGGATCTGATCGATCGAGGTCAAGTCACCTCGGGTCTTTGCGTTGCCCATTGGTGGTAGACTGTAAGCTTGAATGGGATCTTCAGATTCGTAAGCACCGCCAACAGAGACCGGCTGATAGGCAGGAACAGCAACATTGGCTGGAATAATCTGGGGAAGTTGAAGACCTTGAAGCTCGAAGAGACGGCGGCTGATGTTGTGGAAATTGGCAGGATCAAGCTCTCTCCGTCTAACTTGACCGAAGAAATGGTCGAGGGCGTCGTACCCGCGCTTCCGAGTCTCATAATCGTATGTGGTCGGGGGCGCTGTGCTGTAGTACGTCACTGGACCGTAACCGGGGTGTTGTCCAGTCTGTTGAAGTCGATTAGCACGGCTCCCATCGGGCAAGAGGGGATAGAGATCAAAGCTTACCTGGACAGGTGGGTGAGGCTGGTAATACTGGTTCGGATGATGCTGGCCAGTGTAGTCGCCCGGCCCAGGAATGGCAGGAGCATAGTAGTTTTGCCCGACTTGACCGGCGAGAGCGTGACCATAGTACGAGGCGTTGTAGTCCGCGCCTGAAGGCATGCCATTCTGTGAACGCTGCCCGCCACTTGCATCGAGGTTAGGCGAGCGCATGATGACGCTGTCATCTGCGTGAGTCTTGACATGTTTTTTCAGATCCTGAGGTCGCTTGAATGCCTTGCCACAGAATTCGCACTTGTGAGGTTTCAAGGGAACGTGGACTCGAATATGGGAGGTGATGTGGTCACGTTTGACGGTGGTGGTCCGACACTGACCCCAGGCGCAGGTCAAATTGAGATTGTTGGTAGACTTGCGGCCGACATGGCGTTCGCAGACGTGCTCCTGGAAAAAAGAAGTATAATGTCAGCACGAGATGGTCGAGGCGAACAGTTTTGATTCTGGGGCTGGGGTTTTGGGACTCACATAGAGAGCCTCTGCGGATGTGCAGCGCTCGCCGCATCCTTGCCACTGGCACTGGAGGTTCTCGCCAGCGGCGTTGACATTAGGCGCAGGTTGTTGAGGAGTCTGAAGCAGAGGTTGTTGAGGCAATTGACCCTGTTGCTGTGATTGTGAGACAGCAGAGACATCCTGAGGCGCAGGCGGGTTTGGGGTGGTGCTGGAGTCGCCTAGTTCAGACATGATTGTTTCGTCGTCGCGCCAAGCTTGAGGACTGTCGCGGTGAGAGCCAAGAGATATTGTTCAAGGCGACCTTGGCGAAGATCCAAGTAAAACGTCGACTGAGCTGGCGGAATCCGATGCGACGACCAGATAATTTGTGACTCGAAGCTACTCCGGAGTTGATGAAAGGCGGAGGAAGAAAAAGGTGACAGTCAAGTGCAGTAACAGTAAAATTTCGGTGCGAGGATGGTGGCTGCTGTGCCCAATAAAGTGAAGATTCTGCCGGGGCGCGCGCGTTGGTGAGGTACAACTCTTTCCTCTTTCCGTACTTTGCACCTGTCGACAGATGGACTCGAGACAGATGAGGATAAGTTGTTATGTACACTGTACGGGAATAATTGAAGAGAAGCTTGTACAGTCGGGTCCAGTTGGTAATAACGAGAGCGAAAGGGAAGGAGAAGGTGGCTACACTTCTCGGGGGGGGCGATGGGCTGGGTTAAGTCCTAAGAGGCATGTGGTTTGGAATTACGAGAACGGAGTCAGGTCAGGCTATTACTTCGTATCATCAGCGGGAAATGGACCACGACCTGGTCCATTCATTGCTGCCTCGGAGGGAATCGATCTCTCTCAACTCCCTTTGGAGTGCGAGTAGCAGATTGTCCTCAACCCACGGACAAGCTGAGGCACCCAGAAGAGCGCCCAATTTTCGTCAGCGGCCTTGGCACTGGATGCTGATACGCTCTGCCAAGGCACTACTGGTGAGAGGAAATGCATGGACCCCACTGGCCCTTCGTATCTCCCTCAGGCAAGTAGAAGTGTCCTCCGCGTCTCCCTTCTCTTCCGAATCGCTGGTCTCACAGAGTGTTACAAGTGAAAACGGGTCACTGATCACGACATTGGTATTACAGGAAAGTACACTTGGTGGTTGCTGGACGATGATGGCCTTGGTTCCAAGGTAACAGGGAGAGGAATGAATACGTTCGGAAAGTCTTGGACAGTCTTGGACAGTCTTGGATTCTCTTGGATTCTTGGGAGCGGGACAAGAATGAGTCCAAGACCCCCCCCCCCTTAGTCTGGGCTTCCCTGGAGGCGCAGCAACAACGTCGGGAAAGAGGTACTCCGTGATACAAAGTAGTACTCTTACTAACCCCAAGTGCCATCTCAACCTTTGACATTTTCCCCGTTCGTCCTTTGCCACCTCGCTACGAGTATGAGCACGAAACATGTCACTTTTCTACAGGACGGAACATTACTGGTTAATGCCAGTGCCCACCCCCTACTTCGTCGTCTCGGTAAATTTGCACAATACGTCAGAATGTGCTTGTAGCTGGAAGACCAGAAAATTCCACTCTCACTTGGCCCTCTCTGCCCAGCAATGCCACGACATCCCTCCCGCCAAGTATCCTCAAGACTCTTGGAAATCAGCGGGATCAGGATTTCTAGGCACGTACAGCGGAATTGCTTGGAACCCTTCACGACTACAATACCCAAAGACGAGAGACATCGGCGATGCCATCATGAAAACAAAAGGAAAAACCAAAACGAAAACGAAAACGAAAACGAAATTGAAACAAAATCTTAATGGCTCCGACTTTACAGTCATCCACTTTTTGGAGTTTTTTTTAGGTATGATACCTGCTGACTGTTTTGACTCTTCTTCCTCAAAAAACTCGCGTGCTCTACATCCCGCATCATTTGCCTATATACCGTCACACCAAACAAAAGAAGAGAAAAAAATCCCGTGCCATGACCATGTCATGTTTGTTGGGTATAGACCAGCCTCTGCATGTATAACCTCCAAAGACACGGAAAAAAGCCACTCGGCTGGGATTCTTCCCCAAAATGCCGTAGGTAACGCCGTCCTCCGTTGTGTAAAAAGCATCCAAGGTCAGGTGTACCCTTTTCCATGCATCAAGTCTCGTCTCCGTATAGCCTTGCCAAAAGACATCCGTAGTATGCTCAACCAAGCACCTGAAACGATAACGCCTTGCTTCCAAATAAGACCTGGTGAAAGCCCAATGCCAAAAATTTGCTTATCAAAACTTGAACCTCGAATGTTGTGGAAAGTCGAGGGGTAGAAAACAACTACCCACCCGCGTAATAGTGATGATCATTCCAGTTGGGATCCCACCCCAACCGCTCGTTATTGAAGTAATCTTCCAATCCCGGTGGCGGGACAGAAGCCGCACCGGCCGATCCTTTCCAAAAGTCTTCGGGCTGTGTCGACCTTGATGGGTCTGTTGTCGATGTTGCCACCATGGGATCGTGGAAACTCGGCAGTCCACCCAGGTTCACGTGCTCCCCTCCGATGGCATTCTGCATAAGAAGATCCGTGATTGGAGCACCAAAACGTCCGCCCTGGCTCCCAAACGGATGTGCCGACTGAGAGTTATCGTTGATGGCCTGCTGGTAAAAGCCATGGTCATATTGTGACGTGGGTAACGACATCGGCGCCGTGCTAGTGGTCGGCGTTCCGGCCATGCTGTGCTCACTGAATCCGAGACTGTGATCCGCAAATGAAAACGATCCGTCTCCAGACTCCAGAGTACTGATGGGTTGGTTAGGATACGCGAATGGATTATCGCTTGGGAACATGACATTCTTCAGGTCGGGGATCTGGGCATTGCCCAACTGTGGCGTGAAATCAAAATGGCCCGACATGGGCGATGCTATGGCCGGGCTTTGGTAGCCGAGCATTGGCTGGCTCTGCATGTGTGTACTCGTAGGGGTTCCTTCCGACAGCCCCGTAAGTGCATGTGGATCAGGCATGGAGTTTCTCTTTGCCAACTTGGCAAGGAAATCAGAAGGGATGGTTCTCGTGCGACTGGGTGTCGCTGATTGTTCCCTTAAGCTACTTGGGGTCGATACACTGGCGACCGATTGCATCTCTTGTGCCGTGAAATTTTCAGTCACAACCGGAGGTGGTCGCTTGCGGGATGACTGGGTTGCGGCATTCAGAGAGCTTCGTCGCTCCTTGAGCTTTTCCGGCAGGACATCGAAAAGACCCTGGCAAGAGTGCTTAGCAACTGCTCGACGTTCGAAAGGGATAGCAACTTACAGCAAGGCTGCCACTGCACCGGTCTGCTGCCATACTCCGTTTTGCAAGGGAAGCCAAAGTGTCCCTTCCTTCAATGGCATCTTTCAGGATGTCTTGGCCCGTCGAGCTGTGCGGATTTTCGAGGACGAAGAAAACTAGCGAGAGAATGGCAAAGTAAGTAGTATACATGACAAACCAGTACGAGCCGACGAGAAGGCCGCGTTTCTTCATTTCGGTTGTGATATGCACAATATTCCGAGCAACGCTTATGCATGCCGCTGCACAAGCAAAACTTCTCTTGTCCACATTTCTGGACTGGCACGCCTGCGATACATAGTGGATAAATGGTCGGTAGACCATCATCTGAACGTGAGCGTAGGACATTCGCAGAAGCTGTTGTACTCTGTAACCAGTCAGCATCACGTCGTTAGGGGAGGGATCTGGTATATCTCACCTGGAGAGGTCTCTTCCAGCATCATCGGAAGGCCTCAGCTCCGTTGGCAATTGGTCCATCCAGTTCTGCAAATCTCGTTCGAGTTCTCGTATTCGCTTGTGACTGATAGAATACCTTGAATCGGCACTTCCACTTCCCATGACACCCTTGACAGGGTAAATATAGCGAACAACCTTCCTCAGTATGTTGGTCAACCTGGTATGTGCATTCGTTGCTTTCAGAAGAGGAAAAACATCAGCTGGCATAGGCCGGATGCCTTCCGATGTTATGTATTCATCATCAATTTCGGCTGGCAGCTCTTGATCAATATCATCATCACTCAACATCTGTGGAAGTCCAAGGACGGCTCCGACATAAGAATCCATCTTTCGAACCAGCCAGAATATCCGTCTCCTCTCTTCGAGTTCGATCGGGTTGAACCGGTTCGGAATATTGCGGTGAAGACCCAGTCGACAGCATGCTCGGAGTGCAATCCCTAGATACGCGTAACAAACCGGGAGCTTGGCGGTCGACTGGAGGAACATGATCATGAACACAATGGCTTGGATTGTCACGAGGTCCCGGCAGTCAGTGATGTCAAGCATTTGCTTCGCAGTGTTGAAGTATTGATATCTAACGAACGGTTAGGAGAGATTTAGAGATTAGGGGGTGAATACTCTTTCTGACTGACCCTTGTTCAATTGCCTCCTTGTAACCTTTGAGGTCAAGTGTGGTGCCTTTATCCTCCGATTTGGAGAACAAACCTCCGACGGCCATGACGACGTACAGCAGGGGCAAGAATTGTATGTGGTTGTTATTCCACTGTTCTGGATCTGTGTCGTAGAGGGAGTCCAGACGCTGGAAGAAGGTCGGCTTGTGGAGTGGACGCATAAGCGCGCAGCAGTCATCGAGGGTGTTGCGCGACAGTTCGATGGCGACTTCTTTTGGCGGCAGGTCGACACCTTGGGGAAGATTGATTTCATAGGGGGAGGACTGAGCAGATCTTGGTGATTCGAGAAGCTGTTGGATATTCTTGTTTCGGTTGGGGTGACGATACTCGGCGAGATACGAGTCACCGAACTGGGCACGAAATTTCCTCATGTACACGTATCCCGAGGAGTGGCCGTGGAAATCCCAATGGCCGTCGTGGTCCAGGTCCAAGGCGCCAATTCGATCGACCATGGACTGTAACTGTGCATCGTCTTCATGCTTCGACACGTCGGGCACTGGTGTTGCCTGGCCATTGCCATTGACAGTGGGATTGGCACTGGACTTGGCCCGCGAGGTGTCGATCAACTGTTCCACAGAGCGCGCATCGAATTTCGGATCCTCGAGATCGAGTCCTGGGAGAACAGAACGAAGGATCGCCTCGGTTTTCTGTAGTCGTTGTTCCAAGGCTTCGATGTATTGTGGTGCAGGGTTCCGCCTCCGGTTGGAGGGCTGATCATAAGTACAATCTGTCACGAATGGTGAGTAACCTCGTGGGATGCGAGACATGACCGTGTGTTACTACATACCGTAGCTGTACACAGTGCAGTGGGTACACGGTTGCTTGCCATCACACTTGATCTTCTTCCGTCTACACTCGTCGCAGGCTCTGGTGACTCTCCGCCTTTTCTGCATAGGCGCGGGAGGCCTAGTGCCGTCACCATCATCGTTGTTGTCGGCCGACGGCGAGTCTGGTTGCGAATCGGGTGCATTGGAGTTGTTATGACCCATTGTCGATTCCACAAATTGAAGCGAGTTTTGTTCTGATACCTCGCCCGCCGGACTCTCCGCAGACATAGACCGAAGCGTCACATCGTCGCCCATGGTTTGCATACAATAGTGGCAAGGAATGGGCAAGACGTGAAAGAAAGCGAGAACGTGGCGGCGTGCATCAGTTCAGAAAGTCGAGATTTGCTTTGAAATGGTCCGAGGTCGGTGACGCACTCTCAAAACCCAAGGGTCGCAAAATCAAATGGGAAAAGCTCTGATGAAAACAGAATTAGGCTGGGAATCGTTGGACAGGGTCGAAGGGCATAAACCCCGCAACTTGGATGGGAGAGCGGCGATAAGATTGTCGATTGACCCTGGGCAAAACCCGAGTACTGCTGGTATTGAGAGAGGCACACAAGAGCAGAGAAAAAAGCACTGAAGCATGTGTCCACACAGATGCTTGTATTGCCCAAGACGCCTGTATTCGATTCGATTCTTACGGGGATCGTGCCTCGTAGGTGGGATGAATCAATCAGTCAGTCAATCAGTCAATCAATACGGAGAAACGAGACAAACAGACAAAAAGAAAGGTTGAGACAAGAATAGGATATGACATGGACGAGTCACCGATTTCGCGCCCGCTACCACCATAGACTATTGTACTAGGACCCTGTTCGATGTTCCTCTGTAGCCTCTAGTCTCCTGTACATGGCCTCGTCTGTCTCCAGAAACGCCTGTAGAGCCAGTCCTTGTACGAGCTATCATTTCTCCTCGTCCCATCTCTGTCCTTTGTTACTATGGTACCCATGTGAGGATGAATGTTATCACGATCATGATCATTGATTCCTTTTATTCTTGCTCCTCACTCGCCTCACCGCCGCAATCATGCCGCCGTTATTTTTTGGGGGGTACTCGCACGCCGTACTTCGTTGTACAACCGCAAAATACGAATACCGCCCTGGTATTTTTGTAGGTGGAGCGCCCGACGCTTTTGGCGAGCGTGGACTTTGCTGTTTTGGGCGTCTGTTGGTGCTTGAAAAACTCATAGTCGCCGTCAAAGCAACTGCACCAGTGAACAGCACCTTTTGTCATCTCCACGTCTTCGAGCATCTGTCACTGGCGGCCAAATGCCGTCCCCAGTGGGATTTCGCGCTTCTGACGCACCATTGCAGGGATTGGACTTGCCATCATTGGGCTCATGCACCTGCAGAAGATACCCGCACAGTGGCAGCATTATACGAGGCCTCCTCCCCGTCCTGGTCGCCTCTCGACGAATGACCTTACCTGGGGGTTTCGCAATTCATCGGCTCTAACAGCCTTAGGCCGAACCCTTCCCCTTCCCCTTCCGAACTCGACCAAGCCTTTTCCCTTACTCGTATCGCACACAGATTACTTGTACGCCTACCCTCGAGTGTGTCTTTCGTTTCCTTGATCAGCCTCTAATGTTAAGCTACCTGGGCTCGTGGGTTGTAGCGTCCTTGGTGGACAGGTAATTATCGCGTGGCTTCCCACCGCTAAAGATCGTGGGGCGGTAGAGGAGCAGGGGGTACGAGGGAGGGCTGCTGGTGGCAAGGGTCCTTCTCGTACTTGTCTTGTACAGTACTCGTACTGTACGGGGGAGAAGCCAGGGACCCTACACGCCCTAGCACAAGCCCACAGTATTGGTACGAGTCTCTGTGTGAGTTGCGCCCAATTACAGGGAGAGTCTCTAGCAATGCCAACCGAGTACGAGCAGCACATGCGTGCCTTGAGAAGGCTAGCTAACTACTCGCACTCCGTCCCCCCTGATAACTAGGGGAACGTCGACGAAGCGATGTGTGTACGAATCCTCAGATATCATGACGTAGGCACTGCACACGGCTTTTCAGCAAGGGTCTAGGTAACATTGACTTCAATCTCCTCCCTACTCGTATGTACGAAACCAGAGTTGCAGTGCGCCTATCGCAAGGCTGACGATGCCCCACTGTTGGCGGCATGGTGGACATGATTGTGGCAAGACAAAAGGAAGAATGAGCTTCCCGTGCGCCCATTTTGGCTAAAGGGCATGCCCTGTCCCCAGTTGGCGCACGCCGTGGTTGCTTCTTGACTTGTTGACAGTGATGGCCGCACGTCCAATCCATTTCCCCAAATCAGCAACGAATGTCATTTTTGCATAATGCTCGACATCCCGTCGTCTTGTGCAGCAACATTTTCTGCCTACAACCCGTATTCGCTTGAAGACTGAGGACAAGGCCTCGCCAAGAAGGCAGATTCTACATCAGCGCCAGCATGGTAAGCGAAAGTTCACAAACGCGGGTCTCTTCTTCGCTACCGAGCATTCTTTCAGAATCAAAAGCAGCAAGGAACATTCAACGTGCACCCCAGAATATATACCCCAGCAAGCGTTCTACTATACCCTATCATAGGCTTGACGTCCGTGTTGTGTTAAGAGCAGACATAGGCAACGCGAGCTTCGTCAGCCTCGTCAGGCCATGCATATCGCGCGATCAATTCATCTGTATGAATGGGGTGTTGGTAATCGCAGATGCTCCCCTCTCGACTCTCAGATGGTCTCACGCGTGAAGCGTGAGTAACAGCTTACTATGGGACTACTCAGAATTTCCGTCCGCAAGTCATTTTGCCAGTTTTCCATTATCGGTTTGACGTCCGTCCCCAGTGTTGTGCAGGAGAACAGCAACTTGTTAAGCCGATCAAAACTGGGTCGGGACAAGCGCTTTGCAATTTGCAACATCCTTCCGACGAACCATGGTCTCTCGGCATGCTGCAGAGAAGAGTGTCTACTGCCACTTATCAAGATCTGCAAAAGTGCTTCGACAGACGCATGGCGGGCAAACCCATTATGGGCGACATTCTCCACAAGTTCGAGGAAGAACTTCTCGCTGAGTTCGGGTGAATGTCGATACTCCCAAATGGTGATGTTGATGGTCATCAGGATGGCTAACCTGGACATAATCTGCCTGTATCGACACGATTCCGAATAGTTGGAGGCATCGGCGGGGGTGAGAAGAGCGTGCAGAGGCTGACCAGGGAGAAAGGTCGAAAACCGTATCTGCTGCCTGCTCTTTGATATTGGATTTCTTTGCATGCCAGCCTGCACGAGGGCCAGCTGCTCTGTACATTTGAGGAAAGTGATGAACTCAGTGCACTGCTCTGATACCTCTGCGCGTGCAATGGCCATAGCCTCCATGTTGTCAGTATGAAAGTTAATGTCCACACTATAGGGGTGACAACCCGGGAAAGTATAGTCACACCAGTTGACTAGCATCTGTAGTCTCTTGTGCTGTACCAATTCTGAAGGCCCTCCTCTTTCACGGATTTTCTGTAGCGCAGTTGACCAATACATCCACCCAAGTTTCTGTTGTTCGGTGGAGGAGTCAAGAAACTCTAGCGCAGCTGCAAACAGAGTCGCTGATATCGTAGTATTTGAAGTATCGCCTGGAAACTGTCGATGGTGGTCAAGCAGTCGTTGAGATGCTCTGATTCTGCGTTCAATTGTGGACCGGCTCTGATCAATCCCGCTCATTCTATCTTTGGTACTTGCAGCATGGGTGAGGATAGTGTTTTCAAAGCATAAAGCCCCTGACATAGCCTCCGGTATGAAAACGGAAAGGAACCAATTCTGCGCGTTGGGCTTGTCTAGCCCGTATGAGCACGCTGGCATGACCGTGGCATAAAAGTCGAAGAGCTGCTCATCTTCATGATCGAGTGTCACCGGTAGTGAGTCGAAAGGATCTGTTCGCGCAGCACTCAACATGGATTGTGGTTGCAGGAATCGTGCGGCACGCACCCAAGAGCCACACGACAGGCTTGTCCAGGGCAGCATGCTAGGTCTTTTTGCGGGGTGTCTCTGCTGGTCTTGCATCAAATCGAAGAGCTTAGCAAATGCTGTAGTGTCTAGGTGGAAGCCCGGTCTTTGCAAATGACCCTTTGCCCTTCGCTCGGGAAAATCGCAGCGGGGATTGTGAACAAAATCCGAAGGCCACCTTCGCTGGCGATCATTACCTTGCGACTTTGCCCGCGAGAAAGGCTCCATGGCTGTACTGGATAGATCGCCATGGCCAGCAAGCTGTTTTTTGGGCTGTCGTTGTCGAGTTCGTGTTCGGGGCAGCTGCGCGAGTTTCTCCTGCCTACTTCGAACGGAGATTTCGTAATCGTCATTGCTGTCGACTCTGGCTCTGGCTTGCCAACGCTTCTCCCTCATGTATTCTTGCATTACATGACGGCGCACCTGCGTTGAGTTCTGCCCTGCGGAGGTGATGTCGGTGTTGTCGATAAAGTGGAATCGCTTTGGCGGTTTTTTTGTACTTGACGACATCATGAAGAGCTCCCCGGCAAGATAAATAGAAATACCATGTGTCGTAAGCTTTTCTCTCTACTGGTCTCGATATCATATCCGTAAGAAGGCCAGGTCAGACACAGAAGTTGAAAGGCTTTTTTGAGGTTCCTGGGTCGAAGTTGACCAAGATGCAATTCGCCCCCAATAAAGGCCCCATCGACCTTGGAAAGAATAGAGCGCGGAAGCCTTGCTACCGAACAAGCGTTGCCTGTTTAAGATCATTGATAGTCATACCGGTTCTTGGAGATTAGGAGAAACTGCCCCTGTACGCTGGTTATTTCATTATCAATTGCCTCCTTGTTGCCTGCTCGTACACCGGGGACTGGAGTCAACTGGCGGTCTTACCTCCCTTGAAGCCTTCCAGTCCAGGAAGTGATAAATTCAAAACATCAACAGTTAAGATATAGGTAATTGGGAATCAGTCTCGGGTCAGAATTACGAGATGCTGGAGAAGATACCATTGCGACACTGTGCTTTGGGGAAGGATCCAACAGACAAGGAGATCCTCCGTGCTATACTGGTCGCCATGAGAGAAAGTCATGCAGGAAGAGGAAAGGTGTCGTTGGCGCGCACAATCTAACGCGTTGAAGCTATTCGGGACTCGGATTATTCGTCAGGTATCCATATGTTAGCTTCGGGAAATGGCACCTTGATTCGCCAGGTCTGAGAACATTCGAGTTCGTCGGGCGTTCTGCACTATTCTTGCAGGTTACCATTGTCTGTTTTTGGCCTGGAGAGGCAGTCAAGGGTTCGTGTTCTATTAGAAACCGCGCCGAGTCTGTCGAGCCCCAGTCTTGTGCTTGCATTCTCCTGCAAGATTCTGTTAGTTATCAAACAAGGGCATTTGTTGTCCTTGGGGATTTGAGGCCAACAGATAGATATCTGAGCGGGTGGATCATGAACTTTGCCATCGCATGCGAGGAAGTGTTCCAGGAGTCGAGTATTCGCTATGGACTTGCAACTCGATCATGTAGAAGATCCTAAAATTCCCGACACTCAGCACATTATTTAGTGACGCACGAAGACATTTCCTCATGAAGCTTGATAATGGTTCTTCACCGCAGAGAACATGCGTAAGGAGCTCGAATTCTGAAGCCAGGAGCAAATTCGTGATAATCTCAGACGAACGTGGCCATTATCCGTAGGAAGATTCCGCCTAGGTACTGGTAAAGCACGGAAAAGAAATCCTACCATAGGAGTGTTCTGTACATCGATCGATCGATGATCGATGCAAGTGACAGCTATGAGGCAGCCTATAACTCCGTAAAGATGCTTCGTACGTTTCGAAGAGTCCCGAATGGCCGGCCACAATGCGATTCTTTGGTAAAGCGTTTGTTGCATGATCAAATTGAAGTATCCTGATGTTAATGTTGTTGACTGATATTATAAGTAGTCTCTTGGTAGTATCTCAAGGTAGGATGAGTGATGACTTATGCCGTTGTGACGATGTGGGACATGGGAACTATGCGTGTCCGTCTCAAGTACCTACTGACCTAGGCTTCACGTAATGGAGTAGAATCGTAGTGGAAGAAGGAGAGAAAAGGTGAAACTGCATGGCTGCAACCGTGCACTGAACCAGCCGTCGCATATTGCAGTTCGCGTGTCTCAGGAAGTGCATCAGCCATTCATGGTGAACCCCCATTGCTTCCACGCTCCTATCGTGCCTATCGCATTCTTTAGACTTGTTCACTTTGGTCGCCGCCACACACGAATTTAATACCACTGGCGACTAGCAACCTACCTAGACCTACCGAGTAGGAAAACGCCCCTTGACACCCAGCAGAGACCCAAGACCCTGAAAATCTGTTCCGCTCCCTGGTCTCCATCTGGCTTTGGCTTTGGCTTTGTACTCCTGCGTTCTGCATCCTCCTGCTGCACCACCATCACCATCACCCTCTCTGCGCCTACTGCTAATTCCCTAGTCCTTGTCCAGCTCAACGATACCTTCGTCTGGACCTGCACAATCCTGGTGCAACATATCGCCCAGCGGGCATTTCCCATCCTGCCAACGACGCGCCAGTTGCTGGACACGGTTCGCGTCGTTAATCGCTGCTACTGACCGCCGGCCCAAAGCTACGACGGACTACCACCCGACTTCATCGCGGTTCGGCCACATCCACCACGTACAGCTTCTCGAGCAAGAAAGGAATTAGTCAGAGAGGAAGGCGATGGCGCAGGCAACACAGTCGATAAAATGTGTAGTGACGGGTGATGGTGCAGTTGGGAAGACCTGTTTGCTCATATCCTACACGACCAATGCCTTTCCTGGCGAATATATTCCCACTGTCTTTGACAATTACTCTGCCAGTGTCATGGTCGATGGCAACCCAGTGTCTCTCGGACTTTGGGATACTGCAGGTCAGGAAGATTACGACAGACTGCGCCCTCTCTCCTATCCTCAAACAGACGTGTTCCTGATATGCTTCTCTATCGTTTCCCCTCCCAGTTTTGACAACGTCAAGGCCAAGGTAAGTGATCTGCTAAATCTGCGGTGCAATACCTCAAGGCTGACATCACCCTGCACAGTGGTACCCCGAAATCGAACACCATGCACCTGGCGTGCCAATCATCCTTGTCGGTACTAAGCTAGATTTGAGAGAAGACAAAGGCACGGCGGACAACCTGAGATCGAAGAAGATGGAGCCTGTATCTTATGAACAGGCTCTTATGGTAGCCAAAGAGATAAAAGCGGTCAAGTATCTAGAATGCTCGGCATTGACGCAACGGAATCTGAAGAGCGTCTTTGACGAGGCGATCAGGTAAGGACATGCCACTTCCGCCATGCTTCTTTGTGGTGAATACTAACAACATCGACTCAGAGCCGTGCTCAATCCTCGACCAACCGCCACTAAGAAGAAATCGCGATGCACCATCCTCTAGGAGTTTTTTGAGCGAGCTTGTGATCTTTTTGTGTTACTGGGGGGGCTTTTAGGTGCATTGCAAAAGATGGACATAGATGTGCCGGCTTCAGTGCTTGCTCCTTTCGTCAGGGAGTCTTGCCCAAGTTACAGTCAATCCTTCAACTGTAGAGGCAACTCGATATGAATAATAACGTGCAACATAGCTGGGCTGCAGGCGTTGATATATGGAGCAGTGGTCCAAGGTGATGTGCGAATGGGACATCCTCTCTGAAAAGTATTGTTTCTATTCAATGCGCATTACATGGCAACAAACCGACCTGTCAGTTCAGTGCTGCACTCGCGAAAGTCGACTTGGATGGATCGCCCCGCGATCGTCCGTAGGCGCCTTGCTCGCATCGGCGTTTGGCCCAGTCGCGGGAGCCTCTCGCTTCTTTCGAGCAGCCTCATCCTTCTCAATTTTCTCCTTGGTCCTTTGTCTCTCTCTTTGCTCTCCGAGCTTCTGGTTTTTGGCCTTGATCTTCTCCTTGCGCTCCTTGCTCTTGCCTCCTCCCCCAGCCGTCAATTCAACATTTATTCTTCTGCCTTTGGACCATTCGTCTCGTGCTCCGTCCTTCGAGTGTGAACCAGGCTGACGTTGAGGATCGAAAATCGAATGGTGGTACAGTTTTAGACATGTTTTCATCTTATCATAGACGTCAAACTCAAGAAAGGCAAACCCCTTGCCTTTCCCGGTGGTTTTGTCTGTCGATATTCGCACGCTTGTGGGTGCAAGCTTAGAGAAATGCTGCTTGATCTGGGCGGCAGTGGCATCGAAAGGAAGATTTCCGACAAAGACAATGAACCTTGACTGGTGCTTTTCCTCTTTCTGGTCGCGTAATTTCTGCTTCTTCTTAGGCTTCTCTTCACCAGATGCTGCTGCCGCAGGTATAGATTCCTCTGCCTCCTCGTGCTCATCCGTCTTTAGAATCTCCACTGCATCACTGTGTGCTGGCTCAGACTGATCCGCCGACTTTTTCTGTTTCTTGGACCTTCTCTCCGACCTGTCCTGCCGCGATTGCCCTTTCGATTTTCCTGTCCGGTTGTTGTTGTTGGCTGAAGAAATTTTCTCTTCGGTTGTAGACTCGAGATTCTTCGAGACGACATCGGGCTCAACCTGATCGTGAGACCTCTTTTTAGCCATTTCGCTGGTCCTGAGAAATCGGTCAGTCGAGTGTTTGGCTGCTGAGTACGAGAGCGCAAATGTTTTGCCTCGAAAAAGTTGACGATGTTGCCTTTCTGAGAATGGTGGACAAAAGATCTGCGGACTGGCCGGGACTGAGTAACGTCATGGGCGCCGACAGGAACCGAACATTCTCTTGTGGGCTGCGCGGATACCCAGGACTTCTGTTGGACGGGCGCTGCGAAAAGTGCCAGTGGGTGCGTTGGGGCCAAGTCTGGAGACGGCTTGTGTTAGGTGCAGCAGCCTGACTGGGATCCCGCCCAAGATCCTCTTAACCAGCGCTCTCCGCGGACAGCTTTCAGGGTTGCCTTGGGCATAGCATATCTTCAACGTGTTGTTTCGACCTTCAGTCCTAGAATCTTGCGCCCGCTACCGTCGAGGCTTTTCGTAGTTTCCAGCTATCATGAAGAGATAACCCAACCCGTGGCCTCTCAGCTCCGAAAGCGCATCCAGTATGGCTGTCTATGTGTCCCAACTCGGGGCTAAGGGCCCATTTGCCAACAGTGCTCCTCCCACAGTACCTGCACAAGCAGCGCCGGCTGGTACATTTCTCCCGGGAACGAAAGTACAAGTGGGCGACCACCGGGTCGTTATTGATCGCTATCTCTCCGAGGGTGGATTTGCCCATGTCTACGTGGTGCAGTTACCGCGGCCCATCGATGGCAACCAGAAGGCGGTACTGAAGAGAGTGGCTGTCCCGGATAAGGAACACCTTGCAAACATGAGAACGGAGGTCGAAACAATGAAGAGGTTAAGGGGCCACAAACATATTGTGAAATATATTGACTCGCATGCATCTCAGCTGAAGGGCGGAGGATACGAGGTGTTCCTCCTCATGGAGTTTTGCCAGGGTGGAGGACTTATTGATTTCATGAATACAAGACTACAAAACAGATTGACCGAGCCCGAGATATTGAAAATATTCACCGATGTGGCAGAGGGAGTGGCATGCATGCACTACCTGAAGCCACCGCTCATGCATCGAGATCTCAAAGTCGAAAACGTCCTTATATCAACGACAGGATCGTCAAGGATATACAAGTTATGTGACTTTGGTTCTGCAGCTCCTGCTAGACCGGCTGCTTCGACGGCTGCCGAAGGGCGTTTGATTGAGGAAGACATAAATCGACATACAACCCTCCAATATCGAAGTCCAGAAATGATTGATGTCTACAGGAAACAACCTATCGACGAGAAGGCCGATATATGGGCGTTGGGCGTGTTCTTATACAAGCTTTGTTACTATACGACTCCATTTGAAGAGGCGGGACAAATGGCCATTTTAAATGCTAGGTTCAAATTTCCAGGATACCCACGATTTTCAGACCAGTTGAAATTACTGATTGCTTCAATGCTTCGGGAGCGACCATCTGATCGCCCTAACATATATCAAGTGCTCCAAAAAGCATGCCAATTGGATGGCAGAGATCTTCCTGTCCAGGATATTTATGCCCGGCGGACACAGTCAGAGAATCGGAAGGATCAAGCACTCCCCAAATCCTCTAGCTCTCAATCCAGAGCCGGTGCGACGTTATCGCCCCCGAGACAAGAAACTGCACCGAGCGTCCCTCAAATCGAACCCATGCGCCGAGGACGACCGACAAAGCCACTCTCTCACCATGGATCTGCTAAACCAAGCCCCTCGCCGTTGAGGATGGTAGATAGCACCGATCCATTTGCAGCGCTAGATGGGAAATCCTCTTCTGTGGAAGATGAACTCTCCTCTCGCTTCCCATCGTTGGACCAATTCTCTCTGATGACCGACAAGGGCAAGAACTTTCCGTTTGAGCCTCAATCAGAGAAAAAGCAGGAAAACACGGACTCAGACTTGGCGCAGAGAGTCACAATGGCCCTGGCAGATGATGCTTTTGCTCGTGCTCCCAGCCCGGTCAAAGCCAATACTGCCATGGAAAGACCTAAGACCACCATCAAGTCACAAGCCGTGCTGCAACACAAGAAATCTTTAGAAAGCAAGGAAAATCAGCCTCGAGCCAACTTGCCCCCAGTCAAGGCCTCAGCGACTAGCATGGTTTCCACTGGCACAATGACTACCCCCTCTCCTCCGCCTACAGCCTCGAAATCATTTGCTGAGCGTCCGATACATCGATTCCCACCCAACGATCATCCTCCCAGGACTTCCAGTCTCAACCAACCTTCGACCCAACCGAGTGTGTCTTCGCAAGCTAAGACAGGCTCAAGGCTCGCAAATCTCCTCAAAGAAGATGCCTATCGGTCTCAGCTTGCCGATGACTACGAGCCACGATCTCCCACCTCGTCTCGTCCATCCTTGGAAGGTGGCCGCCCTACACCACGGGAGCTCAGCTCAAGTGTGAGCCGCTCACGATCCTTGAACTTTAGAAATCGGCCAGCAAGTGTCAATATTGGGGCAAGGCCAACCCACATCAAGGATAAAGAGATTAATCGACTGGATTATGAGACAACATTCACAAGCGCAGAACCAGAGATGGCTCCCTTGACACACTCGGAATCTGCAACAAATATTGCATCGGATGTTGATTTTCTGAAAGCCAGGGAAGAAGAGGAGAAAGAGCGAAAGCAGCATCATAAACGGTTGTCAAGTGGCACCAGGCACATCAAACGCTCCAGCCTGCCATCGATAGGCATTGCTGGGACTACGAAGTTATTGGCCGGGAAGTTTGGAGACGCTTTTAAAATGTTCGAGAGTAACAACGACAGCCACCATCAACGACAACGCAGCGACTCTCCTTCGCGCGACGCAATCAACATGCTCACCCCTATCGCAGGGTCCGAGGCTACCGATCTCAGTAATGACAGGGAACCGTTTGATGAGACAGAAGACCTGTCACCAGAGATGAAACGCGAGCTAGAAAAGAGAAAGTTGGAGGCGGAAGAACGGAGGGTTGCCAATGCAGCGGCCGAATACAGACAACGTGTAGCAGCAAGAGGTGGCAATACCCAACACGGTGGCACAGTCAAAGCCGCGTCGATTCAGAACAGAGTGCAATCACTGTTGACTGAACACGAGAGGCCTGCACAGAAGACCGCGACTGGATATGGTCGTTATACCGAGTCTCCAACCCCGCTGCAAAACAGAATAGATGAAAAACAGCCATCGGAGGCCTCAACTGTTGAGGTTCCCGCAAGGATTGAGCGGCATCCTCCCCACTCCATGTCTGCACCTACTTCTACCAGCGACTTAACAAGATCACAAAGGCCCACAGCTCCTCCTAAACCCAAAGTACTCCGGTCTACGGTGCCTGACGCGCTGCCAACCGCGAGTGATGGTTCCATTGCTGCGCATGTGGACGAAGATTGGGAGGCGAATTTTAGCAAGAGATACCCTAGCCTTTCTGGACTTGAAATGGTGGAAACATCCATCACAGGGCCGAAGTCATCGGTGGCGCTGAGGACGAAGGAAATATAACTGTTCTGATCTTTGTTCTTTAGACGTAGAGTCCATCTTCTGCATTCTCTTGTTGAGAACGCCGATGTATGAGTACTATCTTAGACGAGTAGTAAAGATAATCGCTGAAAGTGAATGATTGATGGCATATTTCACTGTTAGCTCTATCGCCTAGACTTCCAGTACCTAATTCATCGATCCAACCTTAAGTGCTCATGGCATCACCCAAGACTTTGACACCTATCGTGGTCAACTTGTTTCATTAAGAACTTTGCATATCAAACACCACACAAAGTCAACTATCTCCTTAGATGGCATCACATCAAGGTGGACTCGCTGGGCAATGGGAGCGTGGGGCACCAGAAGTAACTGGTAGTGAGGCCGTCGCAGGTTCACCAACAACCAACCAAATTACGGACGCCGCATCGACGGCTAGCCAAGTTCGCGCTCGGGCTCCATCAACCCTGAGCAGAAACTATCGATTGGGGGGACGCCCAGCAATATCCGTCCTACTTTATGATCCTTCTAAGCAAGAAAAGACAACCTCGACCACATTGCGCCTTTGTCCCGACAAACTCAGACGATTCCCGCGAGGCTCCTGTGACCCTTTCATAACTCTCAAGCTGCGGCCAAGCCCATCTGGAGCCGACGCACAAAATCCTAGCAAGCCTTCGGCGGAGTCATCGACACCCTCTTTGATTGCTGATTCATCGTCGCCTGCCAATCTTTCACCTACAAGTCCGGATACGAATGAGCGAGAATCAGGCACGCACTTTGAAGTTAGGGATATTGGTACGGGTGTAGCACACGCGGCTAGAGGTTTTGGTGCTTCTGAATATTCTGATCACGACAAAACTCTGCCCCGAAACAGTCAGCCAGAGTTTCCGAACCCTCCAGCTAGCTCATTGTCCGGCAATACCTTTCGTGAGGGCAATACTCTAGGTACTTACGGAATTTCTCGACAAGCCGACGACATGGCGCCCGTAAAAGACTCCTCGAACGTCCATTCGACGATCAAGGACATCATTCAGCATTTGTACGAGATTCAGATGCAAACCCATGGTTACGTCCCCGAGACACAGGATCTGTTGGTTGACAAAATGACCGATCTGGCCGAATCGCTTGCTCAATTGCAGACTTTGACATCCCCGAGAGAGTCACCCAGTAATCCCATTCACAACGTGCAGATTGCGCCAGAGATTGTGGATTATGTCGACGACGGACGAAATCCGGATATCTTCACCCGAGACTTTGTCGAGAATGTGCAACGCGGCAATGCCGTTATCAATGGCAAGCAGCAAGCTTTTCGAGAGTTTAGTGAAATCTATGCAAAAGCGCTGAAAGAAGGCATTCCAGGTGTTGGTCGACAGGTCGATAGAGTCATGGATAACGCCGGCTTCTCATCAAGGGATGATGAGCCAGCCAAACAGTCGACCACAGAAAATGTCAAAGCAGAGCCTGCTCAGTGAGCAAGAGGTCAGGTCTTGATAGAAGGTATCTACGAATGTCACGATTATGAGCGATTTAGGATCGGGGTACGCTGGATCATGTCCCATTGTATGGCATCTACGAGCTGGGCGACCGCAAACAGGCGTTACTAGGAGTTGCAGAAGGAAGCTGTGAAGAGACTCTCTCATACTTCTTGTGGAATCTTGACCTTTTCAAGTGTTGAAGACCATCGATGACTGTTACTGCGGCTATCGATGGTCAAAATATGACAGGACGAGGTCATGATAAACTTGCAGCACGTCATTCCTTTGGACTCGTTGAGTCAACTCAATAGCATCTTAAGATCTTAATCCCTTGTCCTTGCGATGTCCAGTACAGTGCTCTTTACGTGACCTGACGCAACATCAACTGCGTCGTGTGTATGTCCCGGTTGTTTTGTACCAACAAGGCGGCAACACCGTTTTGCCGAAATAGGATGTCAAACCTCACCGCGACCGTGGGCACTGTTTACGACCACTCAACTCCCTTCCACGCCAATGGCTTCGGGCTTGGATTGCCGTCTACTCCGCCATGGACCTACGTGCAGTGCAGTGAGTCGTTGCGGACAGATTTCCTGACTGCGGATGACGTTGTTTTTTGCATTCAGATCGCAGCTTGCACCTCAGGTGGCCCAGAGTGTCTTGAATCTTCAATGTGGCTCGATGCTCATTTGCAACCTGGCTGTTACCTAGGAAGGTATTCTACAGATCTAGATTTCCACCTCCATGTTGGGGATATTCCTCAACGAGTGTTTTGAAGAGCACTTATTCCACACTCACGATGTCGGGAATTCGGGAGCCACTGCTTCCACCCCACGACTTCAGAATCGACCCATCAGCTTCACCCTTCACTGACTCGCAAGCAGCTTATCTGTCAAAGCACCCTGACCCTCAATACGACTACATCGCCACCGGCGCTCTCGTCTTTGACACCTCGGAGAATCCCTCGCTACCTCGCATCTTGCTGATTCAACGCTCGCCTGACGACAGCATGCCGGATCGCTGGGAACTTCCGGGCGGAGGCTGCGAGGACGAGGATGAAAGTATACTGCATACCGTCGCGAGGGAGCTATGGGAGGAGGCGGGTCTCAGGGCAAAGAGTATATCGCGTCCAGTTGGCAAAGCGCACATTTTTTCCAGCCGTTCGGGAAAGAAGATATGCAAGTTCAATTTTCCGGTCGAGGCGGCAAAGGACCGTCAAGGCCGCCTCGATGTAAGGTTGAATCCGAACGAGCATCAGCGATACGTCTGGGCAACCGAAGAGGAAGTAAGGGCCAGGCAATCCGGAGGAATGGAGCTATCGTTTACATTCGAAGAATTGGAGCACACCATCATCGAAGCGTTTCAGGAAACTCAGAAGTGGGAATGAATACAAAGTTGAAATCATCTCTGGAGAAAAGCATCAGGTTTCTTGGTTTACACGCACTGTCCATCCAGCTTCAGACAATCTCAAACGTTTCTTGGGGAATGAGGCCTTGACGAAGCATCTCCATCGCCTCTCCATCCATCAAGCCATGCACATAACACTCTCCCACGAGAAGGTAGTGGGAGTTCCAAGGCCGCAGGCAAAATGGCATCTTTCCCCCAAAGAGGACGCAAATAATGTCCGTCTCCTCCATGACCTCCGGCCCCAAGACGTAATAGCCACTGTCGGTTCTCGCAAACTTTCGATTCTTCGAGGCTCCGTTGGCTGCTCGACTCCACTGCTCTCCTTCGTGATGCTCGTCACCCTTTGCCGCCTCCTCGGCAAGCCGATGGAGCTTCGGGCACGACGAACATGAACTCAAATCAAAGACCTTTGCCAGGTACGCTGCTTGTTGTTCCAGCCACCTGCTGCAGGGAATGTCTCGATATGCCTTGCCTTCCCGGCCGGCAATTTGCACGCAGCCATTGCTCAACGTCTGCATCAGAGCGAAAAGTGCTTCTTGACCGTTTGGGTACCTCACGCTAAGGTCGAACTGGCCGCCCTGGTCACAACCCTCACGCCACAGGTAGTCTATCGCCAGCTCAGCCTCCTCCCGGACTGGCTCCTCCCGAACTGGTCTCGGGTGGAATTCCTTGGCCCTGAGTAACCGACTGCACCATTTCACCCTATCAAAAATGACCCCACCGATTTTGAGGATCGGTTTGTCTCTCATAATGTCAATCTCCGGCGATGAAGTGCCGTGGGCGCGATGGGGGACAATGGGCTCGGAGAGAATGAACGACTGATTGGACCTTCTCCAGTCTGGCACCCAAGTCGGTAATTTGTCGTCGTTGTCGGCAGTCCTAGCTGTCTCATGGACGTCGCTCTCATCATCCCTGGTCTTTGCCGATGGCAGGCTCTTGTGCTGCACAGCTGCCAGTGCGATCAGAGCAGATCCGGTCGCTTCGTCATTCTCACCGAGCAATGAGCGTTTCGCAACATCGGTGTACACCTCGGCCACCGACTTGTCGTACTTCGCCTCGAGCATGGCGAGTTGCTGGTTCTTGCCACGAACAGAGTAATGGCCCAACCATGCAAATACGCGGTCCAGTGCGTCTGTGAGCTGAAGACCGCGGGCTCGATGGAGTTCGTAAATGAAGTTGAAGCGGTTCGCATGGTAGCTCTTCTGGTCCGGTTCGATGAACCGTTGGAACACGTACTTGATGTCCGAGGTGCGAATGTTGAGCTTGCTTCGAAGATGGTGAAAGTCAGTCAACCTCTCGCAAACCCCGTGCAGGGTCTCCCAGTCTATCTCCGACCCTCCCCAGAACATGGTGGCGGGAGCTTTGGTACCTATCTCCTGAACGATCCACCCTCGTTTAAACTGGGAAGAGATCAATGGTTTGTCAGGTGCCTGGTTCTGTTTGACATTTCATCATCTCAAAACCTACCCAAGGAAGATCGGTCAAGCAATCGAGGGCTCTCCCCTCTTTTTCGATCTGATTCTCGAGACCCTTCACATACTCTACACTCGGCTTCGAGTGTTTCTCCTGGTGTTTGTTGAGCGCCTCATCTAGCCTGTGAATCAGGTCAAATGCCTTGGCCGCAAGATTTTCTTCATCCAGACCAAGCCATACCAAGACATGGTCCGCGTTTTTGTAAATCATGTTCATGAATTTGACCTGCTGGCTTCTCTCGGCTCGATCTTTTTGGTTGATGCAAATTTGGTCGGCCCAGACACGTCGTGACTTTTTCGGGTCTCGAATACGCTTGAGCGCTTCGTACAGGCTCGTGGTGATCTCAAGCTCGGCCGTACCAAGAAAGATGCTGTGTCTGGCGTTTGGGTCACCCCAAACATAGGACAAAGCCTGGTAGACCCCGGCAGATTCGAGATGGGCGAAATCGAGCGCGCCAATGAGTGGATCTTTGGGTCCCCCAGGCTGAAGGGTCAGAACTCTGATGGACTGATCGTCAGGCAGACAGAGGGAGGTGTAGGGGTTGGCCTGTTCCTCCCTCCCTTTGCTTGTGGCTTTGCCTGCCATGTTCGAAGTCCTCTCAAGATGGAGAAGAGGGTGTTTTGTTTGCAACAAATGCTTTCATCTATGGGACTATTTTGGGGGAAGATCCACCTGAGAAAGACGGTCTGAGACTGAGAGATCAGTGTCTTGCACGACATAGGGCATTGCAAGGTAGATATAGCCGCCCCCGACCACCAGACGACTGATGAGGCGTCTTTCGTGCAAAGGAGCGGACGTGATCGTTCGCCTCGCTATCAGCCACTCCGCAAGCCATACTGTCTCGCAACCAATCGCTTTCCCGGGAGGCTGCCTGCCCAAATCTCCTCGCGCCCTTTTGTTTTGCCAGGGCCTGTCTCGGAGCTTTACGTGCGCGCACACGGATCGCTGTAAACCATAGACTATACAAAGGCATTTTCTCACTAGACACGGTTGAAAGAGCGGATGCTCTTCTCTATAACTCAATTGTCATGCTATCCTCCTCGGTTACGAGCAGGTAATCAGAGGCTGTTCATTTTTGCGGAGGATATCTTCTCAGCCTTACTGGTAAGGCTTGACATGGGCTGGTTTTGGCCCCTGTATAGGTAGAGTTCAACCCACACCTCGAGCCCAGCCCAGTCCATGTCTCAAGCCCGTAGGGTTTAGCTCAGCCGGCCCATGTCAAAGCCTACTCACTAAAGGTGACCGTGTTGGTGGCAGCATGTTTGTGCGCCGTGTGTCCACAGGTCGGCTTGTGACTGGACAGCTGAGGTTAACACGTCACCGGGTGCATTTTATCGACCCAAGTCCGGATTGAAATGAGTCTCAGCTGATTCCCCCCCCGCGGCCCTTCATTTTTGATAGGCACATCGGTTTTCTCTCTCACACACATCCTGGTTTTCAATTTCGGCCTCTGCCAATAATGTCACAACGAAACTCAAACCAGGAAGGAGCCAGGCAACACCCCCCCTTTGAATTCAAGGTTGATGAATCTCTTTCTGCATGGAACATGCCGGCGGATGAATGGCTCCTCAGGCACGGGAAGAAATCCTCCTACAGTGGCCTGGCGAGCGGCAACATTGTCTTCAACGGCAGCGGCGAGGTCCTTGTCATCCAGCGCGCGAGCTCCGACTCCATGCCCAACAGGTGGGAATTACCGGGTGGCGCGGTGAACGATGACGAGGATTCCACCTTCTTCCACGGTGCCGCTCGAGAATTATGGGAGGAGACCGGGCTGAGGGCCAGACACTTCACTCACGTCGTCACAGAAGGCCCAGGTCGAGAACCAGGGCAGGTTTATCCGAACTCGACGGGGACGATGATCTGGTGTCGTTTTTCCTTCATCGTGGACGTCGAAAGCTGCGAAAATGTAACCTTGGATCCCACAGAGCACCAAAATTTCGCATGGGCCACCGAGGACGAGATCAGAGACCAGAAGATTGGGGACGGCAATCATTCAGTCACAAATCAAGGACTCATCTCGCTTATACTGGAGGCGTTCCGAGTGAGAAGAGAAAAGGCAACCTCTGCAAGTATCTGACTCTCGCAGCAGCCGCAGGAGGGTGGGGCCAAAGAGTGAAGACAGCGAGCGTTGTACTTTATCGCGAGAGGTTCACACTTTGTCAGTGGCAGTCGAGCGATAAATGAGTCGACAATACTCTCTACAAAGATATTCTAAGTACTCGCTAACTTTCGGGTAATCAAAATGCTCCGCCCTCTCCCTCCACTTAATGTACGGGTAGGGCCGTAATTTTCCTGCCGAAGTTCTTCTGGACTACCCTCACGTGGAGCCTAGAAGGAGCCACCTTAGTGAAGCTGTCAAAGACCGGATAAGCCTTGTCACGGAAGGGGATTGTGAGAGATGAAAAGGCTCTGCACAGTTCCAAGTGCCGGAAAGGGCGTGGAACGGCTTGGGGCTGCCCATGTAGTGGTATTGACGGATCAGAAGTTTGGAGCTGAAGACCCTTGTATCCGCGCCCCGTTGCTTTCTCTCCAAGGTTGAGCTAAAGTTGGAAAGTGTGGGTCGATCCTACCTAATGTAGATGCTTCTTTCTTCGACCCCGTAGGGCGCTGGTCAGGCGGCCTCAGCCTAATCCATCGATTGAGATAAAATCCACATTATACCTCGCATAACCATGCTAGCAATGTGTTGTTCTGTTGAGCCTGATGTTGCTGGCTTTGATACTCCTGAAGCTCCAGCATTACTGCCCACAGAAATTATGGCAACTTCGAACGCTGCAAGACCTGCAAGACCTGCAAGATCCGTGTTGCGGAATATGGATTTCGTCTCTGCATTTGTGAAAGTGTATACAGAGGAGGATTACAGATCTAAGTTCTATCATATTGCTCAAACAGTAGCAGATGAATTCAAGAAGTCGCCACCGGTAGACGACCAAGGCTACGAGATCAAATATCAGCTGTCCTGCCGAGGAAAAGACGCGAAATCTATCGGTGACAAACTTCGAGCACAGACGACAAAGTCACCATTCACGAGCGTAGACCTTTTACTCAAGAGCGAACGCATATGGGATCTAGCAGCAGTACGAGTCCTAGCCTACTTCCCCGATGATGTCCCTATCATCGCCAGGAAATTCGAGCAACTATTTCGCATCCTCGATAAACCTATCGTGGTACACTCCAAAAGGGACTACGAAAAGCCCGAGAAACCCGACCGAACGACCCCGGCTACGGGAGGAGTCGCGGTAGCCCAGTTTGAAAAGTATACAAAGGGGACATTCACCCAGAAGAGCAGCGTCGAGGCCATTGTCAGAGAATGGAAGCACTCGGGTTACAGAGCTGTGCACTTCCACGTGGGAAAAAAGGACGAGACAATGTTTCCCAAGTTGTATCCATGGCAAACCAGGGTGGAGGTTCAGATATCCACAGTCGTGATGCACGCCTGGTCTGAAGTGGAACACGACATGGTCTACAAGAATCCGTTCCAGCTGCCTCAAGACACCACCATGGATCGGATGGTAGATGCTATCAACGGTCTGTCCATCACAAATGAGACCCTCCTGCAGGAGTTGCAGCAGTCATCCCGTAATCTACGGGATCATGAGCATGGAAAGTTAAGCAGGACCGCATTGAAGTCCTGGATTCTGAACTACTACTTCGATGACAATGACGCCCACAAGAGGTCGGAAGACCACAGTTATCTGGATATCATGGTCAATTTGATAGACAGCCCCTTGCTCACAGCCAGTTCCATAAGGAAAAACTTGGCTGGTCAGCCATTCAACACGAGACAGTTGGTCAAGAGCCTTCTCCCTGAAAAGGAGAAAAAAAGTCGGTGGTGGCAGACCGTTTACAGCGAACGCGACTCGGACGAAATCGATGATTTTCACCTACTCAAAACACTTTTGCGCAACTCACTCACGAATAATGTGGATGACAAGCTCCGGCACTTCGGCCTGGTAGGGGCTTCAAAAGCTACCGACGACCAAGAAATCTACCTTCTATATAAGCTCTTGTTGGTGAGCAGCTGGTATAGTATTTGGATGGTAATTGGAGAGCCAGAAGTCTTTGGGTCTCGGGAAGAGACGTGTAAGTCCACAATAATTCAACTCACGACCGGCCAACTGAACAGCCGCTTCCTAGGCCCGATATGCGGACAGCTAAGTCCACAGTTCACCGAGTCCAGTGGACAAAAAGCCGCTATGTAAGTATCAGCCGCAAGAACTTTCCGAGCATATTCCAACGTGAGTAGAATTAGCCAGATCAATCGCATTCTCATTGGGAAAACATGTTTCTCTTCACTCAACATGAACGAGCGCCACAGACTGGAAGAATTCTGCAATGACATGTTGAACCGACAGTGTGGCGACGATCACGAAATAGCGTTGAGATTGGCCAAACTTTCACTTTTTGTCCAGTCGCGACCTGGTGTTACCTTGTGGGGACCAACAACGCCGAGGACGGATGTGCAAGATACAAATGACATCTGCCGTGACTGGTCGACTGCAATCGACTTCAGCTTTCTGAACTTGGGTAATGCGCAGACCCAGGGCGACATATCTCTTGGACGTGACCTTGGCAGCATTGCGCTTCCAGACCAGGAAAGATATTATTATAAAGCTTTGAACAGAAACACGCCAGAACCTCAAACGAACACGGACTGGAATAGGTTACCCTTCCGGGAGTGGTACAGACCCAGTCGGTGGAGATCAATGTCGTGGGTCTATGAGCTTGCTGTGACATCGACAGGGCCGTCGCCCAGATTCAAGAAGGAACACCGTCCAGATCCTGAAATGGGTCTCTACTGGGTGGCGCCAAGTCATATCAAGAAGTATCTATCGGTGCTAGCACAGTGGAAACCTCAGGACCCTCGGAATCCAAACCCTCGGACTCCAAACCCTCTGGAATGGATCACCAGACAGTACAAGAGACAATATGTAAAATCTTGACGTGGCGTTGTCACAATGAAGCGTAGCCTGTCTGTGCCATCTGGCATGTTTGACTCGCCATGAACTGAGGACCGTGATCATAATATCGTCGACATCATAGATAGTTCCATGGGTGCAGATCGTATGAGAACTGTCATAAGTGTCTAGGTTGTTCACTTTCCGGATTGAACTAGGTGGGAGGTTCGTTGCCGGACAGCCGGAAGGCTTTGTTGGTTTTGGACTGAGATGTTGGCGGCGTTGATAATACAATTCGTATGACAGAACTTCCGACAATGCAGCTTGATTCAGGTGATGGTGCCGAGTATGTCAATTTCATGATCAAATGAATTCGGATTCTAAATTCTGAACAGAGGCCAGAGAAGCAAGATCCGACCGAGGACAGATTTGGATTTGGGGTAGGGGAGAAGAAAAGGACCAGAGCCTTTGAAAAAGTCTCCCCGAAACCATCTCTCACCGGTGATCCATTCCATGTCGCTCTTAACTTCTTCGCTGAAGCCAATATAGCAAAGCCTTTCGGAAAGCTTTTCGAGGCGCATTGCCTGCACTGAGATTCTTCCATACTTTGGTACCTGGGCAGTTTCGATGGGTGATCGCTCGCGACTAATTCGCGTGCAAGCACAGAGCGGCATCACCCTCACAGCAACAGTCTGATGTTTTGCTGCAGACTCTTGGTACGCCCCTGTCCCAAGATGAGTTTCCATAATTGGCGAAAATCCAGGGGGATCTTATTTCTGGATGCCTTTTTCAGGTGGATCTTGACTTTCAGAGTCTTATGTCTCCGCTGAAAGCCAATCCAGCGCACTGAGATCCATTGATTCGGCAAAGTTGATGAGTTGTTCTGCCGGAAACCCTTCTTGCCAGTTAATGTACTCGGTCACAAACTCGTCGCTCACGCTGCTCTCCGCCGGGGGGTTCATCATACATGGAGGGGAGGAGGTGGCGTCGGCGGGAATCTGTCGGGAGGACTGCGTGGCTCCTACATTGGCCGTCATCACGCGGTTGACATCCTGCATCAGATGATCGCTCTGACGACCGGTTGTTGCTCGAGGATCTCTTCTAAGATTCCTACCATCCTTGTCCAGCGGGGGGAGGCGGCCGAGGATGTCTTGAAGCTGTGAGAGTTCCAATTTGATCATTCCGGCGACCCTGTTTCCCCGAGATACCATCTCGTCGAGTACTGCGTGAGTCCGCTGCAGCCACTGTGGGTGACTATGATCGACCAAAGATGGGTCGACGGTGGCCGCGATCAAAAGTGAGATCCCTGACGTGAAGGTGGCGTCAAGATCGAACGGAAGAAAGCTTTCTGTGAAAACAGCAAAGTACACGCATCAGTTGACCGGTCGGGGTTGCCGAAGCAGAAGCGGTTCTTGTAAATGACAGAACCAAAGCAAAAACTCACCTAGGAGGCTATGACTTTGCAAAGCCAAGAGAATGGTCAGAATCTGTTGAGCAGACTCGACGCACATCTGCAATAGCGAGCGGACGCTACTCGACTGCAGTGTTGCGATCAAACTCTGATGGATGGATTGGCCTAGCCGAGAGCGGAGGAAGCTGTAGAGCAAAGGTCGTGTGATGAGCACCACACACTGGACAAAACCCTGTCAGTAGCAATACCGAGGCATTTTGGGTTACTCGGGGTGGCATCTGTGAGCCTTACTTGATGATACAGCAGGTGCAAGTAGCCTGAAATCCTGGATATGGTAGTAATGGCACCATTCTCGAAGATGCCAAAGGAGGAATTCAACTGGTCCGTAGTCTTTGCCAGCGCTTTCAGAGCCTCTCTTGTGTTTTCCACGAATCGTTTATTGATGCCCAACGCGGGCCCGTACACCGCTGTTCGGAGTCAGGTCAGTCTCGTGTCGCTCGCGAAGGATACAGGCATGATGTTGTCAGAACGCACTATTGAGAGCAAGGGCCAAGACGCGCGAGAGTTGGATCTGGATGTCCATGGCCGTCGACTTTTGCGGTTGGTCGACAAAAGTAGGTAGTTCGGCACTGATTGCCTCGTCCGCGACTCCCAAGGGGACCCCCATGAGGGCCGACATTTGGCGATCGAGCACGTAGACCGTCCACCACACCTTGCGGCGGCGCTGGACCAGCCCACCGTCGATCTTTGTCCGGCCGTGGATTTTTGTGTGCATACCGTGTTCCAATGCTTTGCGCAGGGCTCGGCCGATCTTGTAGGAGGGAGAGAGAGATTATGTTAGCGCATCAAGTGAGTCCACGAGCGGTCTCGTAGTGGAAACATTGAGGGCGGCGGGGCGGGAGGAACGGAACATCATCTCACCATGCAGTAGGCTGCGCCGCGAAAGTCGAGGCATTGAAGGTACAGCGCGGCACAACACAAGACTTGTATCTCCTCGATGGGGTCGGCGTCGTAGAACGAAAACTCGGGCATCAGGGTCATGGCGTGGACAAAGAGCTCGGCGCCGGGCGGCTTGCGCGATCTGCCGTTGGTGGACGGTGCCACGAATGCCTTGCCAAAGGCCAGAACGAGCAGGTAATGAATGTACCAGAGCCTGGACGCCTCCATTGTTTTTGTCGGGTCCCTTTGGAACTGCGAAAACTGTTGCGTAAATCTTTCGTCTTCGAAGAGGTAAAAGACTTGGCCACAGTGAAACTTGACCGCATTGATCAGGAACGTGGCAAAGTCGGCCGAAGGAAGGGCTGGAGAGATCTCGGCGGCTTGGGATGATGAGTTCCTCGCCGGCCTCCTCTCTCCGTCCCATTCCAGATCGTACGATTTGCCTTCGAACAACAAATTCTCCGGGGGCAGTGGTGCTCCCAAGACCTTCTCATGAGCCATGGCCAGGACCTTCCGGCCAAAAGACCAGTTGGACGATGTCCCCAGATATACTAAGACACGGCTTAAGTGAGAGAACGGAAACACAGCATGGCGAAACGCCTGGAACGTCACTTACTCGGTCTGCCACTGGTATCCGGAAAGTAGCTGGGAAAGCCTAACGCGAGGGGGTTTTGGAGCCCCGGGGAACTTGGTATCGAGCCACCAGAATCCTCCGAGTTGCGGGATCCAGGAGGCAGCAGACGTGATGACACGCCTGGTGGTTGGTGGGTACCACCATTTTGATTGCTGTCGGCGTTGTTGTTCTCGTGGTGGTCGACTCTGTCGGCGGCTTCTAGGGAAGGGTTAGTATTTGAAAAGGGAAAAAAGGAACCTTGCGGCCGCTTCGCGCACCGAGCTCTAGAGTAGTCACATTGAGGCTTGGATGCTCATCAGACGCGGTGGGAGGATCTCTGCTGGATGACGGTTCGCTCTGACGTTGAAGTGAGGCGACTCTTCTCTCCAGATCGCGGATGTAGCTGCGCTATTTGTGAGCATCGGGGGGCTCCCCTTGTGGATTTCTAGGAACTCCTACCCTCGAGTGACGAGAATCTTTTGCGCATGGTCATCGAAATGGCAAGATAATTGCCTCTTGGCACATGGCTCGCATGGATGCAATCCTGTGCACCTGATCTTTTGATGGCGGCACCGCCGGCAGCTTTTGGTAGCGGCATGCATCTGTCAGCAGAAGAACCCAGAGGGGGCGCTGTGAGAAAGATAGGATCCTTACGCTTTAGGAGCCCGCTTTCGGGGGGAGGAGTGGTGCCACGTCGTCGAATCTGCTGATTCTATGTCCATGGCGAGCGAAAAAGGGCAGTGGCAGCAATCTCGGAATGCTTCCCAGGTTGTCGGAAGCAGCAAAATCCCTATAAGAGTCTAAAAGCTGGCTTGTGCAAAAGAGGGGGGTAAAGCCTCGGAAACGCGAACCGGATGCGAAATCACAGGGCGGCACTTCATCCGCGCTGCTGAACCACCACGGAGACGGGGCGCTATACGAGGCAGTCCCCGAAAGAGTAAGCAAAGGCACTGCTGATCATCCACTTCTGTGTGATTCGTTCTAACGTTACCCTTGCCGTCACTGAAACTATTACAGATACTGTGACGAATATACGGATAACTAACTACCAGACCATAAGATCATGTCCGGATCTTAGATGGACTATTATCTGTTCCAACTGAGCCCCCAGCGGCGGAGGAGTTCGTGCCGGTACTCGGCCGCGCTCAATTTCATGCGGTCTCCAGCACCACGGTTCTCGACCAGTCGGCGCGTCAAGTACTGCATGCACTCCTGAATACTGCCCCTGGTGAGACACTTGTAGACTTTGGGCACGAATGACGATGCTGCTGCTCTGTCGTGGACCCTGACTTGATCCGCCATCTGGACAATTTCGCATCCGATGTCGTCGGCCATGCCCTGCAGCTGGGCAAACTCGGGCCTGACTTGCAGCTTCCGATGCGCAGCCAGATCTGTCGCGAGCCGAGCTGCTGCTCGGATGGTCCGCGTGTTGTGTCCGGCAAGCAAGAGGTCGATTTCTTCAGGCATCTGATTAGCCTGCGCTGGGAATCTCCCCTGAAGGAGGTCTTCCACGATGCCATTGTAGGATGCGTCTGTGTCGTCCTTTGTATCGTGAATCTTGCTGCGTACGTCGTTTGCGATGTACGCACCTCGGACAAGCTTAATGGCGGGCCGCCAGCCTTCACTCTGAGCAAGCTCGAGTTGGTGTTGGACCTTGTCTCGCGCCGACTTCAAGTAGGCTTGAATCGTGTTGTAAACGAGCGCCTGTCGGCCCAGCGGCTTGTTGTATCGGCGCATTAGATCAAAAGTCCATCGATCAATGGCTGGTTGCAAAACCTGTTGCTCGGCATCAATCCAGATGCGGCATCCCTTCGACATGGCCGTTTCACAAATCCGATCCATAGCCTTGACAAATCTCTCGGGTGCGGCGTCACCATCCATCAGTGCCTTGGTGATGTTGGTGCCCGCGCCGGTAAATCTAGACAGACCATGGTCAGTCAGCCATTCGAGTCTGTGTGATTTCTGTGCTTCTCAGCAAGCCTTTGGGCCAAGACCTACTTGATTCCGAGCCAGTCGCCTTCTGCGATCATGTTCAACGTTTCGATATTCCCGTCCTCCCACTGGGCAACTTCGGCATCCAAGGCAGGCACCTTGTTCCTGTTGTAGCCCAAGAATTCGTCATTTGTTCCCCCCTGGACTTGAACCTCTTTGCCGTAACACAAAACAACCCCGGAAAATCCAAGACGTCTGACCTCTGCCGAGGTGCGGGCAATCTCAGCCTGGTCCCGGCCCGCGCAAAACTGCTTGTACACCAGAGGATACACAATCATTCTCAGCAGTGGGTTTTTATCCGGATTCATCCATACGGACGGCGAGTTGGCAATCTTTTCAAAAACGGCAAAGCCGGGCCTGAACAGCACAGGTGATCTAAACACGGCGCCGAGAAACAGCGTCCTGAGAATGCTCGCAGTCGACAAGCGGGCTAGTGGAGCGCGGACAGACGGAGCATCCTGCCTAGCAGGCACTGTATCCAAGGGTTTGTTCGTCGAGGCCTGTTCATTGTAATAAGGAGCTCTCGTTGTTGTGGTCGAGGTAGACGACTGGAATCTACATCTCGGACGAGCTCTAGTGCCGAGAAAGGGATGAATAATGAGTCGTGGCTGGAATCCCTTTTTGCTGACCGGGGAAGCCATCATAAAATCTATAGAGATTCTAGCGAGCCTGCTCCGGCAGGAGACGTCTCGTTCCATCCATTATATTACAAAGCCTACAATGGCAGCATCGGGCACTGTGGCCGGCCGGGGGGGTGTTAATCATCTTGCGGCGAGGGTTGAGGCTGGCAAACTCGAACGATTCAGGTAAAATAACCCCCCGCATCTAGAGCTCCAGTGAATCTAGAGTGCGGCCTTCGTGTGACCTCTCCAGATCTGGCAGATAGGTTTCAGTGCCGTAAAAGTCGATATGATAGCCGACTTCTCACAATCACATGACGGCGCTGATCACCGTGGCACCGGCAGCCGTCTCCGACGCACGGCGATGCATCCGTAGCGTACATCTTTCTCAGCTGGAGCGGCTTAGCCGTGTGAGCAGATCATACTGGATTTTATGAACACGTATGAATTGCTTTTGCCGAGGTGTCAATCATCAGAAATCATGACGTGTCTTTCTTACGATTTCGAAGCTCGTTATGGAGGGCAATTAGCAGTGCGCTAATTCGAAGATGTGGAAGGCAACTTCACCTGCCTGCGTCGATGAGGGTTTTTTTGTGAACGGGTTTGCAGGGATAGGTACTAGTTGGGAGCTAGATAGGATGAAAAGTCGATTTGGCCTCGAAGACTAAGAGGTTTTCTTTCTTGCATAGCCCCTCGCACAAAGACCTCCTGGCATAACCTCCCGTCTACCTGATAGGCAAATTGACTCACAACAATCTCTCCCACATATAGGTTGTGATGTAGGCACAGAGTGGCATATTGACACCGAACTATCCTCGCCATCTCGTCCACAGACGTGGCAGCCCTGGCAGCCCTGGCTTTGGATCTACAAACGTGACTTTTCAGCCCTCCGCTGCTCCTCAATGACTTCCTTGAGCTCTCTAGTCGTGCCAACTCTCCAGCTCACATCGTCTCCCCACTCATCACCTCCTTTGCTGCCTTGGCTGTGCCGCCATCGCCATCGCTTCAGGGTCTGTTTCCCGTCTTCCAACAGTTTGACGACCCATTCGCCGACAATTGGCATCATCTTGAACCCATGTCCAGAGTCCCCAGACAAGACGATCAGTGAATCTCCCGTGTTGGGGACAAAGTCGACCGTGTATTCCGAGTCGGCGGTGTCGGCAAACCAACACATCTTCTTCTCTACAAAGGGGCGGTCTGCCAGCCACGGCAGCGTCTGCTGCAACAGTCGACGCAATTTCGCCTCGTCGATTGCCGGAATATAGTCTCGTGGGGTTGAAAGCGCCTCTCCTGGAGGCAGAGAAATTCCTGTCGTTTTGTCAGAGTTGACGTAGCCAGCGCCCAGCGGGCATAGCTTGAAAAGCTTCGTGACTGGGTCAGGTTCGAAGAAAAAGCCCAGGTCTCGGACGTTCAGGACCGGGATGCCGCGTAGATAGTCACACTCGCGCTCGGTGAGTTGGATGTGAGCCACCGACCAGGACTTTGCCACGACGTACGAGGCAATTTCGGGGATGAGCGTCGCGGCCCAAGATCCCAGGCATAGGATGGTTCGTCGTGCTTCGTACGTTTTCCCACTCTCTACTCGGAAGCCAGTGCAGCGTCGCTCTGAAGAAACGTCTCCGGGACCACCATTGTAAACCAGCTTTACCACTTTGCCATCGTGCGGCCCGAGCACAAACTTGACGCCCCTGCCACTCAAGTAACGGTAGGTATCCAGCATGGCATTTGCAGAATGCGCGTAGCCTGCAAGTCGATTGTGATAACCTTGAAACCCGGCCATCGGACCGGTGAATTGCCAGTAGATGCTCTTGAACTCGCCAGGTGTGTTCAACTCTGTGATCTTTGGTGCAAACGCTGGATGGTCCTTCACGGACAAGAGTGCCGTCTGTAAGTGTTTGACGGCCTTCTCAGGGGCTGCACCTGATGTTGCAAGCACGTAACCGAGCTGATGAAAATTAGCTCCCCAAAAGGGTGTCTTCCACTTGTTGATGGCTCTCTACAATACTTCCTCGTCAGTTTCTCTCAACCCAAAAAAGATCGGCGCAGTGTTTGCGTGGGTGACGTACAAGAGCCAGCTCCGTATAAAACTCATCTTCGTACTCTGCTCGGACGATCTTGTTGAGGTCGTACGCTCCCGAGTAGGGAGAGGGAATCTCGGATGCCTGGTCGAAGACCGAAATGTCTGTGTATCCTGATTCGAGGAGATGAACAGCGGTCGACAAGCCCCAGGCCCCAGCACCGAGAATGGCCACGGCTTCAGCCTTGTTGGTAGAATTCATACTGCTTGGCTTTGTACGGATTCTCTAGAGATTGTTGCGCACAGTCACATGTATATTTATTACAGCGAATGCTGTCGACGGCGTTGAGTACGGATGGAGGTCCCTTGTCACTGGCGCCGCTAACTGTTTGTTTACTGGATCGGGAGGCTTTCCGATATGACTCCACCCAGATACTTTGCCACCACAAACGTTTAACTCTTATGAAGGGTCAAGACTTGGGATGAATAAGGCGTAAAGTAGCAGGTGAAACTTGGTCGTTGCAGCTTTTGTGAATATGTTTTGAGCATGAGGCGTGCGATCACATTGATTTCAATGCCGTTAACCCCTAGGGCTCAATCGTGACCGGCGACAACGTGGTCTTCGGAGTATCGCCCCCTGATTGGAAGAGAGGGGTACTTTGCTACCATGGCGAGCTCACAAAAACCAGTTGTTCTGAGGCCCCCTTCTGCAACAAATGCGATTGCTGGAGCTGCTGGTGGTGTTGTGTCGGTTCTTCTTGGTGAGTATGATGTGAGAGGTTTGGAAGCATAGGGCGCTGATCGAAGATCAAAATAGGTCAACCTTTTGGTCAGTGGTGACTCGTTACTCAGATAAAATGCGGCGTCACTGACACAAACGACTCGGTGAAGGGCAGATCTGGTCAAAGTCCGAATGCAAACAGGGCAGAAGAGGAAAGCATTCCAGGTCTTTTCAGACATCTTCAAAAATGAAGGCCCGCTTGCCTTCTATAAAGTGGGCCTACCACAACGTTTCGTGACAAGAGCTTTTCCTGACCACTTACTGCTTCAGGGAGCATTACTACCTTTCTTAGGCGTCGGAGCTGCTGCAAGTTTTCCCCAGTGTTGATTAATTTTATTCGTCTGCTCACTCATAGTGCTGTAGGTTAGCATACAATTCTCGGTGTTTCACGGCGCAAAGCATGTGTTGGAGGGGTGGAAGACCGCCGGTGGCTCATTTCAACAAGCTCAAGAGCAATGCACACTGTCGTACCTTGATTACTATCTAGCTGGTGGAGCTGCAGGAATTGCCAACAGCATAGTATCAGGACCCGTTGAGCACATCAGGATCCGACTCCAGATGCAACAGGGTATGGGCAAAAATAGGCTCTACAATGGACCTTGGGACTGCATGACCAAGATATACAACACCGCTGGGAGCAAGGGGATCTTCAAAGGGCAAAACATCGCTGTTTTGCGAGAATTCCAGGCGTACGGCTGCTACTTCTTGACATTTGAGACCTGTATGCGGCTGCTTGCTGACGCACAAGGTAAGACGCGAGAGCATTTGCCTCCTTGGTTGATTGCACCTTGCGGAGCCATGGCTGGGGTGGCCTTCTGGGTGGGAAGCTATCCGCTCGATGTCATCAAGACTTTGATACAAAACGACGGGTTTGGCCGGGAGCGAACATACAAGAATGCTTGGACGGTGGCGGTGCATATATGGCGACAAGGCAAGCTCCCAGCCTTCTTTCGAGGACTTGGTCCTACCTTGCTCAGAACAATGCTGTCATCTTCCGGCACCTTCACCATGTGGGTGGTATTTTTGCCGCACATCACATCAAGAAGCTAACGAGTTATTCAGGGTAGAATATGCCAAGAGAGCCCTTCACTAGATTCTTCAGGTAGTTAGTTATCATAAAGTTCATAGAGGATGAGATTCCGAGACCATTTTTTGCTGGCACCGGATGCTGAGAGATACCGGCTCTCGGAGCCGATGCTCGCTGATCGGTATCATCAGTCGGCTCAAATCCTGGAGTCATAGGTGTCTAATGTCTGACGACAGTAGGATCCGTTGCTGGTATCAATGATAATGGTATCGCTCCTGAGCAACCTAAGATGAAGCTTTTCAATATCAACGTCTTTGTCCTATTCCAAGTCTTTTCTGTATCAGCGTTGGTGGCAGCAGCACCATCGGTTCAAGCCATCCTTACAGATTAGCATCCAGTCTCAACGCTTTTGAGAGCGAGCACACATACAGCCTGAGTTAGCCCCTCCGCATTCACTTCAGGTCGGGGCGCAAAATGTCTGTGTTCGAGTCAGCACCACTGTTCCCAAAGGATGCCATCTTTGCGCTCACTGCACAGTACAACCACGATCCCTCTCCGGTGAAAGTAAACCTCGGTCAGGGTAGCTATCGTGACGGCGCCGGTCTTCCTTGGGTGCTTCCATCGGTTCGTGAGTCTCGGCGAAGACTATCAAGTGACCAGAAACTCCACCATGAATACTTGCCCATCTTGGGCTTACCGGAGTTCCGATCCGCAGTTGGAAAGACATTGTTGGGTGCTCAGGCTCACATTGCGATCGAAAGCAAAGTATGTATGCTCTCATCGCCAGGTTCTCCTTCCAGGCAAGAATCGCTGACCATTATCTCCTTTTCGTAGCTCGCAGTCTCCCAAAGCCTCTCTGGGACGGGAAGCCTTCATTTGGCGGGCACATTGCTCAGAGATTACAGCGGACTGACTCATCAGGTCTTGTTATCAGAGCCTACATGGTCCAATCACCATCTGATCTTCTCTTCGCTGGGTTTCGAGGTGCGGACGTTTCGATACTACGATGCCACGACCGGATCGCTCGATTGGAAGTCCTACGCGGACGCTCTCCATGCCGCCGAACCGAAGTCGATTGTAGTCCTGCACGCTTGCGCACACAATTCTACCGGCTGTGACCCTACTCGGGAACAGTGGACAGAGATTGGCCGCATCATCAAGGCCAAGAGCCTTTTCCCACTCTTCGACGCCGCATATCTAGGTTTCAGATCGGGGAATTTTGACCAGGATGCCTTCTCGATACGGCATTTTGTCAACGATCTCGGCCTCGAGGCGGCGGTGGCTGTCTCTTTTGCCAAAAACATGGGCCTCTACGGTAATTCTTACCCGAGGAGCTGACGCTCCCAAATGGGGTGAGTGAAAATGGTGCTAATGAACCGCAACACGACAGGAGAACGCGTCGGGGCCACCGTCCTCGTAACCAAGTCTGAGAATGTCGCCCGTAATTGCGAATCTGTCTTGGAAAGAATACAACGTTCAGAGATCTCGAATCCTCCGGCGTACGGCGCCAAGGTGGCAACTCAGATCCTCAGCGACGAGTCGTTGAGGAGCATGTGGTTTGAAGATCTCGAGACCATGAGCACGCGTATTGGCACAATGCGTCAAAGCCTTTGTGATTTACTGGTCAAGAGTGGTACGTCCATCTGAGTGGCGTCATGTTTTATCTGTCCACCACCGCCTGACAAACAATTATCAATTAGGGGCACCAGGCAGCTGGGATCATATCACACAACAGACAGGAATGTTCGGCTTCCTGGGTCTATCGCACAAAGTGGTTCTTCAACTAAGACGTGAGTAAAAAACACCATAACGCTTCTTGCTTGAGAAGCCAGGCTTTATAACAATATCCAACTAGGACAATACCATATCTATATGGCAGACAACTCACGTATCTCAATCGCTGGACTAAATGAATCGAATGTGGTCTTTGTCGCGAAAGCCATTGCGGATTGTTTGAGGGCCGAATCCATTTCAGAGGCTACATCATCCTGTGCGGCGTCTAATCTATAGAAGCAGCAGTCATACAGCACGTTTGGTTGGACCAGGGTTGTCCCAAAGCACCCCATTGAATAGAGTCAGTCAAATCGAAGTCTCTGAACTACTCTGTGGAAACCAGCCGGCGTCGCATGTCTATATAGCTGAACCAGGTCCTTGCCATTAATTTCTGCTAGATTTCGCTCTTTTCAGGACACGTAGTATTTATGGACAAACTGTGAAGAGCTCTGCCTTTGTCTTGCCTGCGTCACCACCCACTTCAAACTCTATATAAACAAATTAACCATTATGCCTGCTGGAGCGGTGCCTTTGCGTAAGAAGTAAGCCCACGAAAATGTCTGACAGTACCCCAAATCTAGGCGTTGCTCGGGTACAGAACAGAATCCAACGTATTGTACTCCTCTTTCAAAGTGCGAGGTGCCGTGAAGCGCATCAGCATGTTTGCACTCCCCGCCTTGTCATTGGTACCACTGCTTCTTGCACCTCCGAAAGACTGTTGGCCGATTACAGCACCGGTCGTCTTGCAGTTGGTGTAGAAGTTGCCAGCCGCATAGCGCAGCCGGTTCTCGGCCTTTCGGATTGCGGCCGGGTCATTGGCGAAGATGGCGCCCGTGAGAGCGAACCCGCCGCCTTGTTTGTCGATGGTCTCCAGGAGAGCATCGAATTCGGCGTCGGGATAGACATAAGCAACCAGAACAGGGCCAAACAGCTCTTGGTCAAAAAGAGGGTGATCCAGTGTCCTTGCGTTGTAGATGGTGGGCTCGATATAAAAGCCTTTGGTCGAATCGTGGTGACCGCCAACGATAAGCTCAAGTTGACCGTCTTGATTCGCAGCGTCGATGGCCTTTGAAATCTTGGTAAACGCCGCTTGGTTGATCACAGGTCCTGTAAAGCTTTCAAAGTCTTCGGGCGGTCCCACCTTGACGTTGCTCAGCTCGGCCTTGATTTCGGAGAAGAATTGGTCTGCCTTGCTCTGGGGTATGTAGATACGAGAGCAAGCAGAACATTTTTGACCAGCGTACTCAAAAGAGGCCCGGATTGTGTGCTTGACGGCGTTGCTGATGTCTGCGGTGGGGTGGACCAGGTGGAAGTTCTTTCCCGAAGTCTCGGCGACCAGTCGTGGAAAATCACGATACTTCTTCTCCTTGACGCCGTCGGCGATCTTTCCGTAAAGGCCACGGAACACGTCTGAGGACCCGGTGAAGTTGATGGCGGATAGCTCTCGGTGTGACAAAGCCACCTTTGTGATCGCTTCCGCGTCGCCATTGACAAATTGAAGAACATTTGGTGGCAAGCCGGCCTCGAGCAAGATCTTGTATACCAGACAGCTCGCGTAGACATTGTACGGAGATGGTTTCCAGACCACGACATTGCCCAGAAGCAATGGGCCGGAAATCAAATTTCCACCGATGGCAGTAAAGTTGAATGGTGAGATTGCGTAGACAAAGCCTTCCAAAGGACGCCAGTCGGTGCGCCTAAAAGTAGCTCCTGTAAGTGTGTGGTCTCTCCATATCGGAAGCAGACGAATTTGACTCACCCTGATTGACCTTTCTCATTCAAGGTAGGCTGCCTAGAATAGATTTCTTCCGCGTAAGAGACGTTGAACCGGTAAAAGTCCGCGAGCTCGGCCGCGGCGTCGATTTCGGCCTGCCACGCATTTTTGCCCTGTCCAAGCATTGTCGCGGCCATCAATTCGAAGCGGTATTTCTTGGATACCAATTCCGCTGCTCTCAGGAAAATTGCAGCTCGGTCTGTGAATGGAGTATCTTGCCACGCCTGTTTGGCCTTCAAGGCTGCCTCAATGGCGGAAGAGATGTCCTCTTCATTTGCGGTGGCATACTTGGCAAAAACCGATGAGTTGTCGGAGGGAAAGTAGACCTCTGCATTCGATTTGGTCTCAGCCTCCACCCCATTCTTGATGCTGGGCACCTGAAGGGGGATTTTTGTTCGCAATTCGCTCAATGCTACAATCAGCTTTTGTCGTTCTGGTGACGATGGGGTGTAATGAAGCTGTACCGAAGTTAGTAGCGGAAGGAACTTAACATGAAGTCTTTGCTTCTCACATTAGGCTCGTTGAAAGGCTTTGGTGTTTTGTAGTGCCCTGCCGTAGCAAGACCTCTTTTCTTTTGCGTTCCTGTGGGAGGCCACGACCGCTGTCCAGTCAGTCGTGGGACTGTTGGAATGGAGGACCGTGTTGGTACGGCTAAACGTCCTGCCATCAAGTCGAAAAGTCCCATTTTGGTGAGATATATTCGACAATCTCCTTTCTTCGAGATTGTACACACTTCCAAAAGTTCGTGGTGTCTCGACTTTGAAGGTGTTCTTTTCTAGCTTAGCACAACAAGCACTACTGTACCCGGTGCCGACGTGTGCAGGATGTTTACGGCTGCTCTCTTGCGGCACCGACAAGGGCGTCGAGATGCAACATTGAGTGTGGAGTTGTTACTTGATATCGGAAGCACTACCGAGCCGGACTTCAGCACGCACAACTCTCACGGCGGAAAGGCAGCCGTAGACCGTCAGATTACTAAGGCCGCATCAGTGTACTCGAACGAGCAGAACCATCCATATATGGGATGGGTAGGGGAATCATGCCTCATGGGCAGGATGACAGCTACTGCCTTTGATCTTCTGATGATGCGCCATGGCCACGACTCAATCACGGGTTCCAGAACCCGGCGTCTATGTTCCTGCGGTCACTTTTTTCGACCCCGAGACCGATAAACTTGACCTGGATGCCCAAACCAAATACTACGCATACCTGGCAAGCACCGGCATCACAGGCCTTGTCATCCTGGGTACCAACGCCGAGACTTTTCTATTGACGCGCGAGGAGAGAAAAACATTGCTCCAGGCGGCGCGAGGAGCCGTTCCATCGCGGTTTCCTATCATCGCTGGGGTCAGCGGCCATTCCACGGCACAGACGCTCGAGTTCATTGAAGACGCATACCGTAGCGGAGCAGACTATGCATTGCTCCTTCCTGCGGCATATTTCGGCAAACAGACCACCCCTGCGGTGGTGCGAAGATTCTACAAGAAGGTCGCTTCACGCTCAACGCTACCGATCATCATCTACAACTTCCCCGGCGTCACCAATGGCTTGGACCTCGACTCGGATACAATAGCACAGATTGCCCATGACAGCCCCAATGTGGTCGGGGTCAAGCTAACATGTGGCTCAGTCGCCAAAGTTACACGATTGGCTGCCACATTCCCTCCCTCACGGTTTGCCACCTTCGGTGGTCAATCAGATTTTCTCGTTGGGGGGCTGGCTTCGGGTAGCGCTGGCTGTATATGCGCCTTTGGTAATGTCTTCCCCAAGTCTGTGGTCAAGATCTACGACTTGTGGACAAGTGGGAAACAGGAGGAAGCTCTGCGACTCCAGAAGGTGCTGTCGTTGGCTGAATCCCCCACCAAGGCTGGCATTGCCAGTACCAAATATGCAGCTGCAGTCTTCACGGCCCCTCGAGCAGGAATAGTGAATGCGGAGGCTTTGCTCAAGCCTCGAGACCCATACGAGGAGCCCACCCAGGCATCCAAAACTGCCATCCGAGCCGTGATGAGAGCATTAGATCAAGAAGAGGCACAGGTCTCGGAATCGACCAAAAGCCGCTTGTGAGAGGCTCGCGGGAGGAGGAGCTTGTCCAGGCTGTCCTTCGGGCGAGGTCAAGTCAATACAGGTCTGGGAGTGAGAAGTCGTATAGATCAAGGCGTAAACTTTTAGAGCAAAAAACATATCATCATATCTATCTTACATGTTCTTGGCATAATTCACCGCGTACTGAACAGCATCAGATATCCCCGCCCTAACCTGACCCTTTTCCAAATTTAAGAGAGCGTTGATCGTGATTCCTCGTGGCACTGACATTGACTCCTTGAACGACTCTATCGTCATGCTGCCTTGTAGCAACGTAGATGCGCTGCGGAGACACTGTGTTGCCACTGCTTGTGCTGTTGTCCGTGTGACGCCCTCAGCAACACTGGCGTCCACGATCGAGTCGACAGCTACGATAGACAAAGCATGAGTCGCTGCGCTGATGGCGGTGACGGTGTCCAAAAGGCTCTCTGGCACAAGTTGTACCGATCCTATCAGTTTGAATAGTGAAAAGACCAGTTCCTGTTCGTCACTTGTGAGGCTTGTATCAGATGCAACCAGCGTCGCTGACTCTCCGACCTGAGCCCCTATGCTGGGAATCACCCGAGTGATTCGTTGTTGCGGAGAGATCTTATCGGCCAGTTTGAGCAGCGACACTCCCGCGAGAAGGGAGACGATCAGTTTCCCGTGCATCTCTGCTACCAGATTGGCATCTTCGAAGACCTGTGCGAGTTGCTGTGGCTGGAAACCGAGAATGACGACCCGTGCTTCACGGGCAGCGGCCACGTTATCTGCGGTGATGATAATATCCACGCCACCGTGTCCAGCGCCAAATTGCTGGCGCAGCCGCTCTAACGATGAACTCGAGGGAGCGCTGATGGTGAACGTGAATTCAGGTTGCTCTTTACCCTTCAGGCTTTGAAGGACACCTGACAACAATGCCGATCCCATGAAGCCTAGGCTAGGTCAGCGAGGATGGATACTGGCAGACTGAGACTCCTCACCGCAGCCTAGGATGGCGACGTGAAGCTTCTTTGGTGGTGCGTGGGCAGACATCTTGTTGATAGTCGAGAGACCGAGTCTTTCACCGCGACTGATCTTTGGTTTTGAGGTTGATCAATCCAGTGAGGAGGAGGTTGTTCGATGGAAGAAGGTCAGCCCTGCTCCGGCCCAGAGACCGACCCTGCGCGGGCCCGTAGTCCGGATTTATCTTGGCGCCCTTTAATAATGCCAAATATCATTCTGGATACTTAGGGAGACCAAGCAATCCTCGTATGCATATGAACACGGAGAAAAAAGGTAATGGTGTCAATGTTGCTCTTCACATCGCCGGTTGGCAGGCTTTGCCTCTTTGGTCTTGCTCACGTCTACTGATCATCAGCATTCTTTTGTAACTGGCGGTATTGCTATTGGCCAACCAGACCAGCTACATGTTTCTCTAGAACAGGATCATTCTCTGGTTTAGAGACCTACTCTACTGGAGAATAGTTCTCCTGGGGCTTTCCGCCCTTTGAAAATGGCATTGCCCACCTTCAAGATATGCGCCTAGCATCGCGAATCCCGATGTTTCGAGTTTCTCTCACGAACTCCTAACGTTGGAGCGAGGAATCTAATGGGCATCGTTCAGGGTCAGGAGTGCGAATATCTGTGAAGGGCGTGCATAATAAATCTTGTGAGCAAGGCCGGTGAGAATGACGAAGATATCAGCTGCTTGCGCTTCAATTTCAATCCTTCCGACCTCATGTCCAGACCCGTACGTACTTTCGTCACAGTGTCGGCTGCTCCAAAGCGTAAAATTGCCGTACCGGAAGAGATCGATCAAAAAGGCGTCTTGCCCGTCTCTCGGTTTGATTCTGTGTTCCGATCCCTCGATGTGAGGAGAAAGAAGCACTTGATTGTCGGGCCGCATCGCCGCATGCTATCTCGGGAAGAGATGCCGGTCCTCGGATACCACCCTTTATTATCAGGATCAGAGATCGGTAGGCCCTCCGAGTGGATATCATACCCCGGAAAATCAGTCTCTTGTGGGGGATGCCACTCATTCAGATAGCAATGGTTTGCTATTTGGCATTTTGTCGCTTAGCCCAGCCTCTGGTGAGGAGGAAGTACTGGGCATCCAGGTTGCGTGGTGATGCAGCATGTATCTCTTTAAAAGGGTCGTCAACTTCCGAGCGTACTTCCTGCTCCCTTCCGACGCCTCTACCAGAGTACTTTTCCATACTCTTTGAGAGAAGTTTTTCATCCGTATGGAGATGAAAATGTCCCGAGACGAAAAAATGAAACCTGAAGTCGGACCTGACGGGTTGGATCGAGTGCCTACCGTGGAGGAGGGTCACGCACAGGCACGCCGGTTTTCTCTCGAAGACGCCGTGTTTGGCATCATCACCGACGAGGGTCCCAATTATCGTAATGTACACATGATTCCCACGTCGAGAAAGCTGACATGTGCCTGACGCACTTCTCAGGTCGGCTGGCTTGGGACAGTCGCTCTCATGATGAAGACGCAGATCGGCCTCGGTGTCTTGTCAATACCCGCCGTTTTTGACGTGCTGGGTTTAATCCCAGGAGTCATCTGTCTGCTCGTGATCGCCGGCATCACGACCTGGTCAGACTACATGGTCGGCATGTTCAAGCTCAGGCATCGCGAGATCTACAGTATCGACGATGCCGGCGCCCTGATGTTTGGACAAATCGGGAGATACATCCTGGGTGCCGCATTTGTTCTTTGTCCGTCCACGTTGCGGCTTCTTTTCGTTGAAAATTCGACCGACTGACTTATCGGGGTAGATTGGGTCTTCGTTGCTGGTTCGGGCATGCTGGGCATCTCAATAGGTCTCAATGCCGTCTCGACTCACGGTGCATGCACGGCCGTCTTTGTCGCCGTTGCAGCCATCGCAGGCTGCGGGCTGGGCAGTATTCAGACGCTGGGTCGCATCTCCTGGCTTGCATGGCTTGGGCTGACATGTATTCTCACCGCAAGTGAGTGATCCTACCTTGACACATTGACTGAACTCAGTCAGTTACTGAACCTTGACCCAGTCATCACCCTCACGGTTGCCGTGGGTGTACAAAACCGTCCGAGCGCGGCACCACAGCAAGGAGCCTGGTCTTCGGACTATAAACTCTTCAACAACCCATCCTTCTCCGACGCCAGCGCTGCACTATCCTCACTCGTATTTGCGTATGCAGGCACACCGGGGTTTTTCGCTATTGTAGCGGAGATGAGAGATCCACGTCATTACACACGGTCGCTCCTGGTCTGCCAATCGGGGGTGACCGCAATCTACGTTACCGTTGGCTGCGTGGTCTACTACTATTGCGGGTCGTACGTGGCCTCTCCCGCCCTGGGTTCCGCCGGGCATCTCATGAAGAAGATTTGCTATGGCTTCGCCCTACCAGGCCTGTTGGTGACGACCACGCTTGTCATCCATGTGAGTCAGACCACGTACCGGTCTTCTCTGCTCTAACCACAAGAACAGGTTGCAAGCAAGTACCTCTTTGTGCACATCTTGCGTGGGTCAAAACACCTTGCCAGTCCGACTTTGGTCCACTGGGCCACTTGGTTCGGCTGCACTATAAGCATCGCTGTCGTTGCTTTCATCATTGCCAGTTCGATCCCTGTCTTTGGTAGCCTTGTCTCACTAATCGGTGCCCTCCTCGGTACGCTCCTGTCTTTCCAGCCGATGGGTTGCATGTGGCTGTATGACAATTGGAAGAAAGGGAAGACGGAGCGATCTGTAAGATGGATCTTGATGGTCTGCTACAGTGTATTTGTCGTCGTGATCGGTTCTTTCCTGATGATTGTTGGCACCTACGGGTCGGTCGTCGGCATCATCAACTCTTACAACCAGTCAGGGGGGTCTGCTGCTTTTTCATGTGCCGACAACTCCGACTCTGTCTGATCCAATCATCTACCATACTTGCGTGAACCAGGTTTACTGGGGGATCTCCTCGAAAAGGAGTGGATCAGTTGCTCTGGACAGTCGCAAGTCTCAGCATTGGTTCTGGCAATATGTCCTGATAATTATTGGCTAGTAGTTGCTTTTCCTTATCTTGCCCATATAGAACAGTCGGAGGTAGCAGCCCTCGCACGGATCGTGGTGGCCTCTGAGAACAAGTCGAACATAATTCAAGAAACCTTTTTGAACGTAAGAAGACAGAGCGGGTAAGCAAAAGGCGGCGTCACCCTGATTCCCGATCGGGGTGGAGGCACGAGCAGGTCAACCATACCTTGGCACTATCATCGAGCTACAGAGAGTGCGGTAATGAGAGTTACCTAGTAGGCACAGGACTCTATACTCCGTACACCAAGGTCTCTTGTTATTTCCCTACAAGTCTTCTCATACGAGGGCATTTCAGGACGGTCGAGCTCTTCCGGGTGAACTCTACGATGAATCCTTCCCCTCTTCGGACGCTCGTCTCCCGTCGACTCTGCACTTGCAGAAGCCACCATCATCCAGCATCAGTGGCCAGACTGTTGTCCTCAAGCAGTAGACTCAATGCCTCTCATACTCCCCCAGCTCCGTCCTACGGTTCGGCCGAGTTGCTTCGCCGCCGCTACCAGAAGCGTAGCACGCCAGATGTGGATGCAAAGACAGAAAGAGCAAGGACGATCAAACGCATGAAACTGTCTGGCTACGGAATCGCGGCTTGCACCCTAGCCATCATTGGCACGATCGCTCTATACCCTCAAGATGCTCAGAGTGACAACAAGCCAAACACTATAAAGCTCGACGCGCCTCCATCTATAGCCGGCGCTCTTGACAAGGTCGAAGTCGAGCAAGTCCCCACCGGGACTTCCACGATCCCTACGTTCCCTCGCACCGTTCACATATCGACCGACGCACCGAGCTCGACACCGGCAGCGGCCAACGAGGGCACCCAACCCGACGTCGAGTACCAGCTCGTCGGCCTGGGTATTCGTACCGTGTCACTCTTGAGCATCCAGGTGTACGTCGTGGGCATGTACATCGCCACGTCCGACATCGCGGCGCTGCAGGAACGCCTGGTCCACGCCGTGGCCGATCCGGTTGCCACGACCCTGGTGCCGGAAGAGAAAAGCAAACTCAAGGAATTGCTTCGGGACCCCGAACGCGGTGAAGACGTGTGGAACGAGATCGTCAAGGACGCCGGCATCCGCACCGCCTTCCGCATCGTGCCCACGCGGAACACGGACTTTATGCACCTGAGGGACGGCTTCGTCAGGGGCATCACGGCACGCAGTGCGCACTTTGCCAACGACAAGAAAGACACCACGTTCCAGAACGAATCGTTCGGAGAGGCAATGGGGGAATTCAAGAGTGCGTTCGGTGGCGGCGCGAGGCGTAAGCTGGCCAAGGGTGAAGTGCTTCTCTTGGCGCGAGACGCTCAGGGCAAGATGACCGTCTGGGAGGAGGACAAGCAAGGCCACAGGGTCAAGATGGGGACCGTTACGGACGAGAGGGTCGGTCGACTGCTGTGGTTGAATTACCTGGCCGGCAAGAATGTAAGCAGCGAGCCTGCTCGCCAGAGTGTCATCGACGGCGTTATGGATTATGTGGAACGACCGGTGGGCACGGTCGCCACACAAGTTGTATGAATGACCAAAAGGAAAAAGGAGATTGTGGTAGATGGCGTCAATAGCAGGTTGGCTGGCGGCGTCATACAGAGAAAGTGCTCACGGTACCTGCAATTTGTACAAACATTATCTGGCCGCCGATGCGGTTGTATGATATAAGATATTCGCCACTTGTTTCGCGACCGTTCGTGAGGCATACAGTATGACTTCGATTCAATCCAAAGCAGTCTGGACCCGATAGCAATGGCTAACGTGACCTATTAACGAGAACTCACCGGGCGTTGTCTTATTATCATTCCAGGAATGTTCACGAATGGGTGCGGGGGGACTAAACACAGGGACTTTGTTGAATAGGTGTTGAATTGTGTTATATTTTCAATTTTTGTATGTACGATCGAAGCTCATCCGTATACCTACCTACCTTGAGGTTCGTTCCCGCAGCTGCTGATTTCGTCCCGGAAGCCTCCCAGGAGGTATCAGTCTCAAAATTGCACATTCGTCGTCTCTAGGCAAAAATGCGCAACGGCTTGTGGAGGTAGAATCCCGGGTCGTTGAACCGCAGACCCTTGTCCAGCGCACTGATGGCCTTGATCTCGTCCTCGGTCAGGTCAAAGTTGGTGACCTCCAAGTTTTGCTGCAAGCGGCCGACGTTGTTGGATTTTGGGATGACGGCGATGCGCCGCTGGGTGGACCAGCGGAGCAGGACCTGGGCCGGGGTCTTGCCGGTTCGGTCGGCGGCCTTCTTGACGGGTTCGGCCTCGAACAGCAGGGGCACCTGCTGGGGCCTCTCGCGGAATGCGGGGGGGAGTTCGAGGAAGCTCTGCGGGCCGAAGGAAGAGTAGGCCGTCACGGCGATCTTGTTCTCCTGGGCCAGGTCGATCAGGCCCGGCTGAACGAGGTACGGGTGGTGCTCGATCTGCAAGGCCGAGATCGGGTGTCTGGCGTAGGTCAAAATGTCGTAGATGGTTTGTCCCTGGGAGTTGGACACGCCGATGGACCTGGCAATGCCGGCGTCGACGACCTCCTCGAGGGCTTTCCAGGTCTCGTGGAGGGGCACCTTGGCGGTCTCGATGGTCTTTTGCTCGGCGTCCATCCACCATCCCTGGAGAAAGAGAGCAAAATTATGGTGTCAGCTTACCTTGTCCGGTCCACAGAAAGGGTGAAGCTGAAAAGCGACGGGTTGGCTTACCGGATATCGAAGTTTCTCGGGCTCAATATACGGAAGGGCGATGGGGAAGTGGATGAGGTACAGATCGATATAACCTAGACCCCAGGCTTCGTTCTGAGCCTTGGCCATCTGCAACGCGTGCTCGCGCTTGTGGTAGTTGTTCCACAACTTGGTGGTGACGAAGACATCCTCGCGCTTGACCAGACCTTCGTCGATGGCCCTCTTGATACCTTGACCCGCCTCCTTTTCGTTCTGGTAGTCGTAAGCACCGTCGAACAGACGGTAGCCTTGTTTGATGGCCTAGAATTGTGGTCATGTCAGCAACCCATTCGACTATCTCCGAGTCCTTCTCGTCAATCGACGAGAGGGATAGAAGGTCACATACATTGTAGACGATATCTGCAGCCTTGTCGGCCGGAACCTTCCACAGACCGAATCCGACCAATGGCATCTTGTGGCCAGAGGCCAAGGTCACGTTTTCCACAGACATGGTCTTTGGTTGGGTACTTTCTGCTTGGTGTGAGAGGTGATTGAGGATTTGACGAGTCCGTAAAGACATCGACAAAGAAGACGGAATAGCCTTTTTATTATGTAGCCTGGAGGTCCGACGCCGACGCCCAAGGATCTGGTCACTGGCAAGGACTGCCGGTTATGCAGCAAGGTGTGAATTTAGCCGCGGGATGTGGTGGAAGCACGAGTAGTCGTAACCGTAACAGGGGGGGCCCGGTTAATTCTTTTATATGGCTTTTCGCCACGGAGGGCCATCCTGACCATTGAAGAAAAATTTCGGTTCGAGATCATGATGCACGGCAACCGTTCATTAGGTGTGGAGTATGAAGCGGTAGAAACGCCCACATGGGAAGTTCTGGTGTTTCTTGACTTTGTTTGAGGCTTGGAAACGAGGTGAAGGATCGTGTTTCCGGCTAAAATGGAAGGTCAAAGCGATCGCACGTGATGAGGAATATTCTAAACCGCAATGGGGATAGCGTAGAAATGCTTCTCGACTTTGCCGTTGTGATTTCACAATCGCCAGCATACCACGCCGCTAGTGTGTCAATCAGAAGCTCGGAAGACTCTCGTCGCAGTATCCCGCTAGTCCATGGAGTAAGATCTCAGCTGCTCTGTATGGAGGGTCAAGTTGAATAACGGTAGGCCAAAGTCTCAGGAACAGCGGCGGCAAGGTTGCATCGACTATCATTACTGTAGACCTAGCTGCCCGCACTGAAATAGGCAAAGGGGGGCTGTGGTTTACCAGCCTCGTCGGGCTTTCCCAAGCCATGTCCTGATCATACACGATGAGTTGAAGTATTCGAATGTGTCTTGCGGCTTCGCTAGGTAATATTCACGTTGGAAACAATACACTGATTGACTCATTGGCCTTGCCAACAAAAAAAAAGGGTCAAAAGAAAAGCCCGCTACATGATTCTATGGACTTGTCCAGAAATTTATTCGTCCCTCAGCCCTGGGTTTAGACCCGATACACATCCCGCAAACCCTTATGTATATATCCATACTTCGGCGGGCTGTCCATCACAGCTTCTTCAACACGAGTAGTCTTCCACCCACATTTGACGTCGCCCTCACACCAACCACCTCCGCACGAAGGATCTCGATTGAGCCATCGTCCTTCAAACGCTCCACTTCCGCCTTGTACCCTCCACTCTCCCAGATGTCGTCGAGGACCGTAGTGACCATGACGCCACCACCTTGTTTGACGATCCTCACAAATTCCTTAAACACCGGATCCGGCCCGACGTGTCCCCTCGTCAATGTGCCAACGCAGACCACGGCGTCGAAAGACCCATTCGGTATCGTCAGCGGCTTTGACAAGTCGACCACGTCCAGTTTGGCGTAGCATCCCGTCTTGCGAGCGACTTCGAGCATCCCCGAACTGATGTCCAGGCCGGAGACGTTGTCGGCGCCATACTTTGTTGCGAGTTCCCTACCGACCAGCCCCGTGCCGCAGCCGGCGTCGGCAATACGTAGACCGGCGAGCTGACCACCAGAAGAAGAATGCGGACTAGCCTTGGCCAGCGCCTGAGAGAGTGCCTCCGCGGCCAATGTCGGAAATGCATAGTCCAACCCTTCGAGGTCCTTGTCGTACTGAGCCGCCCATTGATCATACAAGCCTTGGGATTCGGTGGCTGTCGTGGCGGCGTAGACGCGTTGTAGGAACGTGTTGTTCTCGCTGCGTAGATCCCCAGGGTCAGACATATTAAGAGTCTTTGTTCTTGGGTTGATAACGCTATTGATACAGAATCGACTTCGAGGTAGAACTCGTCCACTTCCCTGCCTTCAGACGAACTTTAGGTCCGTCAAGACACAAAAACAGGTATCTCAAAATCCGGAGATGTCATCTGTGAAAATTCGGTGACTGGCTTGCACTTTTAGTAACGCCTGTAGCTTGGCCTCTACAGGATATGCCTCTAATGATACAGGGTGGTGGGAGTAAGAAGTACCTGGGTACCAACTCCGTAGGTAAAAGCAAGTAACGATAACTCCGTACTGGTGAGATATGACATCATACACTAGGTAACCAGCCCTTGCCCTTTAGGGATTTCGATATTCAGGCCAGACAAAAAAACACGGCATTGTACGGAGCATGTGTGTGTATTTATATAAAACTACTCCATATCGGAAGTCGCATTGTCAGACATTATTTCGCAAGCAGCGAAGTCTCCGTGCTGGTTTCTGTCGTGCGTCCAGCATCCATAAGTATCATGGCGAAGATCACCCAAGTTTCACAATCGGTGGTTAACATCTCCAGGAGTCAGTCCTTCAAGACTTTTGCGGCAAAAGTTTCCTCTCTCTCTCGAGACACACGCATGCACGCACAAACACACACATGTAATTCTGTAGATCAACTTTTCCGCAATAGAATGTTATCAACCAGTCTCAGAAACGACCAGCTCTCAGCTGCTTGAACACAACCCGGGAACCTTGGATGCCTTGACGCCAACCAATCCGTCAATGTAGCTCAACAAAGTCTGGACGGGGATCATGTCCATGAGGCCCAGGCTGGGATTTGAACTGCGCAGAACCTGGCCGCTCCAGAGCACACGCAGGTAGTGGCAGCCGGACTTGCTGTAGAGTTCGAATACGACCTCGGACCCCATGCCCGGCCAGACCATGACGTCGACCTGCAAGATGGCTAGAAGTCTCGCAATGGAGCCATCATGGGCGACGTTGTGTCTGTAGATGGTCGTTGACGTCCCGTTCATCGACGCGCGGAGATTGCTGGCGAGCTCCGCCATCCAAATGCCAAACCCTGCGGTGGCCGTGGGCAGAGACGCGGGGCTGTCGCGCCACAAGAACGAGTACTCGTATTGACCTCGTCGGAACACGGCGTCGGCGTCGGCCTGCGTGATGCAGTTGGTGGAGTTTCCCGCCTGACAAGGAAGGGCCTTCTGGTGGCACAGCCGCGCCGAAAGGTTGTCGAAGTAATGGTCAAACCAGTTGTGCCAGCCTGGATCCGTCTTGTTGATGCCGGAGACGGAGTCGAGCTTGGCAAAGAGTGGCTTGGAGTCGTTCAAGTGGACGGTCCAATTCGCGACGGAAGAGCCGATACCGTAGCTGGCGTACAAGTCGTCCGCTCTGTCACAAGTGTATGCAGGTTCAAGAGAGTCGATCGAGTCTGGTTGGATGGCAACACCTATAGGCTTGTTCACCAGTGATGGAAATTGCCCTTCGATGGCCTGGCTCGCAACCTGGGATGTGATGACGTTGTTCGTGACGCGATATGTAATTTTGGCCGGATCATAGCTGTCAGGCAGAAAGCCGAGAAGCCCATGGTACACACCGTAAACGTCGGATCCGTGTTTGCGAGAGTCGTTCAAGCCGGAGCCACTGATCTGGGGGAACTGGCACGTTCCATTAAAGCCTTCTGGTGCAAGTGGGTTCGAATCGGAAGTGTAGACCTGCCAGTTGACCTGGGCCGATGTTCCATCTGGTCGAGGCACTCCGTAGTAGAAGAGGGCTTCGTCATCACAATTCCAGGAATACGTTTCGTGAGGAAAAGTATTCGCCGCACTGCAAACGATTAGGAGTTTGCTCGTGTGGGACAACAACGACGACCAAACCCGATACCTGGGGCCAGCGTCCCTGAATGACACAGCGAGTACATACTAAGGTGTACGTTTGTGATGTCGTTGAATCTATAGCATTGTCAGAAAAATGCCTAGATAGTCACGATTCCGCAACCACATACCAATTCGACATACTCCAACTTGTAGCCTTCAGGAGCTTTGACATATTCCTGCTGTCGCACATGAGGCATGTTGCACCAGTTGTACGTGCTGTATCCAGCTGTCGCCGGAGTGATGGAGCTATTGTAGATGAACCCATTGGCACCAGTACCGTTGATCACAAAGCCGAGGTCATTGATATGGGTCTGGTTAGGGGCGTGCCAGCTCAGGTCAACGCTTCCATTTTGTTGCGAGCACTGAGCTGCGATACCCTTGGCCAGAGAACCGAAGAGAAAGAGGCTTCCGAACCGCGACACCATATTGCTCTGCCAGAATCGTCCAAGAATGTTAGAAGAAGTCAAAATCTCTGAGAGGGCGCCGGCAAGGTCGGGATTTGAGGCCTTCATATCGAGGCATGCCGATTCCTTGGTCCCGGACGCGCAAGAAAACAATCCAATTAGACCGTCGAAGCTGGGATGCACGTTGCCGATCAAAGCTGGAGAGAATAGGAAAGGACAAACAGTCCGTCTCGTCGAGATTCAGAGAAGGTTACATGCCGAGTCTGACGAACATGATTGGAGGATCACTGAGAACGTGAGCCAAGGTACATGTATGACAGGTTCCTGAACGCTCATCAACGAACAATCCTGGCCTAATGCTGTGAGATGTAGCCTTGTTGACTCTGGAACTGGCTGCTTTCTAGGATGGAGCACAGCAACAGCAGTGCAAAGAAAACAGATCGTATTGGGCTCGGGGTGACATGCCGCTTAAAACCGCACCGGCATTTCCAAATCGATTTCCAACACCCGCACACACACATATATATAGTAGATTTTACGGAACGCTCGAGGTAAGTGTACAACATTGCCACCTTCTCAAAAGCCAACTTGAGGGATGTCGAGAAAGCGATACATAGAACATTCTCACTGCTGTATCGATGTGTCTCGACCGAGCTTCCGCCGATGACGGAGATCGATGCTTCACATTCTACACCTCGATCTACACTTCGCTCGAGCACATTGCAGGGTCATGTGAATGTTTTGAGGAGCCTAGACATCGTCGTACATGAGAATCTATCCCTTTCTTGCCACAATCCCCTGACATCTTCGCACATGTTTTGAGGGAATACAGGAGCCTTCAACGCAGAAGTTTTCACCCGGCTGTGCACCGGCCCGGTGAGTGGAGCCTCTGGGCCTCATTGTAGCAAATTACAACTCGTTCTCTTGCTCCCGTGAAACCGGCATTTTATGGGAGAGGCGGCCGGCTCAGGGAGCACCTCGTTGCTTTACCTGAGAATTACATAACTGTAAGTCTGACCACGAGATCCAGACGAGGAAGGTATAGGCGGCACAACGGAAGTATATATATCGACGCTCTGGGCACCGGGGCCCCGAAGATTTGCACTATTCAACAACACATTAAATCACGACGGGTGCCCTTGCATTCGTTCAACTCTCACAATGCCAGGCCGCATACTCGAAGAATCCACGTTCCAGCACAGACAAGTGCCTGGACCCGTGTCCAAAACGACTGTCGAGAAGCTGAATCCAGTGTGGGATTCTCGGGCAGTATATTTTGTGGTTGACTATGCGAAAAGCCACGACAGTTTCCTGGTGGACGTCGACGGCAATGAGTTCCTCGATGTGTACTCTCAGATCGCGTCCATCCCCGTTGGCTACAACAATGCGAGATTGATCGAAACCGCAAAGTCCCCCGAGATGGTAAATGCGCTCGTCAATCGCCCGGCTGTCGGAAACTTCCCCGCTCAAGGTTGGCTTGCACAGCTCAAGGACGGCCTCCTTCGTGTTGCACCAAAAGGCCATAATAAGGTCTTCACGGCTCAATCCGGATCCGAGGCAAATGAACTTGCGTACAAAGCTGCGTTCATGCGATACATGCGCCGACAGCGAGGAGAAGGCGTCGAATGGTCCCAACAAGAAATCGAGTCTTGCATGAACAACTCCGCACCTGGATCGCCTGATCTGGCCATTCTTAGCTTCAAAAACTCTTTCCATGGCAGAGGCTTTGGCAGTCTGTCCACCACTCGATCAAAAGCCGTTCATAAACTAGATATTCCTGCCTTCAATTGGCCTCAAGCACCGTTCCCGGCGCTGAAGTATCCTCTCGAGGAAAATGTTGAGGCAAACAAGGCCGAAGAGGAAGCCTGTCTCAAAAAAGTCGAAGAGCTTATTGCCTCCTGGTATGTATGTCTGATAGACTCTCCTAGACATTGTTGACATCATAACAGGCACTGCCCGGTCGCAGCAGTCATAGTAGAGCCAATCCAGAGCGAAGGTGGTGACAACCATGCCTCCCCGGCTTTCTTCCAGGGACTTCGTGATATCACCAAGAGACATGACATTATGCTCATCGCTGATGAGGTGCAAACTGGTAGGTGAATCCATGTCGTAACCCGAATAGAAAGAAGCTGACGATTTTACTTTAGGTTTCGGAGCCACAGGCCGATTTTGGGCTCATGAGCACTGGCAACTCAGTAGCCCCCCAGACATGGTGACATTTTCGAAAAAGGCTCAAACCGCCGGCTACTTCTTTGGTGACGATAGCCTAACTCCAGATAAAGCGTACAGACAGTTCAACACCTGGATTGGCGATCCTGCACGTGTCTTGATGTGCAATGCGGTCATAAGCGAGATAATCGACAGAAATCTTGTCGAGCAAACTGCCAAGGTCGGCGAAAAACTTTACACCGAGCTCGCAGAACTTGCAAAGAGATTTCCAGACGATATCCAGAATTTGCGTGGTAAGGGCCAAGGAACTTATATAGCGTTCGATACAAGGAACGCCGCCACACTAGTTGGGGCAATGAGAAGCCTTGGAGTCAATATCGGTACTTGTGGAGTCAGGACAGTCCGCCTGAGGCCTATGCTCATCTTCGAGGAGGACCAGATACCTCGATTAGTACAGACGCTTGAGCGGGCACTCAAGTAGGTTCTCTATGGCGACCAACAGAAGGACTGGCAGGAGCCGAAGAGCTCGTCATGATGTGTCGAATTCATGCGTCCGGGAGAGGTTCATTAACTCGCATTTAATCCCAAGGGGATAACCACAGCACGTAGGTTTCTGAATTAGTGGTATCGAGATGCAAATATCAACTTGAAAGTTCCATCGAGGCTTCCATGCTTTTCGGTCTCATGGCACATTGCTGATTTGAGCATAGAATTTTTTTCGAAGCTTGAAAATGTCTTTGGGTCGGATGCAGGTTGATTAACGCAAATGTCGGTGTTTGAGGGACGCTGTTTATTCGGTCTGGAAAGGAAACTCATAGTCAGGAATTGCTAAAAAGTTCTCCAGCAACTGGCTCTCTGGGTGAACGAAGCCATCGGACGTGGGAGCAAAGTTTTCCATCGCGAAGAATGCGGACCCTGCGGCTGATTGCAAAGTGTTCAGCCCATTGAATTCAGCATCATTGTTACTACTGAAAGGGTGGCTTGCGTCCCAGAGATCATTGCTGATGTGGGCCAAGCGTGAATTTGGCAGCATTGCATCGGCGAACGGCGAATTACTCCCACGACCCTGACGATGGTGATTCTGCACAGCTGGATCGTTTGTGGAGAAATCTGGATTATCCTTCGAGGTTGAAGCTCTTGTCCATTGTCTGAAGTTCTCGTATCCAGAAATAGGATTCAATGGCTCCCGATGCTTGTTGGGGTTTGCCTTCTCCCGAAAGAAGTGTAGTCGTTTCAATGCCTGCTCCAAAGATTCGATCAAGAATACTTCACTCTTGGCGGATTCACCAACCGTCGACATCTCGCGGATGATGTCTAGTCCTTTTCCAAGAGTGTCGTAAAATTCGTCTGTTTGGTTCTGTATGCAGTAGGCAATCAAAACCAGTAATGAAGCTCTACAGGAGCTGTATTCCACGTAGGATGCTCGCGCAAGTCCCGCTCCAGTTGACCGAAGATATACGCAAATGTCTATCGCTTCTTTTGCGGCCTGAGCACAGTCATCAACGAGTATAGCTGTACGGGAGCTACCCTTCGCGTTTGCCCTCACGCTCGGAGGGGCTTTATCTGTCGAACTCTTGGTGGCAAGCGGAGTACCATTGGTCTCTGCCATTGAGGGCGGGCTCGCGTCTGCTGTCATGAGTGTCAGAAGGAATGGCCTTCCAGCAAACATGCGCAGCAGACAATATTCCAGCTGAAGATGAGTATTGGGACGAAAGTGCGGCGATTGAGGTGAGACTTTTTGCCCAGCTGGCCCTGTCGGTAACGCCTCCCACCAAGACCTCAGATCGTCCTTCATTGCGACCAAGCGATTGAGGATCCCCGAAACTTCGTGCTTCTGACAGGTACGAAGCAGCATGATCTCGTTTGACAATGCACCAAGACGATCCACAAGTCGAATTGACACTAGCGTATGCGGAATTCGAGACATGTCTGCTCGATCATCTCGAGGAAGAGCCGCGTCGATATCCGAGGGGAGTACCGATAATGGACGGCCGTGAAAAATCCCGATTTTCTTCTCAGTGCAGTACGCAGTCCACCAGACACGATTTCTCGTTTCCATGATTGTAGCACTGAAGGTATTGCCTGGGATATTCCGATGCATACCGTTTTGCATCGCCAACTTTATTGCCATGTTCAAATATACATAAGCAAGTCCGGAAGCATCGAGTGGAAGCGCGTAGAGTCCGAAAAGCAGGCAAGCCTGCACGCTTTCCAAGGACCCTAGATGTAGAATATCAGGGAGTAATTTTGCTGCATGTTGGTAGAACACATTCCCAGCCTCATGGTCGTGCGAGTCCTTGGCACTACCTTGTCGATCGAGAGATTCTAGATGTGCATATTGGCTGCCAACAGCAAAGATCATTAGGATAATGCTCGCAGTAGCAGCATCCTTCGAAGTCAAAGTGGAAGGTCGGTCATACACCTGAATGATTTTGTCGCTAACCCAGGATCTATCAACGTAGAAAAAGTTAATAGCGGCATGCTTGAAGAAAACATGAACAAGAAACTCTGCTATTTGGCGAGGTGGGCAGCAGGAAAGCGTCTCGAGGAGATTTCGAGCTTCTGAAAGGAGCGCTTCCCGTGAGTAGTAGGGTGAGGTCGCGGAAGTCTATACGAAAACATATTAGATTCGTTTCGTTTGCTTCATCCTTGGTAATAGCAATTTACCTGATCGTCGGAGGTCAGCATCAGAGCATTTACATGCTTTTTTATCCTCATAGAGAAGTTCCAGTAGGAGAACTCGCCGGAATAATCTGTCAAAGTTAGCAGGCGAAGGTGGCTAGGTTCTCGTACTTACGAGCAACATTTTCTGTAATCGGATCCAGTGTGGCTCTCTCGTCCTCGATCTCAACATCGCCATCATCCTGATTTACTGCCTGGTCTGCGTCGCTGTGCCGAACGACACTCGTCGGGTCCAGAGCTTGAGCCTCATCTCGAAGATTTCGGGTGCTAAACTCCAAGTGTGGAAGCCTGTGCTTCAAGATGCGTTCCATATATTTGGAGCGTTCGAGGACCTCGTCTACTGAAACCTCAGATGCTTCGATACTGGAATGCTTATGTCAGATAAAGGAATTTTACAAGGCAAGAGACACAAACCTCCCCTGTTGCGATATCAGGCTGGGTATTTTGGAGGGCATGTCTTTAAACTCGCAAGGTCTCCCAAAGTGGCTACAACGGCGGCATGGCACACCACCTTCGCACTTCTCCTTGACTTTCCGACAGCCATCACAAGCTCGCACGGCACGTTGTCTCTCCTCGGTGGCTAGTCGACGTTGCTTCCGTGGCCTTGATGATTGAGTATCACTAGGCGATGCATCGCGCCGAACGAGCCGCGACTCGTCCGTTCGCGGAGTCGGTTCTTGATCTTCATCGGTCATGAGGGACCTCTGCGTGCTGATCCATCAACGTTGGTTTCTGTTCTGATCCTGCGTCACGTCTCATCATTGCCTAAGCCGTATGCTGAGGAGATGATAGTGGACTTTGAGTGAACTTTTAAAGTAGGCGGAAAATTGGATCCGGAATTGAACCGCCAGGAACACCATTTAAAGCAGCAATGCAAAGGTATAAATGAATACTAGCGCACATCTCCAAACACTAACCAATCAGTTGCTGTGCTGTAACCATGACGTCGGAGATGAATCGCGACTCTGGTCATCGATTTCCAGGCCGCAGCGCAGGCCCAAAAAGCACAAAAATTCCCCAGCTTCAACCCGAGGGCACGTCTGTTCTTCAAACTTGTCATTCCGCTTCGCAAGTGGCATATTTCCTCTATTTCGTCACTCTTTCGTGTCTTTGGCTTCGTCATGGTAAGATTGCGGCAATAAAAGCACCGTGCTGTGCGCTACTCTTTCACCCTCACTTGCTGCTATGCGGATCTTTCTCCTCCCACTGACCACGCGTCAAGCCTTGATCTTTTGCCAACGCGCAGCCCCGAAACCTCAGGCGCAGTTGAGCATATCTGATCGTATCACCAAAAAGGCAGCCGAGACATGGGCGCAGTGGGAAACTGCACAAGGGGGATGGAGGAAACAGATTGTGAAGTACGGTAACCAAGGTCTCCAGCGAATACCCTACCAGGAATGGGGACTGAAAAGCTTTCCTCCCTCAAACCCCAAGCTTCAAGCAGAGCAAATCACCAGGAATGAAAAGTTTGATGTGGTATATCCTGGGAACGTGATGCACAAAGAAGATGTTCCAAAAGTCATGGCAAGGCTGGCGCGAGAGAGGAAACAGTTACACTGGAATCGATTCATTGGGAGCATGGTGGGCATGCCATTTACAGTCCCTTTCATTTTGGTGCCAGTGTAGGGAACGCCTCCTCCATATCTTTTCGCGACTTTGACTGAGATTCTTAGAATTCCCAACATCCCCTTCTTCTACCTTGTTTACAGATGCTGGTCTCATTGGAGAGGTAAGCACTCGTTACAGACTACAGCCAATTGTGTCACGGAGCTGACATAATGTAGCCCTGAAAGGCTCTGACCACCTGGATTTCATTGTCGACCACCGATTATACCGGCCTGTCTCCCCTCCGGAACTCGAGGATCTGTATGAACAAGTGGCTCCCGACGCGCCCGACTTCAAGTTCTTGACCCGCACTCAAATCCTGGATGGTAGTGCTCCACCAGAGCAGATCATTTTGCCAGCAGACAGTCACAACGTTGTGGCTAAAGCGACTGGTGTTCCAGAATTGAGCGGCGAGATTGAACGAGCAGTATGGCAGATTCAGCGGCAATTCCAACTGGAAAAATCCAAGCAAGAATCAGCAAACCCTAAGAACAACCAGTCCGTCGACAACAAACGAATGTAAAGCCCTGCACTCGTGTTGGAGATGCGTTAATTGAGCCTCGAGATTACAGCCTTGGCTAGCATGGATCCTGTTCCTTGCTTAATAACATCTGACTCACTGTATATTATAGAATCAAATGCTTTATTGAATGGACCATATGCTTGAGCTTACAAATGTGGCCCTGGATTTGCCTATTCATCAAAATCTTCGTCAAATAAAGCGTAGCCGATAGTATAACAAGGCTGGCTCTACCCGTGGTTTTCCCGTGCTTGGCAATCTTCCTCACTTCCATCTCTGTCGAGCGACCTCCGGAACAGTCTTTCTAATTCATATTAATCCTACCACGAACTGAGACTATCTGACCACCCGGTCTAGGTGCATGTGAGGGAAGGTCTATATGATCTATTCGCCTGTGGATATTAGGATGAATCAAACGCCAATCTTGAACGGTACCTCTGCAGACTTTCGAGATACCAATTGTTCACTGCCTCAGACATAGGCGGCAACTACATGCACCATATGCACAAACAGCGGAATCCTTAGTCTGGTCTCCCGGGCCACGTCTAAAACTTCTGAATCTCCTTCCCGATTTTCGTTTATTCCAATATACCTCCAAAGGGAGAACACCCTTGTGATCCTCGGTTCAACCTCTTAGCAATTGCGAAGTCTCTCTTGCCGTCATATCTTATACATCTTCTGCTGGCAGTTTGCTCCAATCCCTCGGTTCCTTCATCAACTATGGCTGGACATGTAGAGGATGCTCCTCTAGGACGGGACGCCTACGTTCGTACCACGCCATTTAGTGACAAACATCTTCTGGTAGCCAATCGAGTTGCACTCCCTCCTCCACGGACGATTTGGCCAATTGGACAACCCACAGCTACTCTGAGCGTGGAACAATGGGATGTTGAACACACCACAGACGTCTACGGAGATCCAGGCTTTCTGACTTCCTTGAACAAATTGCAGAAGCTGGGTATGGAGCACACAATGGATTCATGGACTTACGAAGACCGCAGAGTGGCGCAGAATATCTTGCCGTTTCTTTTCTTGGGCCCTGTTAGTGCTGCAAAAGACCCTGATTTCATCAGGAGAGCTGGCATCACCTTGGTGATTGCCATGCGAAGCAGCGCTGCTGTCAAAACAAGACCCAACTTCCTCCACCCAAGCACGGTGCCCTCAATGGCAGGCCTACAAACGATGACTTGCGATGCTGAGGCTTCGTACGACCTCTTTCCGAAGCTGCGTCCCACGATTAAAGGCATGAATGACCATCTGCAAGCCACCTGTAGCAGGATGCCAATTCAAGCTGCATCTGATGTCCGTGGCAGGATTTTTGTCTATTGTGAGTCTGGGAACGGAAGATCGGCGAATTTGATCGCGGCGTACTTGGTTGCAGTGTTTGGAGTCAGTGCCATCTCAGCGCTTCAGGTCGTTCAGTCACGGCGTTTCTCAATTGCCCCGGATGATGCAGCCAAACAAATGTTGGTGAACTTTGAAGGGCTGGTTGAGGCAGAGCGCCAGGTTTCAGGAGTAGACGCTGTGAGCGTTGCCAAGTCGCTCAGTCGCCAAAACGAAAATACCCCGGGCCCAGCATCCCGGCCTGCGAAAAGAGGTTACCACGAGTTCGACGACTCAGACGTTGACATGGATGAGTCAAATGAGGTGGAAACCATAACTAGACAAGGGATCGCTCCATATGCAGATTCTTACGATTGAGAAAGAATACACTGTGCCTTGGTGCAACGCACGTCTGGATGCAAGTACGGCTGCATAGTTGAAGCTTCATTGTTGGCCTGCCACACTTCTTGAGATGGGCACCACACCAGTCGGGACGGGCGATTTCCAGACAAGAAGTTTGGAAGCACAATGACCGCGAAGTCTTCCGCTATCTAAGAACAATGAGTACCAGTTGTGCGAGGTGCTCTCCAGAATGCTGGCGACCCTTCACCTGCGAAAGACGGGCACCCAACTTCATATCTTGCAAATTTGCAGGCGGCAGCTCGCTGTCAAAAGTGACCTGGATACAGAGGAGGCCTGCACTGGTTCTCGCCCTTTAGATGAGAATTGGTCGCTGGGGAAATTGTTAGAGGCAGAAACATTCACTCTCGATGTTTTGTTTTTGTAAGTCACACCTCCTTCCCTTCCCAAAACACAGCGAGTGAAATCCTGCCTTTGTTCGTTCCTGCCTTATAAATAGTGGGCAGGGTTATTCAACGAATTACCTGGTCACGATCTGTCTGCCATACCAAGTAATGACCGCGTCACGGAACTCTTACAATCCCTTCATCTCCCCTGTTCTATCCTGGGTAATCAATCAGGGATATCCTCATTGCTAACTCACATCAGTCACAACGGATTCAGGCTCGAAACTACCTTACTCCCCACGCTCTCGGTACTCATAGACTATCCTCCTCACTCAATCAACATGCGCTTGCGAAGAGCGATCACAATCCCGACTCGTTACGAGGACGAGGATCTAGTGGCACCAAGGTCGCGCAATGGAACCAGACCTGCCTATCCCTCCTTGCTTAAAGATCAAGTCATTTCTTTCAACCCTGACAATCCCCCAGCACGATTTCCTTCATTGCCGCTGTTCGCTTCGTGCCCCTCGGCACGTCATCAACAGCATGATATCGGTGCAGCCGCCAAACCTTCGACCAGCCTTGAAAATGTCCCAATGGACTCGCGCAACAGACACGGCAATATTCGCTTGCTGCAAAGTGGGAAGCTAATTCCAACGAAGGCAGATCTGGCTCAGCCTCCGAACACCCACGCCCCGAGAGATTGTAGCAGTACGACGCATGACTTCATCGCCACCTCCCCTCATACTTCGGCACACGCGATACAAAACAAATCACAAGCGCCTGTCGCTACGCTTGTATCCAAAGAACAATCGTCGCGGTCTGGTGCCGATCATTCATCGGCTCTTGACGCGTCACCTGTGGCAGATGGCAGCGGGCTGTGCAATACCTATCGAAATGTACGGCTTTACTATTCAATTGACTTTATAGAGCTAACAGATTGTAGGAAGATGCGGCCATGTGGAATGCTCTTCCCCTGTCCTTGCAATACCAAATATTCAGTACCGTAGCGAGGTTTCATCCTACAAAACATCTCAAGCAATTACTTGGTTTGACAGAAGAAGAATTCAGTGAGATTAACAGCGCAGCCTCTCTCCGCAATGATTGGTCGGCGTCTCTTAGTGAAATATGGCAATGTGCTAGAAATGGTACCGAGCATATTCCGGGCTTTCCAGATGACATCTCTATTGATGCTGAGAACTTTAAGAGGCTATCAGATTACATGGTGTTTGCAAGCAGTTTTGAATTCGCTTTCAAGTCAGAGATACGCGATGCGGAAAGATATTTGTTGAGGCGCGGAATGGTTTGCGACTTACTTACCTCGTGGATACCAGATCCCTCGGAGCCAGACGGAACACCGTACTTTGTCCGCCTCCCGGCAGCAGCAGAGTCTATCACTCGCATCGACTCTCTGCTTGATCCAGACCTCTCGTCACTACGAGGAGCCCAGAGGGATGAGGTCATAAGCCAAAAACCTCCCAGACATCGACCCTCAATTTGGGATCATACGCCGGTCGAGGAGAATATCCATGGCAAACAGAAACCAAGCAAAGGTAAATCGAATGTGCTAGGAGGTCGATCGACGTCCGAACCATTACATCTTGTCCTCAAAATTCAAAGCAAGGACGGTTTGGCTCGCGTGTTCAAGAAGAAGCAAAAATCAAGTCGTCGCAGATTGCATCCAGCAGAATTCGAGACATCTCTGCAGGCTCTACCTCATAAGCGGAAAGCTTCACAAGACGCAGGTTGCCCAACTCCAATCAAATCTCCTAGGAAAATTGATGCAAGTTCCAAATCACCTGCGACGAAATTGGTTGCTAATGATATCAACAATGAACATATCCGCCACATAGATGCAAATCTATCTCGATGCCGCACACTGAGCCTATCTCATGATTGCGGACATGCCGTTACGCCCTCCAGCACCGGGCTTCTAGCATCAGATAATTCGGCTCTCCGTCAAGCATCGCTTGCTTCGCAAAGTGTGCGCCTGAGATCGCCGTCCTACTCACCAATCCCCGAGAATGAGGACCTGGAGTCGTACCAGGCACTCCTTCGTAATCCTCCCCGGAAAATGAAGATCTCCAATGCATGCTGGAGCGCGGAAGCTCATGTGCAACGGAAGGAGAATCAGAATAAGTTTAGCATTTCCCCTGTTCAAGATATTCCTCATGGTAGAGATGCAAGTTGCGCTACTCTGATGCCTATTGCACCATCGATGAACACCAAACATATTCCCAGCTCCAGCTCGGCTGCAATTGAATCCGCCGTGGCGGCGACTCCGAAGAAGCCGAGAATCATACTCTTGTGTAAGAAGCCAAAAGACTCGTCATCTTCCAGAATCGAAAGTTCTGTGTGCAGTACAGAGCAGACATTGACCAAGAACCAAATCGAATCATGTAACAGAGAAAGCGATATGACAATCACGCCGCATGGTGCCCAAGACGCACGGGTTAAGGATACCGAGGTCGGGTATTCATCAGTGAGGAGAAGCCAACGATTACAGGCAGGACCGAGGCCTGGTCAGGAGCTCGCATCAGGAAACCCTTCCGATGAAACCTCCGAACATGTCTCGACGGAAAGCCGGGCTAAAACTTCTGTAAAGACGTCAGAGAAGAAATTAAGTTTGAAGAAAGAGACACGAGAGCCGGATTCACAATTGAGAGGTCCAGGCCGACCAAGGGGTCCGAGAGGACCTTACCGAAAGACCAGGGAAAGAATGGCAAAAGAAAAGCAAGAGGAGGCAGAAGAAGCTGAAAGCACGTCTCAAGGGGACACGAGCCTACAACCACACGATGATCTTGCACCACCGATGAAGAGCCTCAAAAAGGAAGAGAAGAAAAAGAAGCGGCAGGGTATGATGTGAGATCTTTCCCACATTTTTGATGTGAAGGCTCATGCGACTGTTTCTACTGAACGGCAATTCATTCCTGGGCGCGGTTAACCTAGAAAGAAAATGATGTGAAAAGCTTGATAGGATGGAAAAAGAATCAGAAATTTGATGGCAAATACCAGCGAGGTGTCCGTGGAGCCTCAGAAATCGAGGTCTCATTACATGTTTATGAGTTTCGGCATTGTATGGAAACGAGCGGGAGTCGCTGGTTCTTGGATTGTCGAAGGAGTTCATGAGCAATAGGTAGTACAATTAGCAAGAGCATAGGATTGTGCACAGAGATAATCATAGCTTCCCTAAATACGTCTACAAAGAGAATCGTATGAAGTAATTACTATCTGGATCAAGATCATTCGATGCCATGAGGGCTGTACACAAGCGAGACCAAGCTAGGCCACCATTCCTGTGACTGTGATGAGATGATGATATGTACAACACGAGATGAATCAAGAGAAAAGTCGAGAAAAGCGACAGACATGAATACGGTATAGGGAAAGAGAGTGGTGTTATAATTTTTCCCTCTCTTACCAACAACCATGAGATTTTGATACTTCTGTCAAGAAACAGAAAACTCTTACTCGCAGGTAGGTACCGAATGATCCGGGCGATAGAGACATTCAAAGGGGAGAATCACGAACGGGGACAGGAGACCCGCAAAAGTAAAGTACCCAAGATCAAAGGTGGCTGGGCTGAAGTATGAGCATTCATACAAAGTTTGTTATGGAAACAAACTAGATCTGGGCACCGTGGTCTTCAGGGTTGTCTATTCAGTAACCCGATTGTTCCCTCCTGTTATCACCGTCGCCGCCGCCGTCCTCGTTCCCGCCGTCGTCGACGGGTTTACCTCTGGCTTCCTTGATGGCATTCTCGTCGCCTCGAAGTTTCTCGAAATACGACTTGATGTCCTCCGCGGAGACGACCTGTCCGCTTTCGGCGTAAGGTTTGAGAAACTCCTTCACCTTGTCCCTCAGGTGGTTGTAGACCATGACGCCCTCGATCGCCTTGACACGGTCCATGGTGGAGAGAGCGGCCTCGCCGCGGTCAAGAAGGCTCGCCGTGCCATGTGACCGCGTACCGGATCCTGGAATCCCGGCGCTGTTGGCTTGGGAAGAGGCGTCGGAGAGGGACGGCTCGTACGTGTCTTCCTCTTCGACGAGTTGAGGATGTGGGATCAGTCTCGGGTAGCACTGGGGACAGTGGCAGATGTGGTCGCGGAATGACGAGGTGAGGAAGAGGCTGAACGTCCCTTCTGGGGCAGGAGGGAGTGAATCGTGTTTGGGGGGCGGTTGTGTGGTGGTGCCGCTTCTTGGTGGTGGTTGGGAGGAGGCTTGTGTAGATGCCGTGGGGGGCAGAACGTCCGGGTCGTCCTTGATGCGTTTTGAGGGACTGGAAGGAGGTTTGTCGAGGTCCGAGTCTGAGGCTTTCCGCTTAAGAGAGATGCCGTGCGTCGGTGGCGCCGAATTGTCAACTCGGGGTACATCACCTTTGGATTCCGACGTTTTATAGAAAAGAGGCTTGAGGAATCCCGGAGTGCCCGCGTATTGCTTGATCCAGGGATTTGAGTCGACGCATTTGTAGCAAAGAAGGTATTCAAAATCGTCCTCGTTGGGGAAACCTGGGGGCGTGGGATGACTGGATTCACCTTCCTCTTCTTTTGTCCCTTTATGAGGTGCCTTGTTCTTGTCGTACCAGTCTCTTTCCAGGCCCATCAGGCATTCTGGGTGGTACCAATCCTCGCCACAGCCCCCGGTCTCTGCCGTCCCGAGTCCCAAGCACTGGAACATGGTTCCCTTTTCAGTCTCTGGGTTGTACTCTTCTCCGCATGCGCAGAAGTGGTTCTGGAAGTTGTGGTTGTATTGGTTCTTGGGCGCAAACTCCTGCGAGTGAACTCCACGGGCGCCGGTTACAGGGTCGGAGCGCAGCATGCATGGGGATGTGGAAGGCAGTCTTTTCGTGCCGCAGTCGCAGACGAAATCACGTCGGCTGAAGAGCTCGACCAGGTTGTGCTCGCCGTGGCAAGAGATGGAGCACGCATAGCATACGCCTGCAGGTGTGTAGACTTGCGCCGCCGAGGCTGGTGGAGGGCTGCATGTGAGGCAGGCAAAGATGGTCTGGCGGAGAGGTCCTAGAACGTTTGTGCATTTATCGAATTTCTGTAGAAACGTTAGTGGTGACCAGAAGGCTGAGTGGTGCGTGAGCGGCTGTACATATGGCAGAACTTCTCGCGCATCGGCTTCTAGGGCGAGTTGTTGGTCAATGAAACTACGAGACAACGTCAGTATGGAACGCGAAGACATCAAAGGAGAGCGCATACTCGGAGGCAGTCTGCGATTCCTGTGTTGCTTGGGTATTGTTTTGGACCTCTCGGGGCACATGTTCGACCTCGCGGTTGGACTCCATTGCGGTGTACGAGAATAATATATCCAAGAAGTTGTGAATGTTTTTCGAAGTAGCAGGCCTGGATGATGGCGTAGTTGTCTCCTTCAAAGCCTCTGTGATCCCCGGTTCTGATGATAAAGTGAAGCGCAGTTTGCCTACTAATGTGATGGGTTGAACTCGACTCGTCGAGGCTGAAACATGATTGGCGTTCCCCCACTTAAAGTGCTCGCATCATTAGCGCGTCACGACCGCGTCGCGACCACGCGTAAATGAGGTTTTGCACTTAATGGTCCAGGGGTTGTATCCTGCACACCCACCACCACAGTCACAACATCAGCGAACCATAAAGGCACAAAAAAAACATGAGGTATGGCTTTCTAACGAGCTTAATCGTGCCCTGATATGTGGATGTTGCCTACTAATAGCGTCTAGCTCGCCACTCCGACCAAGCATGTCGGCCGCAAATAGAGGTCCAGCGAATTCAAGTCGGCGCAAGAGAGCGAGAGACGACGAAGACGAGATTATGTCGTCCTCACCAGCAGGTCAGTGGTAATTATGAACCGAGTTACGAATTCAGCTGACAAACATAGCGCTGCCGTCCTCACCTCCTATGCTCCCAGCCAACGAGAATGATGATCTTGACGATGACAATCTAGACGCCGAAGATGACCTGCTCGGCGATGTGGATGATCTCGACGAGATGGCCGAAGATGAGGATGGAATTGACCTTTTTGGTGACAATTTCATGAATGACGAGCGAGATCGCGGGAATCAAGAAACATACCAAGGTCGCATGATCGATGATGAAGGTGACTACGATGACATCGACCTTGCAGACCGACGTCAATTGGAGGCGCGTCTCAACAGACGTGATCGTGAGCTGGCCCGTAGACGCCGCATGCCTGCAGCTTTTATGGCAGACGATGATGAGGATGCTGGCATCGACTTGACAAAGCAACCTCGAAGACGCCGACACCACTATGATGAAGATCAAGACGATATGGACTTAGACGAGAACATTATGGAAGAAGAACTTTCGCTCGAAACATTACAAGACATCAAAGCCACCAACATCACAGAGTGGGTAACTCAACCTTCTGTCATGAAAACAATCGCCAGAGAGTTCAAGTCGTTCTTAACGGAGTACATTGACGCCCACGGCACTTCAGTCTACGGCACACGAATTCGAACCTTGGGAGAAGTCAACTCAGAGTCTCTGGAGGTCTCATACGATCATCTTTCCTCGACCAAGGCAATTTTGGCGTACTTCCTGGCGAACGCCCCTGCAGAGATGCTGAAAATCTTTGACAAAGCAGCTTTCGAAGTTGTTCGACTGCACTATCCAAACTACGAGCTGATCCATCCTGAGATCCATGTACGCATTTCAGATCTTCCAGTTCAGTACACCCTACGCCAGCTACGACAATCGCATTTGAATTGCTTGGTCAAGGTCTCTGGGGTCGTTACCAGGCGAACTGGTGTTTTCCCACAACTACAAATGGTCAAGTTTACTTGCACGAAATGCGGTGTTACACTCGGACCCTTCGCCCAAGAGTCTACGTCGGCAGAAGTCAAATTATCATTCTGCCCCGAGTGTCAGTCGCGAGGACCCTTCACCCTGAACAGCGAGAAGACTGTATACAGAAATTACCAGAAATTGACCCTTCAGGAGTCTCCTGGCACCGTGCCGGCTGGTCGGTTGCCACGACATCGTGAAGTTATCCTTCTTGCTGATCTCATTGACACGGCCAAGCCCGGCGAGGAGATCGAAGTTACAGCTATTTACCGAAACAATTACAGCGGACAACTGAACAACAAGAACGGGTTCCCCGTCTTTGCCACCATGCTCGAGGCCAATCATATTATCAAGACTCACGATCAGCTTGCCGGTTTCAGGTTGACTGAGGAAGATGAAAGACAAATCCGAGCACTCTCCAAGGATCCAAATATTGTTGAGAAGATTGTCGACTCAATCGCACCGTCCATTTATGGCCACAAGGATATCAAAACCGCTGTGGCTCTTTCGCTGTTCGGCGGTGTAAGCAAGGAAGCGCAGGGCAAACACAAAATTCGTGGCGATATCAATGTTCTTTTATTGGGTGACCCTGGAACTGCCAAATCCCAGATTCTCAAGTACATTGAGAAAACGGCACATCGAGCCGTCTTTGCCACAGGCCAAGGTGCATCAGCTGTCGGTTTGACGGCTTCCGTTCGCCGTGACCCTCTAACAGCAGAGTGGACACTCGAAGGTGGTGCTCTGGTCCTGGCTGATCGAGGCACCTGCTTGATTGACGAATTCGACAAAATGAACGATCAGGACCGAACGTCCATCCACGAAGCTATGGAGCAGCAAACAATCTCAATAAGTAAAGCAGGCATTGTCACAACTCTCCAGGCACGATGCGCAATCGTGGCTGCGGCCAATCCTATTGGTGGACGATATAACAGTACCATTCCTTTCAGTCAGAACGTTGAACTGACGGAGCCTATCTTGTCTCGGTTCGACATTCTATGTGTCGTTCGAGACACCGTTGATCCAGCTGAAGACGAACGTCTTGCCAAATTTGTTGTCAACAGTCACGGTCGTGCCCATCCAGCAAAACTCAGCATTGACTCAGGCGACACTGCTGCAATGGAAAACGAGGAGACTGACGCGGTTAATAACGGCGAACCACAGCAAGAAGGGGCCATTCCACAGGAGCTTCTTCGAAAATATATTCTTTATGCTCGCGAGAAATGTAGACCGAAACTGTACCAAATTGATCAGGACAAGGTCGCACGTCTGTTTGCAGACATGCGCCGAGAGTCGTTGGCAACTGGTGCTTACCCAATTACTGTAAGTCAGGTGTGTCTTGGACCTAACCCCGTTACTGACTTGAATTCCAGGTCCGTCATCTTGAAGCGATCATGAGAATTGCGGAGTCATTCTGCAAGATGCGCCTATCAGATTTCTGCTCATCTCAAGACATTGACCGTGCTATCGCTGTGACTGTCGATTCGTTTGTCAGCAGTCAGAAGCTAAGCTGCAAGAAGGCTCTTGCAAGAGCGTTTGCAAAGTATGTCGAACATCCCTCGATGATACGACCAAACTAACATAGAATTCTAGATATACACTGAAGCGTCCAGAGCGTCGAACAAGAGTGACTACACGGAATGCAAACAGCATGGGCACAGTCTCAGCATAGCATATTTAAGAATGATCCTTGATGCCTGTCATACCTTTGGGGAATAATGAGTGGATGACAATTCTCATGCCAGGCTGATGAACCGGCTTTATGTAATTTATGGATGTTGGAAGGGCGTTGTTAGACCAATGTTGACTATACCATCAATAAGAGCATTGCTGCCTCCTTGTTGCGTATGTGTATCTGTAGCGGAAAGGAGAAATTACCTATTAATGATGATGACGGCCACATTTATCCAGCGCTGGTCAACTCCCTATTGCCGCTAACATAATCATCTGTGCCGCGCGCGCGATACGCGCTTTGGACAGTGCAAGACGCGTCTCGCCATGTGCGTCATACATTTTTTTGCCAGGCCATCGGATCGCCTGGGCTTGAATAGTCATCACTTTCCTGGCGCAGGGATAAGCGGTCACCATTTCTCTCTATTTGAACACTGCGTTCTCCTCTCTGTGGTTGATTTTTCCAAGTCCAAGTGCAGATATCCAGTCAATGCTACGACAACTGAATCCGAATAATCCGGCTCACTGACCTTCAGGCAGACTGATCCTAGCCATGGCCAGAAGTTCGGCCAGCTCAGCATCCGCCACAGTGACAATGTCTTCCTCCAAAACCACACCTCCGTCCTCGCCTGATCGGAGCACCCATGTTGAGGCAAAAGCAGAATCGCAGGAACCCATGGTCAAAGAGGAGAACCGTAATGTCGTCAATAAGGAGGATGAAGGGGAGATGGATATGAAATCTCGAGCATTAACAAATTTGCTTAAGACGAGCTCGGTTTTCGTGGCCATTATGGCAGACAAGATGAAGGAGCAACAGAAGCGCAATCAAGAACAGGCGAGACGAGCCGCGACTAAACAGGAGCACCAAGCAGTTAAGGAAGCGGAGCGCAAAGGTCCAACAAGAAAGTCGGACAGGGCGCATGTGCAGAACGGTGGTGATGCAAAAGACCAGGCTGACAGTCAGAGTAAAAAGAGCAACAACGGTCGAGGTCGCCCTGCGAAGCCAAATGTGGCAAAGAATAATATCACACAGTATTTTGATTCCAAGACTGCCAAAGCTGCCGAGGAGGGACCATCCGTTCAGCAAGCTCTGGCAGAAGCCGCCGAGGAGTATAAAGGAGAGGGTTTGGGCACACAAGAGCTTGTTGCGACCGAACAACCAAGTCTTGTGACCGGAGGCCAAATGAAGAGATATCAACTTGAAGGTCTTGAATGGCTCAAAACGCTTTGGATGAACGGGCTCTCTGGTATCCTGGCAGACGAAATGGGTCTGGGAAAGACCCTTCAGTCAATCTCTCTGATTGCATTTTTCAAAGAACACAATATCGCTGGTCCGTTTCTCATCGTGGCCCCCTTGAGCACCGTTCGCAATTGGGTCGAAGAATTCAAACACTGGACACCTTCCATTAACACGATTCTCTACCACGGCAGTAAAGACGACCGCGACACAATGCGCCGCAAGCGCATGAAGCTTCAGGATCAAGGCAAAGCCGACTTTCCCGTTGTCGTAACCAGCTACGAAATATGCATGAATGACAAAAAGTTCCTCACCAACTATCAGTGGCGCTACATCATCGTGGATGAGGGCCACCGCCTGAAGAACATGAACTGTCGGTTGATCAAAGACCTGATGACCTATAACAGCGCCAATCGCCTGCTCATCACCGGTACACCATTACAGAACAACATCGCTGAACTCTGGTCCCTATTGCACTTTTTGCTTCCCGAAGTCTTTAATGACCTTGACAGCTTCGAACGCTGGTTCGACTTCTCGAGCGTTCTGGAAGACAGGGACGACCCGAGTGGGAAAGCTTTGAAACGCAAAAACAACCTGGTTTCCACGATGCATGCCATTCTCAAACCGTTCCTCCTCAGACGTGTCAAGACCGATGTAGAGTCGTCCCTTCCCAAGAAGAGAGAATACATTTTGTACGCGCCACTTTCGGCTGAGCAGAAAGAATTATACAGAGAAATCCTTGCTGGTACGAGTAGGAACTACCTCGAAGACAAAGCGGTCGAACGACTTGAAGCACGTAGTCGAGCGGCAAGCCTGAAGCGCAAGGCCAACGGGAGTGGGCGATCTACACCAGCGAAAAGTCTAAAGACTAGTCGTGCATCAACTCCTGCTTCGGTGGTATCGGTTGGCTCAACACGACGGGGCAGGAAAGCTGCGCGGACGTCTTATCGAGACGTCACTGACAGGGAGTTCAACTCTCGCTTGCGTCGTCTTGAGCGTGGAGAAGAAGATATCAGTCTGGATGCAGTCACGCCTCCGCCAGATACACCTGGCTTTTCATCAGAAGAGGCTGAAGAACTCCAGCGTGTGCAGACACTTAAGTTGGCCAAGAAAGAGATTGCCAGCAAGAAGCTCCAGAACCCGGTCATGCAGGCTCGGCTTGCATGCAATTCTCCTCACAACTTCTACTGGCCCTGGAAACCTGCAACGGTGGATGAAGAGGCATCCGGAGACTTCCCCGCCGTCGACGAGACACTGGTCACAGCTAGTGGAAAGATCCTCCTGCTTGACACACTGCTCCCGCGGCTATTCAAGCTGGGACACAAGGTCTTGATATTCAGCCAGTTCAAAACGACGTTGGACATCCTGGAGACGTACGCCAGCGAACTGAGGGAATGGAAATGTTGCCGCATCGACGGAAGTGTGAGCCAAGAGGACCGTTACGAACAAATTACAAGTTTCAACACGGACAAGTCTTTCAACTTGTTCCTGTTAAGCACTAGGGCGGGTGGGCAGGGCATCAATTTGACCGCGGCGGATACGGTGATATTATTCGATAGCGACTGGAATCCGCAACAGGACTTGCAGGCCATGGACAGGGCTCATCGCATCGGCCAGACGAAACCGGTCATTGTGTACAGGCTCGCCACAAGAGGCACGGTGGAGGAGACCTTGTTGTTCAAGGCCGACGCCAAGAGAAAACTGGAAAAGCTCATCATCCAAAAGGGCAAGTTCAAGAGTTTGTTGGCCGCCGAAGGAGATGTGGTGGATGATGTGCGAGGCGTGCTGGAAGGTGATGATTTTGAAAAGTATGACATCCAGAGTAAAGAGGGAGGCAGCGGGAAGATTTTGGGTGAAGACGAACTCAAAATTCTCACCGATCGCAGTGACGAGGCTTATGAACGCGCAGAAAAGGGATTGGATATCGGCGGTGAAGGTCTGGCGTTCAAGGTGGCAGACACAAAAGGTGGGAGTGATGTACTTGATGATTTGACGGTGCGAAGTAAGAGTTGAGCTTGGATATCTAGATGTTGACTTGTGTGTTTTATCTGGTCTGAATGGAGGGCTGGTATTGTGTGGGTGTATGGATGGCTCTTGGGCATGACAGGCCTGTTGGAAAGCTTGAGATGGCCCATAGATACACCTACTTCTGTAATGATTGATGTTTTCCGATTTTGCTATTGTGTCAGATTCTGAAGACGGAAGCATGGAGTATCCTCAAGTTATAATCTTGCAAGTTCTCTCCGTTTTGTACTCGTAGTGCGGAATTCATCAGTTTTCCACCAATCTAAGGGCTGCAAACTCCCATGATGATTTCTTTACTCCATATGGGGAGGAGACGTAAAATGTGCCTGATATCGCGGGAGACCCATCGGGCTTTCAGCCGATTGAATGTCCCGCCGGGAATCATACAAACAACTCCGGTGGGATGGCCATACTATGTTGAGACAACAGGATCGGTGGGAAGTATATACTTTACTCATCTGAATCAATTACTTTTCACTTCTGACGTTCTGAACCCCAAGAGCCTCGAGGACTCGCATGATATCTGGCGAGATCACTGGCGTCGAACAAAGGCTTGAATCTTGATCAAATTACCTTCAGAGAGATATCCACCCCACCGGCAAAAGTCCAAACCATGCTACTCTCCAAGGACAACGCACTTCATTACACGTACGACTCGGAACATGTTCAGATTGAAGCATGGGGTCCCAATGCCCTCCGTGTCCGTGCGACCAAATTGCATACCTTGCCGGCCGAAGATTGGGCCTTGACGATCGAACCTCAAAAGTCTGAGCCGTCGATAGCGATCCACGAAAAGTCGGCCGAAATCACCAACGGGGGTATCACGGCCAGCGTCTCCTCGCGGGGCAAGATCATCATCACCAACGCAAAGGGGGAGCGACTGCTGGAGGAGTACCAGCGGAACAGGCTCGACGTCGAAGACCCCAAATGCAGCGCCCTCGAAGTGGAGGCCCGAGAGTTCAAACCGTTGCTCGGCGGCGACTACCACTTGACCTACCGACTCGAGTCGGTCGACAAGAAGGAGAAAATCTATGGGATGGGTCAGTACCAGCAGCCGTTCCTTGACCTCAAGGGTCTCGACCTGGAGATGGCTCAACGAAACTCCCAGGCGAGTGTGCCCTTTATGTTGTCCAGTTTGGGGTATGGCTTGCTCTGGAACAACCCGGCCGTCGGAAGGGCGGTCCTCGGCAAGAACATAATGAGCTTCGAAGCCCAATCCACCAAGTTCATGGATTATTGGATCGTGGCCGGCGACACACCCGCTCAAATAGTCGAAACATACGCGGACGTGACGGGAAAAGTCCCCATGATGCCCGAGTACGGACTTGGCTTTTGGCAGTGCAAGCTTCGTTATCAGACTCAAAAAGAGCTCCTGGAAGTTGCGAGAGAGTATCGCAAGAGAAATTTGCCGCTGGATGTCATTGTGGTGGACTTTTTTCACTGTTCGTGGTGACCCCTCTAGCAAAACTGCCGATTTGACCTCCTCATGCTAAACGGACACAGGGCCAAAGCAAGGAGAATGGAAGTTTGATCCTACCTATTGGGAAGATCCCGGTGAGTCTGCGATGCGAAGGTTGTTGTCGACCTGGCAGGAGTCTTCGGCCGCCAAATCTCCAGTCTTTGACTTCACACCCTTCTCCGAGCGGCCTTGATTTTGATCTATCCTCCTTTCTTACAACACTGTCACCTCAAAGACGGTCATGATTCTGACAAGTCGGATATTTTTGATTTTTCTTCTACAGATGCCATGATCAAAGAACTCCAGTCGATGAACATCGAACTCCTTGTGTCCATCTGGCCGACTGTCGATAAGCGGTCCGAAAATTATAACCATATGCTTGAACATGGGCTGTTGATCCGACAAGACCGAGGTCTACGGGTTTCCATGGATTTCCAGGGAGACACTGTCCATGCCGACTTCACCAACCCGGCAGCCAGAGAATTCGTCTGGAAGACGGCCAAGAAGAACTATTATGACAAGGGTGTCAAACTCTTCTGGCTCGACGAAGCTGAGCCGGAGTATAATGTGTACGACTTCGACCTTTATCGCTACCACAGTGGTAGCGTCTTGAGCACGGGGAATGCATATCCTGTTGACTATGCTCGAGCCTTCTATGAAGGAATGGTCAAGGATGGCAAGCAGGAAGACGTCTGCAATTTGATCCGTTGTGCATGGGCAGGAAGCCAGAAGTTCGGTACCCTTCTGTGGAGTGGCGATATTGCAAGCAGTTGGGGAAGCTTCCGGGATCAATTCGCTGCAGGTCTCAATGTCGGAATTGCAGGAATACCCTGGTGGACGACTGACATCGGTATGTCTCTCCCTGAATCATGATGTTCTGAAAATGGTAAATGCTGACCTGGCAGGTGGTTTCCATGGCGGAAACCCTACACACCCAGAGTTCCGAGAATTGTGCACGAGATGGTTCCAATATGGTAAGTTTCAACACCGCTCCTGAGTTGTTGATTTTACTCAACGTTTTGTAGGCTGTTTTTGTCCCGTGTTCCGCCTACACGGTCACCGAGAGCCTATGCAGCCTCAGCACGGCACGACCGGTGGTGCGACGTGCATATCAGGTGCCCCCAACGAGATCTGGTCGTACGGGGAAGAATGCTACGAAATCATGAAGAAATATCTCCTTCTCCGCGAAAAGCTTCGCCCCTATGTTCGCCAGCTCATGAGCCAGGCACATGAGAAAGGCACTCCAGTGATCCGTACATTATTCTTCGAATTTCCAGCGGATCAGGAGTGCTGGGATGTAGAAGACCAGTATATGTTTGGAAGCAAGTATCTTGTCGCTCCAGTCATGTATGAAGGTGTAAACAAGAGAAAGGTATACCTGCCCAAGGGTGCGAGGTGGAGGAGGTTTGACGATGGAGATATCAAAACCCCCGAGGAGGTCCAAGGGGGGCAGACTATCGAGGTAAACTGCCCACTGGCAGTCATGCCTGTCTTTGAAAGAACCTGATGTACATCAGCAACGGAAGTCTGTACGATGCTTGTGTAGCCGGTCACATCCTAGTCTAGACCACACTTCCCGAGGTAGTAATGTGTCAAAAGAACAAGAGAGACCTCACCATCTGTTCATGCCAGGCACATCTTTCAGCCGGAAAGTTCGCTCCCCAAATAGGTGGAATATACGACTCTTAGTGCATCGGAATCTTGGGAGGCATTTGATTCGAATCAGATGTTTGCCGGAGCAACATTCTAGATACGCATCAGTCACCATGCCACGTTGCTGCCGTTGATCTGCCACACATCGCAGACAAGGTTCAGCCTAAAGGTTCAAAAAATGCGGCTTACTATCAGCCTGCTTGCAGGTCGTGCGCAGTTTTATGCCCTTCTGAAATGAGAGCAGAAGTGAGCCTGTACTTGAGGAGGCGCCCATGTCGATATAGTTAGCCGTGGTCTATACTAAGTCTTCGTTGATTGGTTGACTTGGACGGTTAAACACGTCGTGCACGCAAGTTAATCATTAAAACTAATACTATCAAAGCTAGCGATATGCTTAGCTGCTACTCTTAACTTCATCCACGCAAAGGACATTCTCAACTTCTTCATTCTATCAACAATGACTGGATCCCAACATCACGATATCACAGAGGGTGGTGCTTGATATCAACCTTTTCAACCTTGTCGCTGAGCACTCAATCTATATGTCATCTCCAAAGTCGAGGTTTGAGTTCGAAAGATCGGATCATTTGAACGAACAGAGATGTCCCTGAGGATGGATACAAATTCATATGGCCACAAAGAAGCCACACCTGGCGGATCATCCCACCTCCCGCATTTCGAATCCATGACAAGTTGGGGGGAAAGACCTCCCTCTTTCGGCGGCACTACATGCAACGCACCATATAGCGAGCTCACTTGGATACGCGTTAGTCTTTCATCTTCCGGCGTTGATCCATGCAGTAGACGTGGCCAGCGATAATATGACCCGATTGACACGGCAGAACTATGATTATAGTATGTACAGAGCTCTTGTACGTCAAATTTACAACTTGACGCGGGGATACCTCAATGGCAGCCCGCCCGCGGCATAGCACTCGGGGCGCCACCATAAAGGTGTGTGGTGTGGCAGGCTACAGCAAGGCCTCAACGCACGCGAGGTGGCCCACAAGCATCTTCGCCACCTTCATGTGTCTGTATTGTTTCACAAGAAGGTTACGGACCCTAGATCTTTGTCCTGGTTCGCCCTTAGCTGGCACGCTCTGGATTCTATGGCAGGCCTAGAGCCCGCACGCTATTACGCTGACTCGCCGAGTCAGTATTTCACTGTTGTCGATATGAGGCGGCTGCTCTAGCCTCTACGAAATAACCACATGGGACTTGAGCTCTCAGACAGACCCTTCCAGCAAAGAGAGGCTGGTGGTGCTATCCAGTAGCCCTTGATGGATCGAGTCTGATGATGTCTGACTTGTGGGTAAGCTCCAGAACCAAGTCACATGGCTTCGAAGACCTCGTCGAAACCAGCTTTCGGTTGATTTATTTGCCCAAATACAACGAACATGATCTTCTACAGTGCACTTGAGTGAGCTCGATTCTGTGGATTGCGGTAAGATGGCTTGGGCATTAGGAGCTGGAGCTTTCCACCAGAAGGTACTCAGCTTCGTCCCCATTCAATCATGGGCAAACTTATCGCCACCCCAAGTCAAAGCGATGATGCTACGGTAAGGCCTTCTCGGGACAGTGAGTCCCACTGCCGTCAGCTAACGCTCCTGTCTTGACGCATCTCCGCATAGCAGCCTTCGAGCTATGATACGAGACAGCCAACGATGTTACTGGCTAATTATTCACCCATCAAATCAAGCAGTGCCTATGCAGCAGAACCACAGTGATGTGAGTGTAGAGCTCTTTTCTCAATGGCAGTACATGGCTAGAGGCGTACTACGGCTCGTACAAAGTCGATCCTCCAGGGAGGTCACAAGGTACTGTTTACAATTTCTCGACGGTGAATTTCCGCACAGGGTACGGTACACTGCATCTTACTCTTGCGACAACTCTGGGGCGATGCAGACCCTAGCGCAGCATGACTCTTTGGAGACATTGTCGCAGACAATCAAACTGTGCTTAGAGCCTGTGTCTCCTACCTGATAGCAGCATCAAAGGCCTGAACATTCAGCCTT